CCCATATTGGTCATTTATTTATGAATGACCACATAACCACCCCCAACCTAACTATTTGGCGCTCCCGGAGTATGTGTACCAAGATGGCGCACAACCTGAATCATAACCTGTTTCATATAATTCGTTCAGGTTGTGCGCCATCTTGATGCCGTACTTCTGGAGGTCCAACTATTTGACAGTGCACTGTTCAGCGATAAACCGCTTCAAATGGAAGGCTATATAAAATTCTGTACCGATACCAATTTTATAAGTCTTTTGACCCCTGTGTCCATATATCAGAGCATTGCTCTCTTCTTTTACCATCAATACGACATATTTACGACAAGATTGTAATCAATTATGAGCCCCTGGAGGGAAGTTTTCGTTATTGCATTGTGTGATGTGTATTCGATCGGCCGGTTATTACTAATTACACGATTAATTACATTATGTATTACAAAAAGCTCTGTGTGAGTTTAGTTTTCGATTATTTGCGAGAGGGTTGCGAGTTTGCTATGTTTTATTGGACACGAAAGGTACATTCGTATCTTTATGTTATTATTATTATGTTGTTCTTCTTATTATTATGAAAAACCCCTTATCTCATTACTACTGTACCAATTGCTTTAAAATTTTTAGCGGTTAAAAGTCATATTTTTCGCCAGAAGGCTATTACTTTATTTATTTCAAATATTTCTGTGGGCTGTATAGGATTCATTTTTTTGTGCGCGATGATGTCATCAAAAATTGCGCACTTTATGGCACAGTCTTACATTGCAAAAAAGCTGTAACAGGAATCAATGACTATTTTATATGATTCGCGCACATTAACCCGTGTGCATGTAATGTAAGGGTATTGTAGTAAGGATAAAATGACTATACAAATGAGTCTTACTGATAACCAACACAAATATATATTTACATTACTGTTCTGCTATTTTATTTATGTACTTCGATTCGGCTTTTGCGTTAGTCATAAAGATTGTTGTACCGGTAGTCTACTGTTACAGACTGCATACCTGTACTACTTCGTTTCGGCCTTAGTGTCACCGTAGTTGAGAATTGCTCTCTTGTTTTAAAACAGGTCGCAGTCGCAAAATTTTATTTCGTTGGAATCGGAATTTAGTACTTTCAATGGTTATAATAGAATTTAAAGTTCTTCTACAGAAACTAAAAGCAATATGTGTTCTTTAACAGTCAATAATAGGAGGTGTGCATACGGCATACGCCAAAGTATTTGCTATTAAAATTTACTGAAGTTCGTAGTCGATCGTGAGTCGAACCCGGTTTCAAAATTTTTTTTAGCACTGCGTGAAGATTAATACGGTTCTCAACTAATTTGTGGACAAGAAATGTAGCGTAGATTCTAAGATTGGAGTTGATGGTTGTCTGGGGCTTTTTCGGAGCGACAAACGTAGATAAGCGTAGTATATATATATTAAAATTGTTAATTTGAAATGGCTATATATATTATTTTTTTTAAGGAAAGGCACATATTTAGCTATTTCCAAAATTTTATTCCGTACAATGAGCCATTGAATTGCGTGCATCGATATGATATCGTATCTTGTTGAACGAATTATTGCGTTGTGATTAAGTCAATATAATCGATCCCCGTGTCACTAGCATATGTATCCAATCAACAAAATTTCGGATTAGTCGTTTCGTACTGCGTCAACGATCAAGCCGATTTTAAACTGATAAGGTATCGTTTTCGACTGAATTATGCATAAGTGAGAATTCATGCCGCTCCAGAAGTGTGTGTACCAATATAGAGATAACTAACTTTGTTCGCCTACTTTACATCACGTTGTGTAAAGAGACTGAAACCTATGGGCAGGGGATATATTCACTTGGCTAACACAGACAGTCCACGAACTAGTAATAGAAATAAAATAAGGAAAATCGGAATAAAATTAGGGCCTAACCCTAAATGGTACACACACTACGGGAGTACTGAAATCATAGGGTAGTCCTCGTTAATTTTGCTATAGTATACGTGCATTATACGCATACAAATCCTACATGGTAAAAAGATAGAGCAAGGATAGGTATTAATGATAATGTGCAGCAGAAGTTTTAAATAGTGGCGTATCTACGTAAAATAGCGTCTATGGCAAATTTTAGTGATGCGCCCCCTTGATCGTTGACTGACTATTTTTAACAACTGTTGTTGAATTGAGATTCTTGTACGTTGTTATTTAAGTATAAATACGATTTCCAAGTGTTACTCTCGCTACTCGCATTTTACACACGCAGACACCAATGCAAAATACTAGCGAACGGATAGATATCAGGAAAGGGGGTTAGTGTCGTTGTGCAGCAAGACTTTTCCACCACTAACATGCTTTAAAGTATGAATCATAGGTTCTCAATGTGCACCATACGGAGACCCAGGTCTCCATGAGAAAAAGCTTAGAGACTCCGCGAGCTATTCGTTCACTTATTTAAATACTAAATATTTTTTTAAATACAACGCAGCAAATACATCCGATTCATTACATGAGATAAACTTAGTTTACTCTGGGACATTAATCGGTGAATAAAATGTGCCTTTTTTTTTATTTTTATAAATTTATTGTATTTTTATTTATTTATTGTTTAATAGTCAACCACTTCAAGGCCCCGTAACCCCAAAAGTCTGAGAGCCCCTGCACCATATAATAGTCACCTTTTTTCCTACTACAGGCATCCTTTCTCCGTGCATTATACATTATACGGATCCGCCATTGCAAACAACATAGGAAAAGATTAATCTCGGGTAACACCATCCGATAGTTGAATAATGCATGCCGTGCCATGTCGTTTATTGGGTTACGATTTCCATGTATTTTCGAATAGGTAGATTCAATGTCGAGGTCAGGGAAACTCACTCAAACGTGGGAAAAGTACGGTTAGAAAAGCTATAGAAAAAGTTAGGCTATTTACTGTATAAGTATTTAAGTACAGCGACGAAGCATTACAAGTTCTCACTGTCAGGAAAATAGATTTTATTGAAGTTTTCGAGAACTCGCGAAAAGTGCGATACGTACTTATTGAAGAGTTATATACGTTATTTAATATTAACTACGCTTTCTCGCTTGCTTGGGAGAATCGGCGTCTTCCGGCGAGGCACCACTCACCTAATGGGAAATTGGTTTTGAAGCTGGGATGTGTATTCTTCCAATACAACACAGTTAAGTCTAACAATTCGCGCAATCGCGAGAGATATATATGGTGTCCATAAAGTCTCAACATTTTTCAAAATTGCAAAGGGAATTTATCATATATTGGTATTGTTTTGGCCTTTATAGATGTATCAAATGAAGTAAAAAGACATGAACAATTACTGATTAATAAACAACAAACCTGGTTGAGATATATTGAGAACTGACTTCATATTGAAATTAAAATTGAAAGGGACTTTATGGACGCCCTGTATGTCGATTACATGCCAGACTTAAATTTTCCTTTTTGATATTTAGTTATACTATATTTCTTAAAGCATTCCAAGTTATAGCTCACTTAAATACGGAAAGTGTTGCAATAGAATTAAAAGTAAACACCAACTCTTAGAGAAACTTTTACGGGTTTATTATAGTGACAGAGGCATGGTGTATGCGATGCCAGCACGGTAGATTCTAATGTTTAACCGTTAGACCAACTGTTCTCGCAGCCCCACATTGAGGCCGCTAAGCGGTTGAAGGGGGGACACAATGCTAGACGCAAAACTGATTTCTACTTTCCACTTCCAAGAGAACTCCCCATTTTTTTTCATTACGTTGCTTGATAAAGGTGTTTTCAATGTTGTCGAGAATGAATTGTTTGAAATTATAGCGACTTGGAATCTACCAATCATGATAATACTCCAAACACCACTGTAATGATAATAAGGAGGCCATGAGTGATAAAAATTCCCAGAAGGAGCCACCAGCCATAAAATGTTAGTACCCACTGCGTTATGCCACCTCGTCGTTCTTATTCCAATTGGATTCGACCCCGCGACCTTAGTCCTCATTTCCGGAAACACCTGTGTTATTAAGAGTATCACGTTCGCCTGTTAAAATTCTTCGGGTTACGAGATTACGATTTAATCGATTTTATCGACTTTGACTGTCGCTTGCATTATTTGCTTCAATAGGCTTTATGTGACGTTTTCTCCCTGTGAGAAAGGTATTGATCGAAATTGTGATGGTGTCTGCTGTTTAATTGCAATAATAGTTGTTTATAGTGTAAGGAATTCGCTCGTTTGGGTTATGAATCTTATTTGTCAAAGACTTGAATGGACTATAGTCGTCATCTCAGTTAATTTCAACGCGTTTTCTTTATAGAAGTAATATTCTATTTTGAGTATTCGCGCTGATGGTTTCGCGGTAATTGACTTTGCAAAAACGATTTCTCGAAACAGGATTTAATCGTTTGTCTTGATTTCCTGCATTTCCAAATTTGGATTCATTGTATTTTTTGCTAGAAGGTTATTTTTATTCTTTGCTAAATTTGCTATGAATCCTATGAGATCTGATATTTCATCCAAAATTTCGCTATATTTTAATTTTTCATGGCAACACGGTTTTTTATCCGCCAATCGGGATGACTGTTTCCGATTTGACACGACGTTACGCGAAACTCGGGAGATTAAAATTGATACCGGTAGGTACCGTACGATAAGTACTTTGTTTTGAATTTCGTGTCTCTCTTATTGACGAGAAGATTTGTATTTATAGAGAGTGAAGAAGATTCATAACTTTTGGCAAACCAGTACGTTGATGATTCGAAACGATACGACCATCAGATTCTGCTATCACCCAATATACCAATCCAAATATACTTTTATCTCAATTTAATTAGATATTGAACATTAGGGGTCGCTACTCGATAACCTGGTCCCGCGGCTTCCTTTCCTCAGTAAAAATGTGTGTTGAATTTCATTTATTTTTCTCAATTTTGTAAGTTATTTCTTACGTTATTTCTGGACATAGTAACTTGACTATGACTATCTAATTTGGCTATTTCTACCTAAAAATCGTTTTCTATGTTTACAGTTTAAACGATTGGCAAGTTAAATTAGGCGAAAAAGAACCGGAGCAATGTCGATGTGATAAAACTCCGGCACCACCACCGAAAAAAGAGACTCCACCACCTAAAAGTGGTAAGCATAGAAATTAAGAATGATGATTAGCATATATATATATATAGCTGACATGGTCAAAGTACCGCCCGCGGGCCGAATCTGGCCCACTGGGTAATTCAGTCTGGCCCGTCTGATGCTGTCACAACCAAATTAAAACCTAATTTAGGTATTTTAGCTAAAAAAAGCTCAATGATTTGTTGTGATTGTGATTTAATTTTGGTACGAGGCTTATTTTCCCCGTTTTTGCTTTTGAAACACTCTAAATACATTATGTCACGCTTACAGCGCCCGCCAGTACAGTTGGGCAAAATCTTTGGCAGAGGTCCAAAAACTTTGTCTACACTTGCGTTAAACAATAAATTGCTTAGTTTTAGCCTCATATTAATCTTTCTATCTTCGTGCTCATATAACTTTAAGCATTGCTTTTTTTTTATTCAGATTCCTCGTCTTCAATTGAATACGTCACAGGTCGACAGGTCAGTATCGGAGACAGCGAAGAACGACCTTTAACAGACGACGAAGGTAAATATTTATTTGTCTACCTACGTCCTACACTGTACGTCACTCATTATGCGAAATTAGATTCTGCTTTTTTGATCTATTGATACGGCTTTTCATTAAAAGTGCAACTATCTATTCCACTCTTAGGCTCTCGTGATTTTGGGTCCGCAGTAGAACTGGGCATTTCGAATCGAATCGGATAGTAAATTATTCGAATCGGTTCATATGGAAATTTCGAATTGCCGCCATCTTGTTTTTTATATGGCCGCCAAAAAGTCGAAGTTCATTCTACAATTTCCTTTATTGAAGCCATATTTTTACAATGTAATTCTGATATATGAGTCTTTTCTTCCTAGTAAGTTATTCATGAAACATGTTTCTTATATGTTTGAGCGCTCAGCAAACTGCTTTGAGTGATGGATTCTAGGTTTTCAGTACGTTATGTGCTGGGAGGGACCATCACAATAAAAATTCACATACATTTGAATATCTTCCAAATATTCGAGATTCCATTCAATTCGAAAAAATTATTCGATCCGATTCTGAAATCGTTATGAATTCGAAAGCCAGCCCTACCCTCCACAGTCTTACATTGCAAAAAAGCTGTAACAGGAAATTAATGACTATTTTATTTGATTCGCTCACATTAACCCGTGTGCATGTAATGTAAGGGTATTGTAGTAAGGATAAAATGATTATTACAAATGAGTCTTACTGGTAATCGACACAAATATATATTTACATTACTGTTCTGCTATTTTATTGATATACCTTACGAAAACACTACATGAAAAAATCCTCTGTCTCTCAGGTTCACAAGAGATCGAAGGCATCGTGAAAAAATTTGGTGGCAGCTCAAAAATGTCAGAAATCATGGAAGCGCCACTCGGTCCTTCGCCACTCAAGCCAGCAGCAAGTTCCAGTACGAATGGATCAGGTTCATACAGCGGCACAGCGTTGTTATCTGTGGATATGCCACCACCTAGTGGTAAGTTGCTAAGCAACATTTATTGTAACTTGAGCTTTCTTCATATAAATTTCGACAATTAGATATTTTTACTTGGAAATCACATGTTATCCGCTTTTATATAAGAGGGAATACTACAAAATACCAGCGGTGACTTTTGTTATATCATAATTCACTTACTGACAATCGCGTGTTTTTCAAAGTTTTTTCTCTCCCTCGGGTTAAATATGTAAATTCTTCATTATTTCACAAAACGTCATCACGGCGACACCATAACAGTTCAGAGACCATGAAACCAATCTATATCATCTTCTTTATGATAATTTTAGACCATGACTAGCCAAGTGACCCCCGTAGTATTTGTACCTGAAATTATGGCCTGACCCTAACATGGTACACATACTACGTTCCGGAGTCCACCATCTCGGTTCACATACTACGGTAGTACCCATAAAACATCAATTAAAAAACTCGAAAAACTAACATTTTATTTATTATTAGCTGGACGCAGACGAAAATCTCTCAAAACAATTTTCCGATTGGGTTTTCTGACGACAAAAAGTAAACAGCGAACTAAGAGTAAATCTGACGACGGTATGCCCTCACCTGATACTGGACCGGCACAACCACGTGAGTATGACGTCATATGGATTGCGTCACTAGTTGATTATTATGTCATATTGATTTATAAGCAAAAATGCGAATGCGATCCCTCTATCCCTAATTTAGTTTTGGCACGAGGCTTATTGTTTTCCACTTTTGCTTTTGCAACATTGCGAATGTTGTTCATAATATGTAACATTTCACTTCACACTTACATGGCCCGCCAGTCTAAGTGGCCAAAACCTTGGGAAGTATACTGGCAGTGAATGCCTCTTTTATAGTGAAATTTTTTGAATGAGAGGTTTCGCAATATTTTTTTGCGTACAATGTGAATCTGTGTATCATCTTGCAGAATGATTATGCATGCGTCTTTTTTTTTTTTTGGGGGGGGTTCTTTCCAACTGTTGAACAAACCGATTTTCAAAAGTTAAAATATGGAAGGGCAACGAGAAGACCTTTTTTTTTATTTATGTTTAAATTTAATCTTGGGCTCTCTGGCGCTTAATATTTCGGCTCAAATTTTGGAAAATTTTTATAATCTACACGTGGTTTTCCGTTAATTGATTTCAGCCATCTTCGTTTCGACTACGATTAATCATACTCATATTTTTATACATTACTCTTTGTATACCTAATAATTGTTTAACCTTTAACCTTTTGTGTCTCATTTATATCAGCCGGACGACGCGTCGTACAGAGGCGAATGTCTCGTTTAGAAATGAACGAACCAATAGAAGATATTTTTTCCGAGGTCAAGTTTGAAACCATACAAAAACGTCCTTCTACGTCAAATAGCGCCGGAAATGACGTCAGCGAAGATGATGACGACATAATCGAAGATCCTGAGGTCATAATGAGATCGATTATGAGCAAAAAAATTGTCGCTAACGAGGATGACGATATTTTCTTCGAAGGCGTCGTCAAACCCGGAATTGACGTAAACGGTGACGTCACAAACCCGGAACTCCTGGAAAAAGATCTTTTACTTCCCGAATCGGAAAGAAATCGTCCCCCATTGGCGCCCGTTTCGGAAGAAATTTCAATAAAAATTTCAGACGAAGACTCGAGATGATTATTACGTCATCAATGACGTCATGATTACAAATGACATACTGTAAATGATATTTTTTAGATTATAATACATTTATTACTATTCTTCCGTACGCGGTATCAATTTTTATTATTTTGTAACCATGTTATAATTAGGCCGTCTCACCTCTCACAAGATAAATATCTAAATATCAGGATAACTAGGAAAATCCCATACCTTATGTGGACTCTATTTCCGGCATTAGACAACAATTAGCTATTTAAATAAGTACGTAATGTCCTTTCCTGTTTTTTATAAGAAAAATTCTTGACCTGGGCTTGAATAGAGATAAATAGTATGAAATATTATTGAGTCGTCTCATCGGTTTTCCTCTTCCCAGGAAAAATGCGAAATGCTATTCAATTCCCATAATATTCTAAAATAGTGATTCTCACCTTTTATGAGTCGTGGCTCACTTCAGCACGCGCATGGTCTGTTCATAATTTCAATGGTATTCATGGTGTTATTTTGATTAGTGGATTCTAAATCCCATTATGTTTTAAACCAGGGGTGTGCAACCTTTTTTATTGGCGGGCCAAATACAAGTAACTGGGTGAAGCCCCGGGCCGCACCTTTATTTAATTTAGGCTTTCTGGTAGTTGCAAGCAAAAAAATTGCCTACATTTGCTATTGATCTTACGGCATTATTAGGGGTTCTTGCAGAAATAGTAGATTTAAAACGCATAAACTTCTGAAGAAACTGCTATTTAACTTTTTTGTCACACCGACTTCAAACGAATGCAGTGAAAAACACGTTTTTGTAATAAAAAATAGTGTATTTTGCAACAGAATTTTGCTAGCTTGTTTTGCTAATATGACTGGTATGGGCTTTGTGACGAAAAAGAATAAATACTCGTTTTGCGGGTACACTATTCGAAATTGTTATTTCTCCGCGGGCCGCACAACTTCTTCTTGTGGGCCGCATTTGGCCCGCGGGCCGCAGTTTGCACACCCCTGTTTTAAACAATTCATGCACAACAAAGTGAAAACACCTTGTGAAATACCCTCATCAAGTAATAAAAATAGGAAGAACGGGGAGCTTTCTAGTAAAGGGAAAAGTAAAATCAGTTTTGCGCCTGGCATTGTGGCCCGCTTCTAACTGCTATGTGGCCCCTTGGGGAATGTGGCCCGCATTTTGACTAACCCTCTTTGTCCAATTTCCTCCCAGTGCAGTAACACCGATTTTAAACCAAAACTCCCTTATTACCCAATCAAAACAAAAAACGATCTGTTGCACTTTAGTTGGCTATCACTCCACTGTGAGGTATTGTATATATAATTAAATACTACTTATTAGTCGCTAGAGCTTTATTATTATGTGATAATAGAATAATTATGATATCAAAATGGTCAAATTATGACGTCACTATTACTATTTTAAAAACTGTTCATGGATTCATTATGACGAAAATACACAAATTGTATGCTTTTTTCGTGCAAGATCGACAATTGTAATCGTAAATTCTTCAATTTTGTACTTTTATTCGATTCTGCTTTATTTCTTGCATTTCCATTATCTGAGTTTTTTATAGGGGAGAAGTCGCTCAAGATATATTTTAACAAAATAATTCCAGTTGTAACCTTTAGCTTTCACCGTTTCAGTCAACAAATTTATGCAATACTGAATCTCAATAGAATCGGAATATTTCAATAACTTGACAAAAATTTGGATTTTGACCTGTAAAGCAAATCACTTCTATTTTGAATATAATTCTATGTCTTTAATGAGATTTTACATTAAATATCGGAATTTTTGCAATAAATACCTTTTATCTTACACTTTGCTGAGAGAAAGAATAAGGATACAAAGTAATTTGGTTTGAGAGCATGTAACATAGCGGGGTTTAAAGACGACGGCGATCGACAGTAATAGAAAGACCGTCTTCCTCGCTAAACGACTGTTAACTGTCTTAAGAATATTGACGGAATACTCAGCTATTCTGTTGTCCCAAAAATATACAACATAAAGCACTCAGAAATATCATCATCGCTTTAGGGTTGGACATTTCGAATCGTATGTTATGTTATTCAGAGCAAAAAATTTCGAATCGCCGCCATCTTGTTTTTTTTCCTTCCGCCAATGGTCGTTTCTGTAGTGAGTTACATATTAAAACGTTTTTCCTATTGTGTGTGAACGATCAGCAATCTGTCTGAGTAATGTATTTTACGTTTTCAGTAATTCATGTGTTGATAGGACCAATTACAATAAAAAAAATTCACATACAATTATATATCTCCCAAGTATTCGAGATTCGCTTCGAAAAAAATATTCAATTTACTTCTGAAATCACCAAGTATTCAAAAATGCTCAGCCCTACATCCCCCCTCACGGTACAATAGTGTATTTAATACACTAGTAATACACTGTATTACAAGTGCTCATATTGATAGATACAAGTCAGATACATGTGCAGTGTAAGTGGAGTAAAATATACGAAGTAAATATAATGAATAAACAAGCAATTGAAAAAACGAGACAACAATGTACAAACGTACGTACAACGTGGAATCGTCATATGAGAGAACTAACGTATACGTAATGGTATCGTAAGGCAGAAGTATGATATGAATGTATATAGTATATGCTATTTGTTCGGAACGTGAAGGTTTAAAAACGCCTCGTATTAACATTTTATTGCTAATTTGATTGACTATAATTCTAAATGTGTACTGAGATTTGCGCGAAATAAATTCCAGATTTTGGCAATAATAAATTTTCACTTTGGTACCAGAAATAATAGGTCAAATGGTATTATAATATATGGTGTCCATGAAGTTTCATAAAGAAATTTAAATACCGTGGCGTATCTAGGGTATGGCACGGCTCAGGCCGTTTTGATAGGAAATTGGAAATAATTGAAACTCGTATTTTTACTAGAATAATAACGTACAAGTACTTCAATTCAACAACAGTCTTAAAAATTTCCAGTCAACGATCAAGGGGGCGCATTTTCAAACTTTGCCGTGGGAACATTAACTGATTAAAAAACAACAAACCCGCTTAAGATATATTGAGGACTGACTTTCTTTTGAAATTATAAAGGGACTTTATGGACACCCTGTATACACATATACGATATGGAAAAACTGTGACTTTTTCCTGTCTTCCAAATATAATCGACGATTCTGCGGTTTCCCTGCTTGTTATATTGTTACACTCAATAAGGATTTGGTGGTTGTGACCGCTTATATTTTAATTATAGATTAATTAATTAGGACGGTTCATCACAGTCTTCCACACAAGAATGAGGCCGCGTTGTGTATATATAGTGCGGCAAGGATCAAGTCCATGCATCTGAAAACAAACAACTGGCTTACTAATCCCATACACGACATGGACTGGTAACCGAACGAAAGGCCGTGGTTCACCATATAATAAAGCCATTTTATTGAATTTACTCTCCCCCGGGATAAATATATATATAGCCTAAATCCCAAGCCTAAAGCTGATTGGGCGAGTCTTGTTGAGGGCATGCTGACGATGGCCAAATAAGCAACGTGTGTCCTGGATATATTTGGTAACCTATGTTAACTTTTGGGAGCCATAGGCAAAATTGATAGACGGGAACCTAGTCTGGGTAAAAGTGTGAAAAATTAAAATTTTGTAAAATGAAGTTAATTCGTCTTAAAACATTTTATTTCGTTTCAACTAACTACTAAATCGTGATCAAAATAACTTCACACGGCATGTGTGTAGGAAACCTCATGCAGTATAGAATTATTATTGAGTACATGTTGATTTACATCTGACGCGCGGCCCACGATAGATGGTCCTGGATAGGATAGAATAGGATAGGATTTACATATTTATCCCGGGGGAGAGGAAAGCCGATAAGACGGCTTATCCATATGGCGAACCACGGTCTCTCGTCCGGTTACCATTCCAAGTCGGGTATGGGATTAGTTTTACTGTATTGTTTGTTTTCGGAAGCATGGACTTGGTGGTGGAGGAAGCCGTAACCGATCAGCGGTTACGTGAACCACCCAACGACGGCGAGGAGTCCAGCAATCCTCTCGCACATAACCACCCCTGCATGGGATTTGAACCTGCGAACCCACGCAGTGTAGTTAGAGGTGCGGTGGCGAGCGTATTCCTAACGCTTAGCCCGTTGAGCCACACCGCCGCGCCGCCTGGAAGGACGTAACCAGGGGATTCACAGCACTGTCTCCATTCGACACTGTACCTACACACTCAAACCTGTAACTATGTTCCACAAACCGAGATTGTATACTAAAATCTTATATAAATATAAAGATATAATCCTAGGCAAACTGGATGTTTGGAGGTGGATGGTTTGAGTTGCGATAGGCATAAAATGAACAGAATGTGTAAAAAAATTCACCAGTGTGTTTTTATTAACACAGCCATTGTTTATTTTTATTTGTCACGCTAAATTACTTCGGATTCCTCAAGCTGCGTTAAATTGCTTTAAGTCAAGTCTATACTTCCGAAAACAAATAACTGGCTAACTAATCCCATACCCAACATGGAATGGTAACCGAACGAGAGGCCGTGGTTCGCCATATTATTCAACCGTCTTATCAGTTCCCTGTTCCCCGGGATAAATATGTAAATCTTCTCTCATCACACATGGCATAATGTGAACTTGCTTGTCCTTGCAATGATTCTTAACGTCACCCACGCTATTTTAAATTACTTACCTTTAAAACACCAATGCACATAAACTTGGGCCACGGAGCACCTGACAGTTGACAGTAGCGGTAGCGGAGTATTCTGTCGGAGGCATTGAGGGTGTGGACCTTTCCCCGAGCATCGACTTCCTTGTTTACTTCGTGACATTGGCCAATCAGCAAATTGCAAAAAGTGACGTAACAAAGCTACCTTTTCGCATCCGCTCAGACACTTTTCTCATTCAGACAGATTTTCAAGCGTGGTCGTAAACATTACCTCGTTTTCGCATTTTTGAACTCTATTCGTTAGTTTTCAGTTTTGTTTTGGAAACTTAAATGTAAATCAGATATGTCAATGGTCACCCTGTCTTCCTAGGAGTTTTAATTTAATTGCAGTAATAAAAATTAGTGTAGAAATAGCTGTGATAGACTAGGCTAAAACTCTTCAACGGTAATTTTAAAAAACAGATTGTTGTATGCGATGAATCATAATGATGATTTGAAACACATACCCCATTTTACAAGCTCCAACTCGCAAAAGAACTCTTAGAATAGCCCCGAAAATTTTGCAATGGTAAAGTATAGGAAGAATTTTTCGGGGGTCAAAGGTCGGGGAAAGGTCATTGTAGTGGCGAATTTTGAGAAAAAATTAAAGCTTTGTTCATTCGTTTTTTCCGTGGTCATACAGGTATCTCCAAAGATATTAATGCATTCTATTTGACGTAAATTTCGCTCGTGTGTTACCAGTATGGGATATTTTTGTTTAGATACAATCTTGAAGGTGAAATCCTCCAGATCAATAACGCGTTTAGTGTTTGTATTTCACTTATCTTCCAGTAAATCAGCGCTAATTATTATTGTAGAATTAGAACAAAAAGTTCAAAGGAATTCGAAAAAACTTAAAACTGAATGACTTCTAGTAGGCATTTAGATTAATCCAAGCATATATTTTGATAACAACCTTTATCACGTGGGTCATGAAAAGATCAAGAAAGGTCGAATTACATGCATGGTTGGCTCCGCTGTCCTTTGGTTGACGTTTGCTAGTTTTCTTTTGCTGCCCTATTCTCCAAGTTTAAGGCTTATTTTCAAGATTTAACAAGTTTGATTACATACGTTACGGTACGGTATATCTTGAACACATCCTGCGACGGGATATCAAGGCTCGGCGGTGTGGCGGATGGTGCTCAGCTTTGAAATACTGGTACAGTATTACCAGGCAAAGGCAGGCATCAGACCATACGGTCGGGTACTGCTATGGCTATTCTGATTTTTTTTTATACGGTACCGGTACCGGTACCGGATTATTTTGGGTTTCGTGTAGTTTCGTACCTAACCTACTTCTAATAGGCGTAGCATAACAATTTTTCGATATGTCAATCCTAACCCCCATCTGACTACATCATCCAAAAATAAGGTCACTACGACATTACAATCATGTCATAGAGCTTGCCAAATATACGTACGATCGCCCGAAATAGCCACCGCGCCGAAGTTAAAGAACTGACTGACATCATCGATCTCTCTCCTATCGGGATCGCGGGTCTCGTGTAGTTTCGTACCGTACCTAACGTTTTTCTAGTGGGCGTAGCTTAACAATTTTTTTGATATGTCTATCCTAACCCCCATCTGACTACGCCATCCAAAAATACGTCACTACGACATCACAATCACGTTATAGAGCTTGCCAACTATACGTACAATCGCCTGAAATGAAATTGGCCCCGACGATGAAGAGCTGACTGACGTTATCGATCTCTCTCCTATTGGAATCGTTGCGACAAGAAAACGAGAGAAATAACTGTTTGATTTCGGGTGCTCGTTTGCGCGTCTTGGATGGTAGTTCGTATAGTTTGAAGGGCTCTATTACGTCACTGTGACGTCGTGTTGATGTAGTTTTGAAATGGTGTAGTCAGGTGGGGGTTAGGATTGATACGTGAAAAAATTGTCATGCTACGCCCACTAGAAGTATGTTAGGTACGAAACTACATGAGACCCGGGATCGCGACGAGAAAACGAGAGAAATAGCTGTTCGATTTCGGGTGCTCGTCTTGGATGGCAGTTCGTATAGTTTGAAGGGCTATATTACTGTATTACGTCACTGTGACGCAAATTTTAGATGGCGTAGTCAGGTAGGGGTTAGTATTGACAGGTGAAAAAATTGTTATGCTATGCCCACTAGAAGTATGTTAGGTACAAAACTACATGAGACCCATTATTTTTCCTAGAAATCCAATGGCTGAATGGTGACTTTTTATGATTGTCCTTTTATTTTTTTTTGCACTGTGCCGATTTGAAGACCCTGACAGTCTCATAAAGAAGGGGTTAGCACTCACAGTTTGACCAGTAACAGTAATTGATTTTCTCACGTCTCATGTAGTTTCTTACCTAACATACTTCTAGTGGGCGTAGCATGACAATTTTTCCACGTATCAATCCTAACCCCCACCTGACTACGCCATCCAAAAATTACATCATTACGACGTCACGGTGACGTAATAGAGCCCTTTAAACTATACGAACTGCCATCCAAGACGCGCAAACGATCACTCGAAATCGAACAGTTTTTACTCTCGTTTTCTCCTCGCAACGATTTTAATAGGAGAGAGATCGATAACGTCAGTCAGTGCTTTATTGTAGGCGCCAATGCCATTTTGGGCGATTGTACGTATATTTGGCAAGCTCTGTGACGTGATTGTGATGTCGCAGTGACGTAATTTTTGGATGGCGTAGCCAGATGGGGGTTAGGATTGACATATCAAAAAATTGTTATGCTACGCCCACTAGAAGTACATTAGGTATGAAACTACACGAGACCCATTTTCTCTAATGTGGAGGCTATTCTTGCAATTGGAGAACTGTACGATACTGTCTAAAACAAAAAATATCCACCAGCATTCGTGAGAATATTTTCTTCCCATTTTGCCATATTATTTTTTTAGTTTCCCTGTAGTTTGGGTTGTAATATTTTAGTTAAATCTAGTTTATAAAATGTATTCAAGATTTGCAAAGAATTTAGTCAAGCCTGCGAGACAGCTGAAGCAGGTTGTTCAACGCGGAGAAGCAACACGAGCTGTTGTACAAGTCAATACTCCGGAAACACGAGTAACAACTTTATCCAATGGATTCCGAATTGCAACTGAAAATTCTGATCTACCGACATGTACCGTTGGTTTATGGATTGACGCCGGAAGTCGTTACGAATCCGAGAAGAACAACGGTACTGCGCACTTTTTAGAGCACATGGCGTTTAAAGGAACATCAAATCGCTCTCAATTGGAATTAGAATTGGAGATTGAAAACATGGGTGCACATCTTAACGCTTATACTTCTCGTGAGCAGACTGTGTATTATGCGAAAGCATTTTCGAAAGATCTACCACAGGCCGTCGAAATTCTCGCTGATATTATTCAAAACAGCACTCTTGGAGAAGCAGAGATTGAGCGCGAACGAGGCGTGATACTGAGGGAAATGGAAGAAATCGAACAAAACCAACAAGAAGTTGTTTTCGATTATTTACATGCGACTGCGTACCAAAATACTCCGCTGGGTTTAACGATCTTGGGGCCGAGTGAGAACATCAAGTCGATAACACGAAATGATTTGGTAACGTATATCCAAAGTCGATACAAGCCATCTTCAATGGTCATGGCAGCAGCGGGGGGCGTCAACCACGACAAACTGGTTGAATTAGCGAAGCAATACTTTGGAGCTACGGAATCCAGTGTAGCAGAATCCCTATCAAATAGCCTTAAACCTTGCCGCTTCACTGGGAGTGATATGCGACATCGGGACGACAGGATGCCATATGTTCATGTTGCCCTTGCAGTTGAAGGAGTTGGATGGAATCACTATGACACCATACCGCTGATGATTGCGAATCAAATTATTGGAACATGGGATCGCTCTTCGACTAACGGAGCTCATTTTCCGAATCCTCTCATGCGTAGAATGGCAAACGAAAATCTTTGCGTTAGCTTCCAGTCATTCAATACTTTGTACACTGACACTGGTCTATGGGGAATTTATTATGTCACAGATAACGCAAATGTGTTTGATTGTACGGTCCGTATTCAAGATGAGTTAATGAGAGTCTGTCACCAAATCTCAGATTTCGAAGTTGAACGTGCGAAAAACACGCTTCTTACTAACATGGCAATTATGATGGACGGGACAACTCCAATTTGCGAAGACATCGGAAGACAGATGTTATGTTACGGACGCCGAATCCCATGGCCGGAAATGACAATGAGAATCCAACAAATTGGAACCCAGGATGTCAAAGATGCGATGCAAAAATACGTTTACGACCAAGACCCCGCTGTTGCGGCTATCGGACCCACAGAAGCTTTGCCAATGTACACCAACATTCGTGCTAAAATGTACAAAGTACATTCTGGATTATTTAACTAAAATGACTCTCAATTCTGCAGAAATAACTTTAAAAAAATTTAAAATTCTGTCTTTTGCTGTTTTTTATTGAAAAGTGTTCTCAGTTTTGGGCATTTTGATTCTTTTTAGTCATTGGTGGTGATATATTTTTCCTTCTTTGAGTTTTTTGGGTAACTTATTCTGTTATTTATGGTTATTACTTATATCAAAACTCTAAAAGTTTCATAAATATAGCGTAATACAGTGTGAGTCGCTAGGAAAACAGAAAATTTGTCAAACAGATATTTATTTTTAAAAAGAATAACTTGTGCAAAGATTTTTGAAGGCATACCAGATTTGCTCGTTTTGTAGCCCGGGCCCATATTTTTTTTTAAAACTCACTAACCGGGGCCCTTATTCAAACCGGCCCTTATTCAAGCAAGGGCGCTTGTTATTTTTAAAATAAAATTCTACACAAAAATTATGATATCTTTGAAGACAAATATTTGACGACATTAATCCGTTGTGACAAAAGCGCTTCTTATTTCCTTATCGCCCTTATTCATTTTTATGTTCTGTTCACACGGGCGACTATTCAAACGGGCCCTTAATCAAGATCGGGCGGTAAAACGAGCATATACGGTATGTTATATTCCACTTATAGATGCTCAAAATGTTGTCCGTGCACTTCAGAGCGATGTCTTAACCTAGAAGTCCAAGCTCGTGTAGCGTTTTGAAGATAAACTTGTGGGATATTGTTCCAATTCAACCTATACCTATACTCATTTTATTCATGATCTCGTCTTACTTTCAAATTTTCTGCTTTTTTCTAGCGACCATTCTGTATGATATTTCATTACCTGGGTTGGCAAGTTCTGTTATATTAATAGAAAATCTTGATTAATTTTCATCAAATGATTGTATTATTCGATATTTCAGCTTTGAGTACTATTCTGTTGGTGTTATTGTTACAAAATCTCTGATCATTTTTTTTGTACTGTTTATCTTACTGATAAGATAAGTTCAGATAAGAAGCTAGGTTATTACCTTCCAACTTATCCCAATCTATGATAAAATAGAATGGAAGAAAAGAGATCTCAAATTTATAATAAAATTTGACGTTCCATATTTAAAAGTATCATCTTATAATGTATTCAGAATAGTAGATTCTTAGATTTGAATATCCTCTGATTTAAAATAACTATCCTTTGACATTACTAGGTCAACCAAAACTCCATATAACTAAAATAAAACTCAGTTTTCATTTGCTGTCAAATCTCCTATTGTTATGTCATAAATATATTATTTGCTCATAATATGTTCCAATTTGAATTCTGAATGCTAAACTGTTGTGCTTTTTTGTTTAACTTAGTTATTTTAGTTAATTTAACATAATTTATAATAGTTATATGCAACAGAAGCTTCACTCAAAGGAGATTCTCACAATATTCAGGAAACTTCAAGAATCAAGAGTGCATCAACTGTGACCTGGCCTGGAGAAATTTCCATAAAAACTGTTCACAATTATCAGTTCACCATGGAAATATTGTCCTATAAGTGACAGCAATTGTCCTAGAAGTGACACAGCGTTCCTCTGAAAAACATTTGGTTACAAAGTTGAGTGTTCTTGAACTTGTATAGATGCGTTTAGTTGGACATGTGTGTGACCTGTCTTGGAGCAAGTCCTCAAAAAAGCTTTTAATACTTTGCTCAGCGGGAATGCTATTTCTCGCCTTGCCTCTGTAGAGCATTTGGTTGTGTATTCTTTCTTTTCGCACACTAACAATTGTAACAAAGAAAAAATTAGAAAAAGTATTTTTTCAACAACATCAAATATAGAATCCGCAAACAATTTCAGCCTCATTTGAGAGAAAAAGACAATTTTTCCCAATTTTTGTCCCATTTTAATGAACCATGTCGAAAACCCCAAGCCGTCGATCAGTTCTAGTGAAACATGTCGGAAATGAAGATGTGGAGCATCACGTTACTATGCTTGGAGTCAAGAACCAACGAAAAACAAGATCTTCTATGGGAATAGCAGCGGAGTTCTTTAACGATGTCCCAAAAATTGAGAAGAAAAAGCCTTCTGAGTACCCTAAAAAGAAAGAAAAAAGCGTCAAAATTGCGGAAAATGAAGAAAAAGACATTTTGAGTGAAATCACGTCACTCGTTCCGACATCGTTACTTGAAAGTAACGTACAATATGGAGGAGTAGATGTGTACGGTTTTAAAACTCCGAAACGAGCTAAACAAATGTCGAAACTAGCGTCTGAATCTGCAAGAAAAGTATCCAGTGCAAAACAATCGGCGAATAATGAAAATAACGATCCATTGGTTGAAAAAAGTAACTCCAAAACGCCGAAGAAAAAATCGAAGACTTCTAAGACACCTTCCAAACCAGCCACAGAAAGAGAGCCTAAAACACCAAGTGTCAAGTTCGCTGAAAATGACACCGACGGTTCATCTAAAACGCCAGGTAAAAAATCGAACAACGATGCACTTGATACACCAACAAGAACCTCGAATCGCACAAAAAAATATCTTGTTCAAGAGATGCAAGCTAATCAACAAGTTGACAATAATTCTGACTCCAGTGAAGAGGAAAATAGTGAAGATGAAGTAGAACAAGATGAACGACAAGGTTTGTGAATTAAACTATCTTGATTAAGTTCATGTCTCATGTGAATCAGCATGGACTTATGAATCGTTTTAGATAGGTTATGATTTGCATATTTATCTCGGGGGATGGGAGAGCCGATAAGACTGCTTAATTATATGACGAACAACGGTCTCTCGTCCGGTTGCCAGTCCGCTGGTTGTAGTGGCGAACGTATTCCTAGCACACAGCAAGATGTGTTGGTATCTTGTTCTCATGGTTACCTTATTAGAAAATCGCTCTTGGACTAATTGCCTCTGAAATTTTCAGTGTTTAAAGATTGAATTTTTCCTAGAAGGCTAAAATTGATTTCAAAACTTGCTGTGGTATCTAAGGGATTTGATTTTTTTTGTGCAATGATGTGCCGGTTTTGCATTCATTACTATCTGGTAGTCAGACGAAGTCATGAAAACCGCGGTACTGGTAGTCTACTGTTATTAAAGATTGCATACACGTACTACTTTGTTATGGTATTCTTGTCCATATATTTTTTAACTCAACTGTTAATTTATCATTTTCTTAACTGGCATATTTTTCTTAGATCAAACCCCAGTGCCGCAGCCATCAAAAAGAATTGCCTTGCCATCGGAAACAGAGCTTTATTTCGAGGCTCATAAAAGTGGAAGAAAATTGGGTGCAAGCACTTCTGATCGAACTCTAGCACGACTAAAAATACCTCAAATGAACCAAGAAACAATGCATTCTATCTTAGAGGAATTACAGAACAATAAAATCGCGGGATTAAAAAATTCTAATCCGCATATGTTCAGCAAAGTAGAAAAAATCGAGCTTTCTCGCCAGTGGCTGATTCAAGGCTATGAAGGATATTTTCGTAAATGGATGTTTTATATTTTTAACGATTATAATATTCTACTATACGGACTGGGATCAAAACGCCACCTAGTGCATGAATTTTGTGAAAAAATGCTCTCAGAGTTCGACAAAATTGTTATAAATGGTTATTTTCCAAGTTTAATCATACGCTCAATTTTGGCGTCAATTTGCGAGGTTGCGGACGTAAATATCACCATCGGAGGGAGCCAACAGCAGGCTCAAGTTGACGCAATATGTAAAAAATACACAGACAATGAGTTTGTAGATCATTTATTCTTGATAATTCACAATATTGATGGAACAACTTTACGAAACAATAAGACTCAAAATATTTTAAGTCGCCTAGCGTCGTGTCCGCGGATTCATGTTATTGCAACCATAGACCACATAAATGCTCCCCTCATATGGGACCAATCCAAGTTATGTCGATTCAAATGGCTCTGGTACGATGTAACAACGTACGAACCTTATAAAGACGAAACTTCATTTGAGGGTTCGCTTCTTATGTTGACCAGTGGAACTGGTATCGGTGGTTCATTAGCTCTAAGCGGCCTCGTCCATGTGGCAAGAAGTTTAACTCCTAATGCTCGAGGAATTTTTAAACTTCTCACAGAGTTTCAAATCGAGGAGTCAAAATCGAGTAATTATATCGGACTCTCTTTTTCTGATTTGTATCAGATGTGTCGTGAAAAGTTTCTTGTCAACAGCGAGCTGACGCTGCGGACTCAACTTACGGAATTTCTCGACCATAAACTTGTTGAAATCAAAAAAGGTATTGATGGTGGCGAATATCTCTCTATTCCCCTCGATAACGCTACTTTGCAAGAATATTTAGATCAATCACTTTGAGAATGAGGAATTTTGTTAGAAGGGATTGTGATTACTTGTTTTTGAGTTGTTTTCACACTCCTCCAAGCTTTGTTCGCCTAATATCCACTGTTCAGAAACCGTCATTTTCACTCTGATATTCATGTTTTATTTTCACTGAAGTTCGCTGTCATTTTTTGTGAACTAGACCAGAATCTTTTCAGTTCAGAAACTGAATTGATTGATTTTCAGTTGCTTTTTTCACCCATGTCTGGCTCCACTGATATGTGATAAAATTCTTGAGAAGACCAAAATGTTTGCATATTTTTGCTTACCATTGTTCGAATTTTGTTTAAATTATTTGAACACACTTAAGATGTTCATCCTCCAGTTAATTGAGAAACTGAACTGACTGATATTCTTTGTTCCATTTTCACTCTGAATTAGGCTCTGCACAACCAGTCACTGATAGGCAAGGTAATTAGTTTCTCGGGACCCAGAATATTTGCGTTTTTTTGCTCACCGTTGTTTTAATTTTGTGTAAATTATTCCAACCTTCTATTTATTTTCTCATTATTTCATAAGGTCAGTAGTTATATGTTCATAAGGGTAGTGAAGAAAGCCGTAACCTAACAGTGTTTTTGTGAGTCACGCTGCAAGAGTCAGAAATCAAGTAATCATTTCTTTTTATAGTTATTTACCAGATATTCTCCAGAGAAATGACAGGGCTGGGAAGTATTATTATCATATTGCTTTCCACTGCCACTTGAAAGTGTATTTGGATGCTGTGTCACACAATGAGGTTTAATGACTATTTAAATCATTACTGTATACTGTTTACTCTAAATTCCTCTTTTCGACTATTTCGAACTCTTTATTCCTTTCTTAATATGTTTAAAAACTGCTTTATTTTTCCAATCGTTAGTGGGTTCAAAAGTATTAAGTACATTTTGCATTTCCGATTTGGTACAGTACAAGTAATTAATTTTCTAAGGTAATAATAATTATAAATAAATAAGGTAAACATAAATAAGCATTAGAATAAGCAAATAAAGAATATTAGTATTTGTACTACAGCAAATACTATGCAAAATTCCCCCTGAAAATAACAAAATTGGGGGGGATTCTCCTCGGCTGGGAAATGTTACTGCATTCAATCAATCGTGTATTTTGTTTCTACAAATGCCGCCTCTTGAATACAATTATATTATTTGAATTGCAATGAATCTTGTTTAAATCGTCACGAAAAATACCTGTGTGATCTGGATAGAGGATTGATAACCTCATCATGTGCAAGGCATATTTTGAGTCGTAGAGATTAGATCAGTGGTGCCCAACCTTTTATTATAGCATGTGGCCCTTTTTTAGATGCTTATAGTGCTCATGGCTCCCTGTTTATTATTCCAGTGGTATTCATAGTGTTATTTTGAGTTGTAGATTCCGAATCCCGTTGGGTTCAAACAATTCATGCTCGATAAAATGAAAACACCCTGTGAAATAACCTTATCAAGCAATGAGACTGGGAGGAATGGGAGAGTTTGCTTGTAAAGTGAAATCAGTTCTGCGCCTAGCATTGGGGCCCCCTCCAGCTGCTGTGGGGGCCCCTGGTTGGGAACCGCTGAGATAGGGTGAGCTTGATTGAACTTACGTGCATCGGACTGGGCCACAGGGATCCTCTCAAGTTAGGAGGGAGAAACTTATTAAACAGCCTATGATCATAAGGTCAGTAGTTATATGTTCATATGGGTAATGAAGGAAGCCGTAACCTAACAGTGTTTTTGTGAGTCACGCTGCAAGAGTCTGGAATCAAGCAATCATTTCTTTCATAATTATTTACCAAATATTCTCCAAAGAAATGACAGGGCTGGGAAGTATGACTCTAGTTCTGTATTCACTGAAGTTGCCTACAAATTAATTTACTCAACCTAGTCTTTAACCTGTCATGGGAAAACTACACCCATGGGCCAAATCTGGCCTGTTGGGTAATTCAACCTGGACTGCCTGATGCTGCCACAACCAAACTATAACCAGGTTTTGATGTTTTAACTAAAAATAACTGAAGGAATTTGGTAAAATTACGATTAAATTTAGTTTCGTCACGAGGCTTATTGTTTTCCACTTTTGCTTTTGTAACACTGTGAATATTGTACCCAAAATGAGGAGAGGTCGTAGTTTTTCATATGATTGAGTCGTCTTATCGGTTTTGGGATAAATATGTAAATTACTTCTTCTAAAAATGAACGTAATTCTGAAATCCCACCATTCACAATAACGATGCGAAGTATCATGCAGGAATATATTCGAAAATCATAAACACAATTGAAACAAAATTTCTACAACAACAACATGATTTAAGCTACAAACACACAATAATATCACGAAACTTGATCTTGTGTCCCGATCTTTTTAACTGCTTGTCCAGGCACTGTTCATAGCTTAAATTTAACCTTCTATAATGCAGAATTTAGTTCAATGTTAAATATTCAACTGAAGATAAATTAAATATAAATGACCACTTGTGTAAAAAACTAGAATTTGTTCAGAGCAAAAAATGATGAGGTACGAATTTGAGAAAAAAACGTTAAATAGAAACAAGGCATGATTATTATTATGAAATTAACATTTCATAGATGTAATATGCTTTTGGGGCTTTCAAATCTGATAAATTCAAAATAACATGGTTATTTCAAATGCTGTAAAAACGAAAGAAAATAACGAGAATATCGGTCAGAGACCGAAGACTTATCGATTGAAAGTTAGGGGATCCCCCAAAACAGCGCTCTTACTCCATAGTGACACCCTGTGTCCCATCACTAATTAATTAATAACTCGCTAATTATACGAAATATTTCGCCCAAAATCAATAGGCTTCTGGTCCGAGATAAGATTAATGCACATGCAAAATCTGGAGCAGATTCAATCTCGCTTGCGTGAGATATCGCGTGCATCTACCAGACATACAGACAGACAAATACCAAATCAACATACTTACCGATTAAAATCGATGAGTAATAACCAGAAAAAGACCAACCACTTGTTCGACATATGAATAACAAATGATAATACAGTGGATAAATAAATCAAATTAGGCAAGGAATTTATTGCTAGTGAAAACTAATGCAAGATTAATTTTAAAACACAATTTTGTTTAAAAAATAAAAACAATTTTCTCATAATTACTGAGGTTCAAGGTTGATATTATATAAAAATACAATGGAGAATAGCCCGAATTGTTGTTTCTAAAGACAATTTATACAAAAATAACTCTTAAAACAAATTTGCTGAAAAAGGGGTACTTCCGTAGTGTGTGTACTAGGTTTGGTTTAGGCCATAATTTTATTCCGACTTTCCTTATTTTAATTTTATTACAAGTTCGGGGACTGTCTGTGTTAGCCAAGTGAATATATCCCCTGCCCATAGGCTTTTGTCCCTTTACACAACTTGATGTAAAGTAGGCGAACAAAACTAGTTACCTCCATATTGGTACACATACAAGCAAGAAATACAATTAAAAATAAATAAAGAGGTCTGAATATTCTGTTGGAACAATTCAATTTGAGAATATTACTCATCGATTTGAAAAATAAATACAGTGAATAATATTTATGTCCAAGACAATTTATACAAAAAAAAACCTAAAACTAATTTTGTTCAAAAAAGTAGATTGAAAAAGAAACAAGGCACAAATGAACAATTGATTATATCTATAAAAGCAAGAAATAGAATTAAAAAATTTTGTAGGAGTAATTAGATTTGAGAATATTACTCATTGATTTTAATAAAAATACAGTGGGAAATAGTGATGTCCAAAGCAATTTGGGGAACTGCTGATGTAAAATATCTCATGAAAAAACAAAATATTAGTTGGGTGATTTCCTATTATAAGTAACAATATTATTACACTTGTACTTGTCACTAATAGTCTTGTTTCCAACCGTCGGCCATTTTGTGTACATTTTTTTTGAATATAAGAATATTATCATCCACTAGATGTCCTTCTATTTCTAAAATTAAATCATTTCATCGACTGGAGAGATCTTGTCATATCTAGTTCAGTGTGCGCTCTGGATACATCGGTTTGTAGGGTGTGAACATGGGTTTGTAAACGCTGAACTTCCGATTCTTTTTGATCTAGAGAACGCTGTATATTCGCAACATGTTCCACAAGTAACTGCTTGTCATGACGAAGTTGTGTATTTTCAGTGTCGACTCTAGCGAACCGTGACTCCAGTTCAGTCAAGCGTGAACGAACTGTCTCTCCTTGAAAGTTGGTGTGTGACATGTTATCTTGCATTTTCAGAATTTGGTTTTCTAACTCTCGACATCGCTGTTTCTGAATCTCAATCATATCGAGTAGTTTTCTCGACTCTAGCGATTTGACCTCATCTTGACCTTTCAGATACGCAATTTGAGATGTATGTGACATAGCTCTTGTTTCTCTTTCTCCGCGAAGGATTCTTTCACGGTCCAGTTGTTTCGACAACTCCAAAATTTGACTTTGAACTGCCGTGTTTTCTTGAGTCAATTTCGAGACATCTCCGAGTAGTTTGTCTTTTAGAATTCTTTCTTGGGAAAATGCGAGCTCTTTTTCTCGTACTTGTTGCCTAAGCCCTCGAATTTCTGTCTGCAGGTCGCGAGTGATTTGTTCTTGCATTGTAGCCGTTTGTTGGAAATGTCGCTCTTCGCTTGCATGCATGTCAGATTGTAAGCGTAGATTTTCCTCTCGTTTCCCTTCGAGAAGTAAAGCGGTTTCAGTGTGTTGAGTGATTCTTTGATCAAGTTGAGATTGTACGAGAGCTAAGTTGTGTTGAGTGTGTCGTAAATCTGAATTCGTGCGGTCTAATTCTTGTCGTAAATTTACAATTTCAGAATCTTTTCGAGCTATATCTCGATCAGCAACGTCTTTAAGCTTTTTGAGTTGGATAATTTCTTCTCGGAGCATTCCTCTATCAACGTCAAACGTTGTTACTTTCGCTCGGAGTTCTTGATCAAGACGATTCTTTTCATTTGTGAGCATTGAGATTGAAGCGTCCTTTCTTGAAACTTCGATTTTGAGATCATTCGTTTCGCTGTGTCGTTCCTTGAGCTGAGTCATCATTTGATCAGCTTCTTTGACTAATTTTGGTTGAATATCGGTCGCTTTTTTCGCTTGATCTCGTAGATATGTCGTTTCTAACTCAAGGAAGTAGATTTGTTGTTGCAGATTTTTGATGTACTCTGATTCGACCTCTTTTAGAGTGCTACTCTTGCCTGGCGAGTACGCTGGCGGATAAACCGCCTTTTTCTTTTTATTTTCGGACCCTTTTTTATTCGGCATTTTGTGCTTTTTTAAGACAAATTAAAGAAGATATATATAGGCTGAAATTAAATAATATATTGTTGGTAATCAGATTTGGAATTCCACAATTTAAATGTCATTATTTTCATTTATTGCAGTATCATGCTCCATTTTCAGACAGTGTCTCATTGCTATCTTTTGGCATAGGATCTTAGTCCCAGGGAGAAAAACGCTGCTAAGATGGCCTAACATATGGCAACCATGCTCTCTTGTATGATTACCGGTGCATTTTGCGTATGGAAATAGTTACCCAGTTAATTTGTTTCAGATGAATGAACTTACAAATGCTAACCTTTCGCTAATACTTGGAATGGTATAAATTATTTGGAAGTAACCAATTTTCCATTATCAGTGAAGCTTAAAATTCTCAGTAGTTGATTGCAACTATTTGGGCTGGTGCTTCATTGAGAACAAGGAGCAATGTGGAACAAGCCTATGCTTCCGAAAACCAATAATTGGTTAACTAATACCATACCCAACATGTACTGGTAACCGGACGAGAGGCGGTGGTTTGCCATATATTTAAGCCAGCGTATCACTTTCCTTTCCCTTGGGATAAATATGTAAATCCTATCCTACTGTCCTAACTGTGAGGCTTTGAGTGAGTGGCTCCACATAAATACATCTGTCTCAGTAAAACCACTTCCAATCTCTGAAACTCCAGCCCAATTTAGATTACTGCAATAAACAACAAGACACACATCGAATCTCCTTACTTTTCGTGTGCGCTACATCTTTTTACAGTGAGTGGTAGTTCATGATATCAATGCCAGGACACCGGTAACCAAGTAAATTGTACCGGTACCTTGTAAAAAGTACAACAGCCCAAAAGTTTATGACTATCGTGTATACATACATTTGTGTGTTAAGGTTGGCCCAAGCCTCATTTAATTGGGCTTGTGTTTTTGTGGGCAGGCACATGAGATACTTCTCATTGTTTTAAACTTTTTTATAGATTTTGCTTGCCGCCCAAGCCTCATTTAATTGGGCTTGTGTTTTTGTGGGCAGGCACATGAGATACTTCTCATTGTTTTAAACTTTTTTATAGATTTTGCTTGCCCTCCAGAATTCTCCATATTTAATTTGTGTTTGTTATGGAGTTTTCGAAATAAACTATCTATCTATCTACCTGATGCTTTAATTTGCAAATTTACATTGCATATAATATTTGTACATAACTTGCGATTGGCTAAAACTACAAATAATCTAACGGTCTTCTCTAAATAACATAATCATTATCACAATAATGTTCCAAATTAATCAAATTATCGCGTCTGAATTATTTAATTTGATTACAAAGTTATCGCTATCTCAAATGTTTGCAGAAGAAGCGCGTCATCAAAACGTCGTTATGGCAACTGATCACTCACTTCGATTGATCTTGAGTGACACCTCGCGAATGAATAAATTCGTAAATTAGTTCGTAGTGTTTGGAGTCGCATAAATTGTTTCACGGATAAAACCGGAGTGGAGGCTTGACCATACAGCTCGCCGGCCGGCACGGTTTCTTTCTTACATCCTCGACGACCAAAAAAATGGCTGCTTAATCTTTGACGCCCGTTAAAAAAAAGTGTGTAAAAGGGAAAATAGTTTTTTTTTCGCCGGTCTTGGTGTGGCATCTTGATTTTCGCGGGCCCGTTTGCTCCCTTGGGTCAGCCAGAGCTGTCTGTCTTTCCGCTTCCTTGTTGGCATTACATCCAAATTTCGACAAAATATCTGCTTGATCTTTGACGCCCGTTAAAAAAAACGTCTATAGTTTTTTTTTGCCGGTCTTGGCGGCATTTCTTGCTTTCTTTCTCTCCCCGCGGGCATAGGATGATGATGCTCTTTTACTCTCTCCTCCTTGTCTTGGACCTGCTCTTCTGGCACTCTTTGTCTGACTCACCTGCGTTGGTTGTTTTTTCTGTTTTCCTGTATTTTCTTCGGCTTTCCGCCTGATCCTTTCTCGCTTATCTTATTTTATTGTCCTGCTTTTTGCTATTGGTGGTATGCCCTTCTTTCGGCTTTCCTCCCGTTCCCAGCCTTTTCTTTTTCCTCTTTTTTTCTTTTCTTTTTCCTTTCTTTTTCCCCAGTCTTTAGCTATCCTCTGCCTACTGCCTACACTTCTTCCTTTCTTTTTTTCCAGTCTTTAGCTATCCTCTGCCTACACATAGTGGTCTTCTCTTTGGATCCACCTTTGCCTGCTCTGGTGGTCGCACCGGCCTTCCGCTTCATCCGTCTGTCTGTTGTCCGTTGTCCTCATTTCTGCCTGGTCTATTTCACTTGACTGCCTGCTCCTGGCGGTCCTCCCTTTTATCTCCTCCTCGCAGAGTTAGCCCAGGCTCTCCTTTTTTCACGCATGACTCATCTGCCTTAGTGATTCCACTCCAATCTGCGTTATGGCCTTCCCGTCTCATCTGCACGTCCGCTTTCCTTCCTTGTTCATCTCACTTGCCCGCCTGCTCTTGGCGGTCCTACCTTATGCCTGCCTTCCTCGCCTACTGTCTCTACCTAACCCACACACGGTTCTTTTCCATAGCTCCGTCTATCTCGTGGGATTCGAACCCACGCTTATACCTGGCCTAAGGTGTAACCATGTCTCTACGCTTCCCCTGCGCCACCGATACCGACGAAGACCGTTGGATCAGAATCTTACCTAATTAACAGATTTTAATCAACGTCACGCTTGGCAACCCCAGACTAATTATCTCAAATTACTGGACTCGGCAGTTGGCGAAGGGTGCAAAGCGTTAGATCACGGTTACCCGGCGCCGGATCGCAGGTTTGAATCCAATGAAGGACAATTATGTGCGAGAGGATTGCTAAACGCAAGCGCTGGTCAGCTAAGACTCCCTCCACCATAAAGTCCATCCACGAAACAAACAACTGGTAAACTATACCTATGTATACTACGCATGGACTGGTCATCGGACGACATAATATTGTGCGCGATGTGGTTGGCCGTAACATCGGCCTGTTTCTCCACGGGATAAATTCCTATCCTGACTTATGCAATAGCGTATCAGCCTGCAGCATTGGAAAGCTGGAAGCCTGTGCATTTATGTCTGAATGGAAACTGTTGGCAACCGGGTTTTAATACTTGACATATTCAATTTTGATTATCATATTGTGGCCACTCTGAAAAAAAAACGGACAAACAAAATGTAGAGGACCTGGAGGGCGAGCAGTCATAAGAACACAATAAAATAAATACACGATATAAAATCGGGTAATACCTTTTAAATCAATTTAGGATGTGAGACACTGATCAAAAGGAGATCATGGCAATACTTTATACACACTAGAATTCAAAAAAGAAAAATGTGGTTGCGGTTCTTATATCGTGCAATATTTTTTTAATAGGGAAATCTAAAGTTACATTGGTATTGACTATTGGTAGTGGTATTATATTGGTATTTTCAAATTTGTGGAAATTCCATAGAGCTGGCGATGTTTTTCACTTATATTCTATGTCGCAAGGTGTTTTGGAAACTCTCCGAAATTTCCGTTTTGTGTGTTATTCCTATTCTATGAACGTTTCCTCGACCCTTGACCCCTGGAAAAAATATTATCAAAAAGATACAATGTTTACAACCAAAGTGACTATGGTCACTTTGTTTAAAACCATGCTTGAATATCTATAAATTCCAATTGTTACGTCATTGTTAACTTATTGCTGATTTGTTATTGTCACGGAAATAAACAAACAAGTTGCTGCTCGAGGAAACATCCTGTCATAGCAGAGTTTATGAGATTTTTTTCATACATCTGCATAACCACAAATTATCGTTTGGCTTCAAGTCAGTGTACGAGACTACATATTTTATTGAATGAAAAGGTACATGGTGGCTAAACAACACGAGAACATCATCTATACTAATTGTTTTATTTAATTTATTTTATTTTTTTACTATTTGTATACTTTCCTCTTGAACATAAAATGTTAAAGGTCGTTTAATACTTTTTAAAAGGTCAAACAAATCGGGTCATCTCGGCACGATGACGTCATCCCCAGACGGAACGATCGATGTGTTTGAGCTCATAAATTTATAATCAGTTTTGTTCAAGGCTATTGTAAAGTCGCTGCTTGTACTTTATGTTTCATTCACGGGGCAGTGGTTCTCAATCTGGGCGTTGGGAGATAATTAAGAGTGCGTTACATGTCGATTCCTTTCCAAAAAAAAAAAATAAATATAAAAAAAAAAAAAAAAAAAAAAAAAAAAAAAAAAAAAAAAGATGTGAAAGCTTTGAGACAGCAGGTGTCGAGGGATGGCGGTTTGTGATTTTTAGTTATTCGAGGGTTTGCAGTTGCCTCGACAAAGCTATTTCGGTTTGGAATTTTAGGTTTCGTTATTTTTACGTTTGGCTGTGTGCCAATTCCATTAATGAGTTGATAGACTTAGTTTTAATGCAGAACCAAGTGGAATCTCAGCCGTATTGTTTCTGCCATTCTGAGCTGATTGTCCTGTTGACCGTGACAGCTTGACAAGATACGGTACCGGTATTAAGTTTTACTAGTTTGCTTAAGCAACTGATAATGTATAATAGTCTGTTGCAATATAATAGTAATATTACAAATCAAAGTAGGCTAGTCAAGTCTTGCAGATCTTCTCTTTTCCTGTTATTCGGTTATCTGGTTATTGCGAAAGACTGAAAGAGGGATGGGCCTAAATAAATCTTATTCCAGTATTCTATTTGAACAGTGGAATAAAAAATAGCAACAAAATAATTATGAGTTTGCAAATGGATTTGCTTGGGTTGCATTGCTCATCAAAAACAGTCACTAGGGTGGCTTACCCACTTCGCGGCCACGACCTAATTGCGGCCATTAACTTCGACGATCTAATTAATGTAGAAAATTTATCGAATTGCGACGATAATTCTCAAACGTTACCGTCCACTTGTCCCTCGTAGCTCTGTGAAATTACACTAAAATGCGGTCACAAATAAAAAAGTTACGACCGAAAACCTGACCGAAGAAAAAAAACGGATCATTTTTTCATGTCGCCAACTACCCATTGTCCCATCAAAAAAACTTGAAAATTCATACAAATATAAGAGATAGAGTTGTGTTTCTTTCAACCATCTTTAAATTTTCACGTTTTTACATTGTAAAGGAGGGGGAATAGGGGGGTGCGCATTTCCAATACGTCGATAATATCTTTGCCGACCAATTTGTGACCACCGTGCTTTTGTCTGTTTGATTGCTGTGATGCGGTGCTTTGTATATAATTTGACGAGTTTTGTTCGAAATGACTGTGTTCTTAAAATATATGACGGTCAGAAATGCAATTAGAAGCCCATTTTTTCACGCATGGCTGCGTATGCCCTAGTCTTGACATAGCAGAAACGATGTTTAAGGCTTGAAATCTGTGGTCGCACACTGGTTGTTCGGTCGGCAAATATGTCTTCCGCGTGTCGTACTTTGGTGGTTTGTATAGCTTTAACCCCTGTTTGTAGGAAGGTAATTCGAGGTTTAGCATGTAGAATAAATGCCAATGCACCTACGGTGAACGGGTTCGAAATATTGGTTTCTGTTTTATAGCGGTTTGAATGGAATCGTCAGCAGACTGGCAACACCACCCTACATTTTGAAGTTTTCTTTCAGGAGGAAGTTGATTTAACTGGGTTAATTCATATTGCTGTATTGTTGGATGCAGAACGGAACAGAGCTAGAGAACATTTTTTTGCTAGCTTCACAGAAATCATGGAATATATTTTATGATCGTTATATTCTTTTTACTTCAATGTGTACTGTATTTCGTGCTATTTTTCTTCTGTTTCACGCTTTATTCAGTAGGTAGTAAGACCCCAATCATAGTGATGCATCACCTTTGAAAAACCTTTAGAACACTTGTGCACACTGAAAGTTGCTATTTTTAATAATCATTCACAAATTTAAAAATATTTTCTTGTTCTACAGGGATTTATTAGTAGTAATATCTCACTTGGTTAGGTATTCTTTGATCAAATACATATGAATATTTAGAAGAAAACATTACAACGTTCATTTGGAGAATTGGATTATAAACTGCTGAACTGTTTGGCGTCTTGATTCAAGATGACTGACGCAGGAGAGGCTTCATCGGCAGAATGCAGCATAAAGGTATTGTGTATGTTTATTGACGTTGGTTAGTATCACACCGCCCAATAGCCATTTACGAAGGCCATTTAAATGACGCTTAGAACATTATATTTTTCTCTAATATGATGTCCATATGGGGGAAACCATTAATGTACAGATTAGAACCATATTATCTCCATCTTTACTCCTAACCTTCTGTCCACGTGCCAGCCCGATAGCCATGTATGGAGAAACCGATCAAATGATGATTGATAGCTTTGATAAGATAGATAATTTGTCCTAACTTTGCCATTGTTCCAAACAGTAAATTATGATATACAAGACGAACACACAGCACAGAAATTCAGGGAAGTAGATAAAACTTGAAGATAAGTTCAAGAAGAAATGAGAGTACTACATGGTTAATCTATTGTGACATAGACTATAAATGCAGAAATGTACCACTTTCGACAGAGTAGAGTAAGCAATACAAATAGTAGTTGGTACTATTATATACCCATTCTTATTCCTAGCCTGATGTATATATGGTAGGTCAATAGACCTCTACAGAGAATGCCATTTGAATGATGATTAGGACCACATCTCCATTTTTACCTTGCTATCTATCTGGCAGCTCAGTAGCCCTCTACTGTAGAGCACATTTATTTGAATTTAGGATTTACATATTTATCCCGGGGGAGAAGAAAGCCCTTTTGACGGCTTAATCATATGGCGAACCACGGCCTCTCGTTCGGTTGCCAGTCCAGTTCGGGTATCGGATTAGTTAGCCAGTAATTTGTTTCCGGAAGCATGGACTTGATCAAATAACTGAATAGCGATTGATACCATAGTTCCACCCCTATTCCTAACCTGCTGTCTATATGACAGTCCAGTAGACCTCTACTGAAGAGAACATTCGAATGGTGATTGGACCATAATATATCCTTCCTTATTCCTAACCTGCTGTCTCTATGACAGCTTAATAGCCCCCACAAAACAGGCTTTCAAATGGTGTTTGATGCTATATTATATCCAGCTTCATCTTTTCACTCATTTTTGCAAGCTCTCCTCAAAATACTAACTATGTATTAAAAATTTCTAATGTGGGACTTTCAATCGATTCAAGCCAAAATTATAGATGAAAGTTAAAAGCATTTTGAGGTAATAACACAGTGAGGGATTAGCTATTGAAATTGTATTGTAAAGAATAATCTCAATCAAACTTTCGAGATTTTCAATGGGAAAAATTCTAATTACTGACTTTTCAGAATGGTTGTTTTCCTGACCCTTGATGCCAGGAAAGTTATTTCTATATTTCACAATTGTAAACATTGGTATAAACTAGTTTAGATGTTTCAAATTAACATTTTGATTTAAAATATTCAACCACCTCTTGCATAGAAGTATCGATAGAAAAGTTTGGCATAATCTATCACTGCTATTTCTAGACAACTTTTTGATTACTGCAATTAAACTAAAACTCCAAGTGAGGGAAAGTATAATTAGGGTATTTAATTCATACTTGAATCCGAAACAATACTAAAAACTGACAATGTTTACAACGATGCCAAAAATTTGTCTGAAAGACCAGCAATAGCCTACTCAACAACTGATAAAATTTTCCATTGTTATGTCACTTTTTGCATGTTGCTGATTAGCTAATGTTACGGAAGTAAATAAGGATGTGTTTCGGGAAAAAAGGTCATGGTTCGTTATTCCTGAGCTGTGACAGAAAACCATTTTTTGATGTGAGACCTGTGGACGAAAATCTATAAAATAAACGAACTTCTATTCTTTTCAGGTAATGTGTCGGTTTCGGCCGCTCAATCCATCAGAAAAGACAAGAGGAGATCAATTCTTGGCAAAGTTTCCTTCTGCTGAGCAAGTTACCTTTGGAAGCCCGGTATGAGAAATGTTTTTTCACTTTTTCCACATTAAAAATCTATGCCAATTTCAATTTAATTGAGTTATCGTATAATATAAAGTGGAATATTGTGCTCAAAGTTGGCCAAAACTGATTACATTTAAAATTATATTTTGAATATGAGGTATCAGGGAAGTAAGAGTTCTTACCATATAGTGTATATTCAATATTTTGAATTCAAAAAGACGTTTATTAAAAAATATCGAATATATTCTAATTTGAGTATTGCTCATTGAAAAGGCAAATAAAATTGTTTGTCTCGGGCGTGCACAAAAGTGAAATAGACAGTTATTTGATAGGTTTCTGATATTTTATAATTTGAGAAATCTCCCTAATTAAATGAAAGGGTTTCTGTTTCTACTGTATTTTTATATCAATTATTTTTAACCTGCCTGTTGTATGCAACCCAATTTACTTTATGTATAGTGTGGGCATGGTGGCCTAGTCTAGGGCTACTCAACTGGCGTACCCCGGTCCGAATCTGAACCGCACCTCAATCTTTATTTTGAATCATTAGCCCGATTTTTAACGTTTCATTTTATAAAATGGCTTTTATTGTTTTGAATATATATGAAAAGAACTATAACACCATAATAAACAATCTTGATTAGCTGATAATCATTGACCGGCCGAGGAAGTGGGCGTTAATAAAGGATGCCGAAATATAATTTCTGGAAACACCGGACCCACATAATTTTGTAGTTTTGTATGCGGATCTTCGGTAAATACAGTTGGGTGCTCCCGAAGTATGCGAACCAAGATGGCGGACATCGGAACGTAACATGGGTAACAGGTTAGGGTTAGACGATAATATTTTTCCAATTTTCCTTATTTTAGTCCTATTATCAGTTTGAAGACTAGCCAAGAGCCTCTCGTAGTATTTATACCTAAAATTATGGCCTAACCCTAACCTAGTACACATATTACATTCCGATGTCCGCCATCTTGGTTCGCATACTTCGGGAGCCCCTATAGTTGAGTAGCCCTGGCCTAGTGGTTACCAGTAAATATGATTACATATTTCGGGATCAATGTCCATGCCATGCCCGCCACTTCACCCTGGATATAATGAATTATGTAGCCGATGTCAAACTGAAAACATTTCGATCTTCCCAAACTACGGCTGCCTTGTACAGAGAAAAGTTTTATAAATACTTCATAGGAAAAATTTATGATATTCAAAATATTATTCCAGAATGTATTCGTAATAGTAAAAAGAATAAAAAAGAATCTTTTTGGTCATCCTTGCTCGCAATTGAACTTTTCACAATGTACGTCAATGTTGTTTATGTTTTTGAGTTATATTACCATAAAAAAGTGATTTTCTCCTATGGATTATTTCATCATTGAAATTATTTCACATCGTTGCCATTGCCGCACTGACGATTATTCGATTCAAACTTTGCCTTTGGGCCTCTCTATGTTTGGAAATACTAAACTTGTAAGAGGATTTCCAATATGACTGGAATTATATATTTGACATAGTAAATTCATTATTTGGTAAGGACTAATTTGAAAATTTGGCAATTGAAGTCTAATCAGTAGTTTTTTATACTAAAAATACATATTATATGAATAAAATAATGAAAAAAAACGGCCTTTTAAGGCGAAGAGAAACAAAACAGACAAAGTAACACTATTTTTCTGCCTCGACTCATCAGGTGGTAATATTGGAAAACCCTGATTTTTAGCACTAAAAATTAATGTAGACTTATTAGCCAGAAAGTACGGTATTTTAGAATGTATTTGAAATAGTAAATTATTTGGTTTGACCAATCCTTGCGTAAACATCAATTTGGTCCCATGTTCAGATTTCCATAAGTGAGCAAAATTTGTGTATATTTTATAAATGTTATGTAATGTCCACTACCTATAATTTGAAAGTCTCACGTTGTGACCAAAAACCTGAATAGGTTACATATTATTTGGTAAACAAACTCAATTCGCAATATATATAAAATATAATATGATTCAAGTCAACAACATTATTTTAAAATGTATTTGGAATATTAAATGATTTTGTTTTATCCATCTTTGCTCCAAAAATCCATTTGGTCCCATATCAGCATAGGAAACTATTTTTTCAGAAATGGACTTTTTAAAAATGGAAATGGACTTCAGACTCGTTAAACCTACTGTCACTATAGATCAACGGTTTCCAACTTGGGGCCCGTGGCTTCCAATGGGGACACTATGCTAGGCGCAAAACTTATTTTACTTTCCCCTTACAAGAAAACTCGGTTCTTTCTAATTTCATTGCTTGATGAGGTTATTTCACAAGATGTTATCACTATGTTGAGCATGAATTGTTTGAACATTACAGGATTTGGAATCTAGGAATCAAAATAACACAATAAATATGAACAGGAGTTAAAATTCTCCAGAAGGGGACTATTTGTTTATTGGTATAAATTGATGTTTTATTGAACACAAACAATACTTAACATAAACAGATCAGTTGTCACCACAAATAACAGAATATAAAGTTAGACATAAGACAGATGTTTCCTCTGCTACGCCAAAGTACTAAATGACCCCTGGAGACCAGCATGGCAGTATTTATACCCAGGAAGCATGCTTCAGTGGTTTTACCCACGTGCTGTGCTGTCATTGGTCAGTTGAAGAGTGAGAATAGAATTAAAGTACAGTTATCTCAGGATGACAATCACCTGGATAAAATGTAAATGAGAACACACAAGTTAACACCAAGGGCCGTCTTTTGGTCAGCTTTTCAAATCTGTACTCGTTTTAGTTTTGATTCTAGGTCAGTGTGTTATGTTCATAACAAAAATTTGATTTCTTCAAATGTAAACGTAAACTACTTTGTGAAACCATGTGAGCAAAATTCTTTGAGGAATACTTCATAAATAGTCCACTAATTTTCATTTTATTTGCCCATTCTTGCTTCAAACATCTGTTTGGTCCTATATATAGGGCTTTATAAGTTGAGGAGAGCTTGTGGCTACAGGTCCTATTATTGTCATAGCACTGCATAATATGTTTTAAATTAATTTTCAGATTTTTGTTTAAAAACGCAATCTGAAAATCCACTGTGGAATGTCAGCACACAAATACTTTGTAATGTCCACTACTTAACATTTTATACCGGTATAATTCATGTAGAAAGAATCACAGCCTCGAGGCGAAAGTTATGTTGTGATATATCGATGACCTTAAAAGATGTCATTTGATCAACTTAGGTAGTGCATTATCGTCTCTTATCTGGCGTTTTATGTCAGTCACATTACGGCTAGGAATGCTGGTAAATGAATAGTAATATGGGTATGCTGTAGAACAGTGGTTCCAAACTGTATTGATCTGTGGCCTCCTTCCAAAGACTTTCAATACTTGTGCCCCCTGTGTATAAGTATTTCTAAATTATTCCTAAATTCAAAAATTTAATATTTCGAATTTTTTTCAAATATTCGATTCAATTTGGACATTCCTGATGACAAGCCAATAAGTTTTATCCGCTCTGATCTGGTGCTGTATGTCAGTCACATTATGGTTAGGAATTTTGATATGTAAATAGCTTGAATGTAAGTTGTTTTTATGCTCTGTAATCATTTTCAATGCAAATTATGATTTACCGGTAAGATGATTCTGGAAAAATTCAAAACTATCAATGTTATTTCATAATCAATCATTCAAGTACTGGGATGATAGAAACATCAATATTTTCTAAGAAACAAGACATTGCTTGTAGGAAAAATATGAAGTGTTCCAAATTTTACTCAAAATTGACGCAAAATTAGACACATTCGATTTTTTCCTTGTGAAATATGTGCATTCAGAACAGTGTTTTTATTCCCAAACCACGGCTGTGGGCCAAATGCGGCCCAAGCAACGGTTTAATATGGCCCGAACTTGAATGAAATAGGTAAACATTTTATGTTTTTACCTTCCGTGCTCTAGTAACTGCCAATTGTTATGTTATTATCATAGTTTGAGTATGTGTATATTCGTAAGTCGTAACAATTCAATCATATCGATAGCTTAATTCTACATACTGGTATCAACCTATACCCGTTGCGGGCACTCTTTCTCTCAGCTCGAGAGTATCCTTCCACTTCTAATTTTGGTCCCCAGTTAATCAACTAATTTAGAATCTTCCGAATCAAAATGAATTTTGAAAAAGAATTCAAAATTCCTCATTAACCTTAATAAAACAAATAGCAAGTAGTTGGTATGTCATAAAAAATCGAAGCAATTATCAAATTATGCATTCAAGGAATTTAAACAACCATAAAAGACATTAACCAACTGTTATGTAATGACCCAATAGAACTTCATTTAATTTATTTATTGTTATCACAAACATTTTTCTTTTGTCTTTAAGAATTTCTTAGACATCTGGAGATTTATTGCATTTCGCCTGGGGGCGTGAAACTGAAAAATTTAAACTTGAGGTCACTAATCTGCTTAAAATTTTGGAATTTTATTTCTAGTAAAAGTTTTCAAATTATGTACGATACTTTTTGGATGTGATTTCATCTGTTTACTATCTGAATATCTTATAAATCAGTGGTTTCCAACTGGGAGTTTGTGCTCCCCCCCGAGGGGGCACAGAGCAGTTTAAGAGGGGCCCCGATACAAGGCACCGAATTGATTTCATGCGATTTTGTCTGCTTGAAATTTTGGTGCTTTTATTTCTAGTTAAAGTTTTCAAATTATGTACAATACCATCTGTTTACTAAGCATCTTATAAGTCAGTGGTTGCCAATTGGAGGTTCGTGGACCCTTTGGGGGACAGGGCAGTTTAGGGGGGGGGGGCACGATACAAGGCACTGAATTGATTTTAATGCAATTTTGTCTGCACACTGCTCCTTCCTTGAAATATAATCTCCAGCCCTCTGTAGGTTAATTCTAGTCCCAGGGCATTCAGCATGTATTCAATATAGGCTCTGATGTTTAAGCGACTAGGCCAGGGGTTGGCAACCTTTTGTCGCTCACTGGCCAAAATAAGGTTTGCAAGTCATTGCCAGGCCGCACATATTTTTTGAGAGTTGAAAACCGAACGAATGGTACTTTTTATAATGAAAATCAAGCAGTGATACATCTCTCGAATAAAATATAGATTTATTTCCTCATTGCATCTCAAAAAATCCCATTTGAATATTCTCGGCGCCATTGAACCCTTTGCACTCAGCATAAACTTTTCTGCGTTTTTTTGCCATTTGTCTAATCATAATTAAATTATAGGCGCATTAAACGAGTAATTGTGAATAATATACTTGTTAGGTTATAATATAATTTAGTCTACACGTGTCTCGCAATAAATTCTGTTACGTAAAGAATATAATCGTCAAAACAGCTGTTTTGTTACTATAATTCAGTGAAGCGTCGCAGGCCGGATTATAGTACTCCGCGGGCCGTGGGTTGCTGACCCCTGGACTGGGCTATTGCTTTTTATCGTCTTTTATCCAAATTATTTTTCTTTTTTTCAGTCTAGAACATACACGTTTGACAAAGTCTTCAACGAAACGACGTCACAAGAACAAGTATATTTAGCTGGGGCTAAACCGATTGTGAAAGGTAAGGACATATAACACATAATCTTTGTTGGTTTGCACTTACAATTTTATCTAGCATTTCGTGTTGCATGTTTTATCCACCGATTCAATAATGTTCTATGCAGGTTTATCCAAATGGTAAAATGGAGAGGTTTCAAGCCTAACAATTTAATTAGAAATTTTAAATTTATCTATTCAATCCAAGAGTCTTGCTGCACACTTACACAAAAGACTCTTGAATTGAATAGAATAGGTATTTTTACTCTTGCTATAGCATCCTTGCGTATACGCATACGAATCCACCTGCGCAAGCAAGAAAAGGTAGTTAGTTTCACGTAACCCCAGCTGTTATTTAAATTTATCTACTTGATAACTTGTCAGGGGACATTTAATTTGTTCAGCTGGAATGAATTTAATGTATGATCACTTGATATATGAACAAAAACCACTTGTCATAAATTTATATGTAATGTTGGATTTACAGGATCTCTTTTGTGTTTATTACTGCCATATTAAAATTTATTGGAGGCCCACTAGAAAATGCTCAGCAGCCTACGATTAGGCTGTGGCCCACAGTTTGCCTACCACTGGTAAAGGTTGAGTTTTTGTTCCACCCTCTCTGATGAACAGAGATAAGATGGGCTATAACCAGGGTTACCATATCATGCTTATTTCTATAATTTGTGCTTATTTTTGAGTTGCGTGCTTATTTTGTCTTAGATATGTGACATTTAGGGTAGATGGGCTTTCATTGAAAAGGCACAGACACCCTTTGGGTTGTTGTTTCCTGTTGAAAATGTCGAATGCTGGATTTTTTTATGTGTATTGTGTGCACTTTTCTATGTGGCTTCTTACATTTCAGAGGTTGCATGGCTGGGTATAGACTTGTGTATGATTTCTTTCAAATTCATTATGTGTTCCGCAGTTGTTAAGTACCTCCCCTCCCCCACAAAAAAAAATAAAAATACCCATTCGACGCCCGTGCCTATTTTTGGCTCTAGGTGGATGGTAACGCTGGCTATAACTTAAGTTATGCAACGCTATGATGGACAGAATCAAGAAGTAGAGACCACTAAATTAGCGATAGGGCAATAACAAGCAGTACCCAAAATTCCAATTCTTCATTCCCTTTTCTATTTCTTCACACCACTTTACTAATTTCGAGCTCTTTATTGATGAACCCCGACCGGAAATAAACAGAATCATAGAAAAAAGATCAAAAGTTTTAATGGTGATGCAGGAATAGGATAGCACCCAAAATATAATTTCCATACATTTAAGGCAAACTTGTATTTTGCTCAAATCTAGATTAAATCTCAAATCTAGATACACAATTCGCATTTATAATTTTCGTATTTCAGGCCTCCTATTACGGTAATGCATTGGTCTTATTCCTCACAATTCCTGCTCAAAACTAATGAATAATTTACATTGCTTCTTTCCAGCTGCCTTTCAAACTGCGCCATCGCAATATTAATAAGTGTTCCCTTTGGGCATTTAAGACTTTCTATACAAATACTTTTAACGCTTTTTTGAATTGCTTGAAAGTGAAATTTTTCGGCAAATTTTTCTGGCTTTTGTTTGATCAAGTAGTTTGAATCTATCGACATCATTTTTTTTGGATGGTGGTTTGTGGTCATAATAGCCACGATCACATGAAACACTACAAAGCCAGGTTTACCTTCCAGTTTTCTAGTGTATATCTGTCTATTATATGAACCTTTAAACCAGGGATGAACAAAATTTTTATTAACAATTTCAATGTCAAATTATAGTTTTATCTGTTTATAGAAGTCAATAGAATGTTATGTTATATTGGATGTCCCTTTACAGTTTCAATTTTGTTATAAAGTCAGTTCTCAATATACCATATCTTAACCAGGTTTGTTGCTTTTTAATCAGTAATTGTTTTAAGTATTTTCACCTCATTCAATACATCTGTGAGGGCCAAAACAATATAAGGTATCGATAAATTTCATTTGCAATTTTATAAAATTTTAAGACTTCATGGACACCCTATATTATGTCTGTTATAGAAGCAGAATTCAGAAATCGTTTTATGATACGCGGTCAATAAAATTTCTTACGCATTCTGCATTCTGTAAAATTTTCAAGGCTAAGGAATAACAATTATATTTGCAATTCAATAAAGAGCAACAGAAAATAACTTGAAATCGGTGTATAAACATGATAATGCTGAAAGATGACAATGTTTCATGTTTTTTTCATTTTTTGGAGTTACCTTCCCCCCCCCCCCCCTATTCTGTTTTTTTTGTTCGTCTGATTGTCAGATAAGGACAGCCTAGAACAAGGGTTTTCAAACGATGGGGCTCGCTTCACAAGGGGGGCATACACAATTTTTTGAGGGGGGGAAGCTAATCAAAAATAGAAAAATTTGTTAAATTTGATCTTGCTCGCCTTATTTTGGGTATTTACACATTTATCCACGTATTTTTAACGTGTTTTTGATATAAAACATACTTTCGCTTTACTATTCGTTATTTGTAGCTTATTGTTGGCTAATAATTTTTAAGGGGGGGCGCGAGATTGACAAATTCTAAGAAGGGGGCGTGGCTTAACAAGTTTGAGAACCACTGGCCAAGAATGAAAATATTCTAAATTATTCCTAAAATATGAGCTCACGGTATTGGTCATAAATAATCAGTGGTGCTATTTGGAAGTAAATTCTTAGCTCTTAGCTCGAGATATACTATTTTCTTCCTTTGTTTTTTTTACTTTCTAAATCTTTTTTCTATATCTATATTGACAATGGCCTTTTCTCCTTTCGTTACTTCAATCTTAAACTCGATCAATAAATTGTAAATTTTTTTTTTGTTCATTTTTTTTCCCCGTTTTCTAAGCATTGCTTGTTTGTTTTAGTTCCGAGTTTGTTTAGTTTTTAAATTTTATTTGGTTTTGGCTGGTGAAAATGTAAAAATAACTTAAGTGTAGAAGATGAGTAGTTTTTTTAAGAATCACGTAACCGCTGGTCGGTAACGGCTTCCTCCACCATCAAGTCCATACATCTGAAACAAATAACTGGCAACTAATTCCATACCCGACATGGATTGGTAACCGTACGAGAGGTCGTCGTTCGCCATATGATTAAGCCGCCTTCCTGTACCCGGGATGAATATGTACCGTAAATCTTATATTTTTATCCTATATATGTCTTGATAAGGCACTTTGCTTCATTTAGCTTCAAACCATGGTTAGAATGGTATTGCAATGGATATGGTGTTAGACACGAGGTTTTTAAAACCACACAGTTCTCACTTCCTCTACAAATGGGCCACAGAGCAGTTAGAGGGGTCCATAATGATAGGCTCAAAATTAATTTTATAAAAATTTTGTTTGTATACTTTTTCCTTATAAGTAAATTCCCATTTCTGTATTATTATAAATACCACTGGAATGATGAACAGGGCTCTATGATGGCTAAAAGCCTCTTGGAGCCGAGAGCCATATAAGATTGGGAACCACTGCACTAGACTCTGAACAAATAGCCATTGTTATATGCTGACCTTGGAAAATGATATTTTCTATTCAGCATAGATTATACAACACCCTTTTGGTATGTTTCAGGGTTTTGGTACTGAACCTCTAAAATAAATATCATGACAATTCTAGAATATATTTTTTTTAATTTGTATCACTCTTGGAATTGGAATTATGGTAGATATACAATGATTTGCGCTTATTTTTTACTAAACATAACCAAATTCATTAAATTTTTCGATTATTAGGATGTATTCGAATATGATAGTTATTGTTGGAATTCTAAAAATTTATTTCTCAATTTTCTTACTTTGTTTTTTACCGTATTTTGTCCAGTCTCTTTCTTTTGTCGGTCGAAACTTCTTCTTGGGGAACACTGTTTTAGTCATTCCAATATATATTGATCATGAAAGTTAAATCGAGTGCAGAACTGGAAACAATATCCCAAGTCTTATTCAATATTTTTTTTTTCTATGAGCCCTTCATGTTTTAGCTATGAAACGAGCGCCCCAGAAGTATGTATACCTATATGGATATAACTAATTTTGTTCGCCTACTTCACATCAAGTTGTGTGAATGGACTGAAACCTATGGGCAGGGGGGATATTCACTTGGCTAACACAGACAGTCCCCGAACTCGTAATAGAACTAAAATAAGGACGATCTGAATAAAATTATGGCCCAACCCTAACCTGGTACATATACTATCTTACGCTTTTAAAAAGGTATTCATTGAATCACATTGATCTAGGATTTCTAATTTGGTAACACAAATTATAGCGATCAAAAAAAAAAAAATTTAAACAATAATTTAGAGTTCTTTTATGGAGTTTATCTGTGCATTGTGCCTATTAAGTTGGATCTAGTTTAAAAATATTGTTTTCTGGAGTTACCATATATCCTCGCATATAACCCGACCTCCTAAAAGGTGAATTTATAAAAATTTCGGCCTGACAATCGTATGCTCTTAACGTGACAACTTAGCATGGTTTGGAGTGTAGCTGTTGGGAATTAAGTTAGCATAATGTCATTTCGTTCAGGATTCATTAGTTGGGTCCTAAATTAAAATATTATGTGTGAAGTTAAATGAAAAAGATACTTTTCCTGTCAAATTTGTCAATTGTTCGATGACAATTGTTCTAATTAAAAAATATTTTTCAAACAATTTTCAATTCATTAAATTTTTCTGATTTTACCAAGTTTCAGGTCTGAACTGTTGATGGGGGCTAGCTATTTCCATTCACTTTTTTCCATTGTTTTTTATATTGGCCTTTGCTGCTGCCTTGGTTTTTTTCACATTCCTGGTAGTTTCCTTGATGACTCCAACAGCAACAGTCTGTCCAAAACAGTTTGCCCAAAATTTTTTATTTAACCTTGCATTTACCATATTCTCTTGAAAAGCAAACAACAGGCACAGACACTAATATTGATTATTTTATGCTTCTTCCAATCCATCAAGTCTTATTGATCTTAATAGATTATTTAGGTAAGCGAAGTTCTGACAGTAAAAAGGTTTCAGAATAAGTTAATGGAAACTGGTGTAAACTGAAGTTTAAATAAGAACTCTAGCTCGCTAACGAAACCTATATCGAAAAAATTTTTTCTAAGAATTTTGGAAATGTAGGATTTTGTCCTGCAAACCGTTTTTTCTACCCATACTGACTTTAATAGCAGCTCTTGATTTTTGTACAAATATTTGATGGCTTTTAGATATTTGATAAGAACATCAACATATGATATATGGTATTTTGCCGTAATTGTCAACGCTTTTCATCTTCGCTTAAAAATGACCTTGTAATGCTGCGACTGATATGTGCTACCATTTTAGAAAGAACCGGAATTTTTCCGGCTCAGCATTGCCTCCCAAACTTATTACACCAGGGGTAAGGTTGGGGGCATGGGATTTGGACCCAAGATTTCGCGATTCAATCGAAGTCTGGTTACCCACTAGGCCACCCATCCCACCCCACCACGGCACCACCTGTATTTCACCTGTATTTATACTTTTTGAGTAGCTCCTAAAATATCAATGGCAGCTTATCTGTTGCTGATTTAAGACCTAAGGTATAAAAATAACGTTTTGTAAAAAAAGGTCACTTTTTGTTCCACATGAGGTCAATGTCTCTCTACTGGGCTACGATTCTCTATGATGACACTATTTTCAAGGATTTTTTGCCATTTCTTCAAATTTCAAACTTTAAAGACACTTTGGAAAATGGAATAACTGTTTTGTGCTTATTTCTCAATATCAACATTATTTGGCAACATTTTTCTCAACAATTTAATTTTAACCACTTATGGAATTTTAAATACACATAGCGTTTCAACTGTCAAACTATCAGAATAGACACTATAGGCAACGCTTTCATTTACATTATTGATTTTTTTCTGTGAAGAGTGCTAGAAAGTATTCAATACAACTTGTACTTTTATTGAAAGTTAACAAGATTTAAACACAGATTTACCAATGTTCAACGATATCTGCAGATTTATTCTAAATGGGCCTCATTTCATTAATCGGTGCTCCCGAAGTATGCGAACCAAGATGGCGGACATCGGAACGTAACATGGGTAACAGGTTAGGGTTAGGCGATAATTTTTTTCCAATTTTCCTTATTTTAGTCCTGTTATCAGTTCGAAGACTAGCCAAGAGCCTCCCGTAGTATTTATACCTAAAATTATGGCCTAACCCTAACCTAGTACACATATTACATTCCGATGTCCGCCCTCTTGGTTCGCATACTTCGGGAGCCCCCATTAATCTCTAGTCCACATGCGAGCTTTAATTAAGATTTAAAAGATTTTTAATCTCCACTTTATCTATCTTATTTCATTATTTCACACTAGACCAGCAGTTCCTAAGCTGGGACCTGTTGCCTCCCAAAGTAGCCACAAGGCTGTTATAAGAGGCCATAATGATAGGCATTTAAAACTAATCATAATTAAATTTCGTTTGTATGCCTTTTCCTTATGATAAAATTCCCATTTCTTCATAGTCCCATACTATAAATACCACTGGACTGATGAACACGGGGGAGCCATGTCTTTTAAAACCTTCTGGAAAGGGGCCGCGGGCCACAATTGGATGGGAACCACTACATTGGTTTTTGGGGTGCATGTCTTATAATAATATATTATTTTAGAATGTTCTAGAACTGTAGGTAATTCGGTTTCCTAATACCCGATCTGAATATATAGGTTGTTCATAAAGTCGTTCATAAAATTGCGAAGAGAATTTATCGATACGATATAAGTTTTGGCTCTCACAGATGTATTAAAGGAAGTAAAAATACTTGAACAATTACTGATTAAGAAACAACAAACCTGGTTAAGATATATTGAGAACTGACTTCATAAGAAAATTGAAATTGTAAAGAGACTTTATGGACACCCTGTATAGCTTTGTGAAATGAAAATACAAATTTCTTCTTATCTTACAAGTTAGTCTTTCTCAAGTTTAGATCAATCAGTTAAATAATCAATAATTAAGTTAATCAATTAAATTACAGTAATCAATAACTTTATTTCTGATAACGAAACTTTCTTGAACTTCTAGCCGTGAAATTAATCTTTAAAACAATCTTAGTTGATCAATAGTGACATCATAGAGTGTGTTATTGTGAGAGAACAATCTAAATTATTTATGTACTTGAGGGGATCTTTCTGAAATATTTATAAAGAACCGCGTGTGTATGTGAAATAAAAAAATTAAGATGAATTACTTTTTTGACAAAAAATTGTTTTTTTTTCTTTCCATTTCCAGTGAATTTTAATTGTTTATGTTATATTTGGTATTGAAGTGTTGCTCAATAGTAATTGTATATGTGATAAGTATCATAGCGTAAAAACTTGGAAGCAATTTTGCTTAAGTAAAGCCACACTACGATTTCAAAAAGAACGTTGATGGCAAACAGATAATAATTTTGAAATAATGAATTAAATAAAAAGGAAATAAATGTTATGTAAAATGATTTTTTATATTTTGTTTTGCATATTTTATTCTTGCGTCTATAGAAGCAGTACATGCCCTTTAGTACATATCCATTTTGAAGATTTCCTTGGGTCGCGAGATTTTATAAAGTTTATTTTTTTACAAATTTTGCGTCACTTGAAAAATCACTGCTCTATATCTAGAAAGGGTAAACAAATTGGATGATCTAATATTATGAATGTATTCTTGATTAATATTTATTAATATTGAATACACCAGGAGTGGCCGACATGTCGATCGTGCCTTATCGACATGCCTGCAAGGAATATGTCTTCAACCAATATTTAGCATCGTTCGTTTAAACATGAACATTAAGCAGCGGATTCTGTCAAAATTGAACCCGCCGTACCAAATGGGGAGAAGTTTTATTCCGTATGAGCAATCCCACGAGTCCTTTTTTAAGTTCAGGCAACTACTCCAACTAAAACCAAAAAACTGTTGTTCTGTGACATCTAATCGATTAATTCTCTATCTTTCAGATGTTCTTGAGGGCTACAATGGAACTATATTTGCGTATGGACAAACATCGAGCGGAAAGACACATACTATGGAGGTAACTTTTCACATAGATTTACATAAACTTTTCAACGATCTAGTTAGCCCACACAAAAAGTTAAAAATGCAGTTAGCACATAGCCTTACAGTAATAATGGTACCAGGCGAAACAGCTGTTGCACAATCTTTCTATAAAATGTTTTGGATTTTTGATTTACTCAGTATTCTCCACAGTCCATAAGCAACTTAAGAAAAATTCCATACACCTTTATTTAGACCAGGAGTGCACAACACAGGGCACGCGTGCCAAATTTGGCACGCCATACGCTCAAACGTGGCACGCGAACGGTTTAATAAAAAATATATGTATTTAATATATACATTAAAATATCACGTTTATATCAAAATCAGCAGTTTTTCAGGACATTAAATTGCTTCCATAAATTGATATTCAGTATTATGTATTATTATTGAAATTCGTTAGGTTTACGGGAATTAATTTACAATACAATTGTGCGTTGCACTTGACAAGATTATTTTGAAAAATTTGGCACGTGTCCTCATTTGAGTTATTCACCCCTGATTTAGACCACTATGTCCATTTTAATATTTTCATGATTTCCCTGATCTCAACAATTTTCATCTTACCCAGGGTATCCTTCATGATGAAAGTCTACAGGGCATCATTCCGCGTATCGTCGAAGATATTTTCAATCATATTTATACCATGGATGAAAATCTGGAATTCCACATCAAAGTTTCCTATTTTGAAATCTATTTGGACAAGATCAGAGATTTACTGGATGGTAAGGTTATTTTATGATATGATAAGCTTTATCCTGACGAGGAAATCTGATAAGTCATCCTGGTATAGCGAATTGCACTTCTTAAATAGACCAGTGGGTTAATAATGGATATTGCAATAATCAATGATTTAGTTGTTAGGTATGTATGACTTTTGGTGGCGGAGCTAGCCACCATAACTGGCCAAACAATGGCTGCCATAACTGGTCAGCGGTTAGTTTATGAAAATCTGGAATTCCACATCAAAGTTTCCTATTTTGAAAGATTTATCTTGACAGGGAGAGCTGATAAGTTAACGTCATCATTTAGCAGGGTGTAACCAGGAATTTTCAGAGGGTGGGTCCGAAATTTTTAATTGCCGAGTTATTAACAGCTAGTGGTTCTGTGCAGGGCTGGAAAACATGGGGTTCACAAGTCTTAAGATTCTAAAAAGCGTTTCAACCCATGAAAAAATGCTATTATGTCAGATAGAATTTGTTTTTTACATTTTAATAGGAGGGTTACATTTAAAAAGGGGGTTCTGAGAGTTGAGACCAGAGTCCTATTTTTAACTAAATTATCTAGAAATATCTAATGCTGTTTTAATTTTTATTATCCGAAGCAGTGGGTATCAACCTTTTTAGTGTAGCAGGAGCCTATTGAAACATTCTAGTGTCTCAAGGAATCCATACCAGCCTACAGATTTCAACATTTTTGTAAATTCTGAAAACGAGAGGCTTTTCATATGTATTAAGCACAAGGGTATTAGATATACAAATATCCTCGCATATAAGTCAACCCCTAAAAACAGTCCCAAAACAGTGAATTTAAAAAAATTTGCATGTAAGCCGACCCTACAAATAGTAACATGTCGTATGCAGTACATACTATGCACCTATCACAGTAAGAAATGTCTTAAAATCCTTTAAATTCATCCTCGCTATTACTGTCAAACTACCCAAAGAGATTTTTTTCAGTCCTGAGTTACAAACAGATTTTCATTTAATCCTCTCTTATATCACATGCTTTGGTTTATTATTAATAATGAGAGCATTATGCCAATTAATTAGTTTTATATTCGCTCAGTATGACTTCAGTATGCACGATATAGGTAACTGGATATGCAGTTACATATTGTGAGACAAGCAACAGATAGAGTGTTGCATGCCCACAATACTAGTTTCATTGCCGGCATTTTTTTCTGAGAGTTATGTTCATTGTATGCTTTATTAGAAGTTGTAGTTTGGAGTTTTTTAGTATTCTAGAGCTTTGCCAATTCAGAAATTGGCAGCTTGAATTTTCGTAGTAGCCTGCACGAACTTTTTTTCAAAGCGTAGTTGTGAAAAATGTTTCATGAAAAACACAACAAAAAGAGACATTTATAGAGATTAATGTCAGCTGAATTTTGCCTTATATTTGAGATTGCTAGTATTTTTGTAAAAGTGCTTGGAATGGGTCTCATATCTGAATCAGATTTTTGTAACAACTGGTGTGTAGTTTTCCAACTTGTATTGCAATTTACTGTTCTAGTATTTGTGAAAAACTTCATTGGTAAGTTCATTACATATGCTTGTGTGTGTGTGAATTTTTTAAGAGGGGGTTCTGAAATGTCTAATTGCCAGTTATACCATATCTGCTAGCGTGTCTGGCCGAAAAAAATGGGTTTTCAAGCCCCTTGCGAGTCTAAATAGAGTTTCAAGGTGCGGAAAATTGCTAATTATGAGTCTGAAGAATGCTTTTTTTCACATTTTAAACAAGGGGTTTCTGTCCCTCACCATACCCTTGTATATATTAGTGGTTGCTTTAATAGTGCATTTTTGGAAGGAAGTATGGGGGGGGGGGGGGTTAAAACACTAATTGCAAAGTTAGGCTGGAACAGCTGGCAGGAAAATGTGGGTTTTCAACATTCTTTGGTTTAACCACAAACCCTACCGTTAACAGAAATAGTTCTCACTAAGAGAGAGCATGTCATGAGGTCGCGGCATAGTCCAGTCATGGTCACAGTAGAACGTGGATAATTGATACGCTACAAAAATAACGTAGCGAAGCTCGAATACGCGCTGCTGATACAATTTTTTTTTTCCAATTTTAAAAATGGGGGTTCCACCCTGCAACCCCCCCCTGGGTACGTCCCTGCCCTTATAGATCAGTTGCTGTTTCTTACGAGCCGTATACAAAGCAAATAAAGACTTCCCACTTACTTTTCAGCCTCCAAGACTCATCTGTCTGTTCATGAGGACAAAAATCGAGTTCCTTATGTGAAAGGATGCACCGAACGATTTGTCGCATCACCTGAGGAAGTTATGGAGACTATTGATGAAGGAAAGTCAACTAGACATGTTGCTGTGACAAGTGAGTAATTTTTTTTTGGCAAGTGGGGAGGGTTTTATGTGGGGGGACAGAATAATTCAAATATACAAAAAGCATATTTGAAATTTTCTCTTGAGGCAAGGTTTTGCTCCGTAAAGGTAAGAAGGGCTTCTAGTTATAGACAACTAAAGTTATTTGTTGGGCGCTCCAGAAGTGTGTGTACCAATATGGAGGTAACTAATTTTGTTTGCCTACTTTACATCAAGTTGTGTAAAGAGACTGAAACCTATGGGCAGGGGGGAATATATCTCCTGTACACAACTTGATGTAAAGTAGGCGAACAAAATTAGTTACCTCCATAGTGGTACGTGCATGTACTGATTCCCAAGAATGCAGATAAACGTTAACTTAACACAGAGTTTATTAGCTCTTTACTTTAACACAGACAAAACAAAAGTGACCAGTAAACAATACCAGACTAAATAGGTGCAGTAATTATAGGTGTAGACAAAGTAATCATTGATGTGAACACACTGTCTAAAGTAATTAACACAATATTACTACAGTGCACTTCTGGAGCGCCTGTATATTTTATTATCTTTTATCTATTTCTTATCATTTGTTTCAGACATGAATGAGCATAGTTCCAGAAGTCACTCCATATTTCTCATCAACGTAAAACAAGAGAACACAGTTACTGAAACTAAGCTTACTGGGAAACTATATTTGGTGGATTTGGCTGGAAGTGAAAAGGTACACAGTGGATTGTAGTTAAGAGCGTTTGTTATAGGTCTTGGGTTTCAAACTATATCCCTGATGGTTTGAAAAAATTGGGTTTGAAATCTTGGATCGGAAAGATTCTTATCCTTATAATGACAATGTTAGCTTTTCAAATCAGGGTTGCTTTTTTCTTGAACCATCTTCAGAGATAAGTGTGAAATTATTTAATAATAAGATGTGCAGCTTCGATGGCTCGGTGCATTAATCGGCAAACTGTGGGCTGCGGCCCAATCGTGGGCCACTGAGCCTTTCCTAGAGGGCCTCCAATAAATTTCAATTATGGCACTGATACCCAAAAAGTTCTATAAATCAAACATTACATATAATTTTTTGTCAAATGGTTACGTTCATAAATCAAACAATTATGCATTACGTTCATTACAACTAAACAAATTGAATGCCCTTTAAGAAGTTTATTATGTGGTTAAATTTAAAATTTCCAACAAAATTCTTGCCTATTTATTTTTCTCTTTATGCCTCACTTAAAAAACTTTGCCGACTGTTGGCGTAGTGATTAGGATTGTGATACTTAACCAATTTGGGCAAACCGTATCATCTCTTTACTGTGTGATAGTAGCTTATCTTATCTTTCTAGCTCATCTTTAGCGTTTCTTTTATTGCACTATAGACATCATTCGATCTTTATTTCTCCGCAGGTTGGCAAAACAGGAGCAGAAGGCACGTTACTTGATGAAGCAAAGAATATCAATAAATCTCTCTCTGCTCTGGGAAATGTCATCTCTGCCCTAGCTGATGGAAAGGTAGGATTTTGATTGGAGGAAAATATTTTCTTTTAATTTAAAGAATATAGTTTGGTGGTTTTATGCAGTGATTGGTTATTAAAAGACATTTTAACTTTAGTATAATGGATGCATAACTATAATATGTAGTCCAGTAAGTTACTAATAACTATAAGTTTTTACATTTTTTCAAAGCTATGACTTTTTAAGTTTTTAACCGAAAATGAGAACAATACCTATAAAAAATGCAAGTTATCGCTGATGTTGTATATGCCACATAGGTTTTATCCTTGGACTAGGATGTCAGCGAACGCAAGACTTTATCACAAATATCACAGTAAATAGTCAAATCTAATTCGGCTCTTGTGTATTTTCGCTCGTCATTAACTCCTAGAGGGCGTAGCGTAACAGTTTTAGCATTAATCATTTCTGACCCTCACCTGACTACGTCAACAAAAAATTACGCCACTGCGATGTCACAATCACGAATTATTCTCAAATCATGATCATTAGCTCGGAATCAAACTGACTGCAACTCTTACTAATAGTAGCCTGATGGTTCCATTACATTTGATTCCACGTACATTGAACCCATGACAATTGCACCTGTATGCTATTGCACCTATGGAATTTTTTTTGTTTCACGGATAGTTAAACCCATACTAACCCTAACCCATGGGTTTTAGCACCCGCATATAGATGGAACCCGTGGATATACGCATGGGTTCAAATGTACATGGGTTCAAATGTACGGTCACCTAGCCTGATATGTAAGTACAACCACCCGTCGGCTGGGATATGACAGTGTATGTTAATGAAAACATGCTCATATATAACATTAATCGAGTTTACATATAGTTTGTCCATCAAGTCTTGAAAACTTATGAAATTGAAAGGGAATTTATCGATACCATATATTGTTTCGGCCCTCACGGATGTATTAATAGAAGTAAAAAATACTTGAACAATTACAGATTAAAAACAACAAACCTGGTTAAGATATATTGAGAACTGACTTCATAAAAAAATTGAAATTGTGAAGGGACTTCATGAACACCTGTATATTAACAAACTTATCTTCATTGTAATTTAATGTTTATAAAGTAAAATTTTATTTTCATTGCGTCATGATTGGTATTACAGAAAATAAATGTGTTATAAGTTTAAAAACTTCAGATACTTATATTTTAGAGATAGAAATCTGTGCTGAAGATTATCTTCAATTTTTATTTTCTATTTCCATCGGAAAATTCAATGCAATTATCCTTTTCCAGAAAACCCACATTCCATATCGTGATAGTAAAATGACACGTATCCTGCAGGACAGTTTAGGAGGAAATTGTCGAACCACAATTTTTATTTGTTGCTCTCCTGCGAGTTATAACGAATCCGAGACAAAGTCAACGCTACTTTTTGGTGTGAGGTGAGTGATAGTGTTTTATTCTCAGTTTCTGGAGATTTTTTGATGGCTCGTTGGATGAGATGTTTAAAATAGATCGAATATTCGAATCAGGGATGGCAAAAATCGGTTATTCATGTAGTAGGTGTACCATGTTAGGATTAGGCCATAATTTCAGGTACAAATATTACGGGAGTCACTTGGCTAGTCCCCGAACTCGTAATAGAACTAAAATAAGGATAATTGGAATAAAATTATGGCCTAACCTTAGCCTGGTACACATACTAAGTTCCGGTGTCCGCCATCTTGGTTCACATACTTCGGGAGTACCATTTTTCAACCTAAATTTTAACAAACTCTTAATTTTTTAACCATCAGAGCCAAGACCATCAAGAACTCCGTACAAGCGAACGTAGAATTAACAGCCGAGCAATGGAGAAAGAAATATGAGAAAGAGAGAGACAAGAACAAGCATCTAACTCACGTCATCGCTCACATGGAGAAGGAACTATTAAGATGGAGAGCAGGTTGGCCAGCTTTATCATTATAGGACAGTACAGTGGTTCCCTGCCGGGGGCGTTGCCAAGAATTTTCAAAGGGGGGGTAACACTTCTTACTGTATTGACTATATGAAAAGTTTTTGTTTAATAATTTAATTATTTATTTAAAATGAGAAATTATATCCCGCAATGTGCTCCCGAAGTATGCGAACCAAGATGGCGGACATCGGAACGTAACATGGGTAACAGGTTAGGGTTAGGCGATAATTTTTTTCCAATTTTCCTTATTTTAGTCCTATTATCAGTTCGAAGACTAGCCAAAAGCCTCCCGTAGTATTTATACCTAAAATTATGGCCTAACCCTAACCTAGTACACATATTATATTCCGATGTCCGCCATCTTGGTTCGCATACTTCGGGAGCCCCCCGCAATGATGTTTGATCATTTTTTGAAATATAAATGAAAAAAAGCATATTTCTGTATCATACATTTTTTATCAAAAAAATCATTTTTTATTAAAAAAAAAAAAATTTATCAAAGGTTTTGTGGGCCTAAAATTTCTTCGGGCACTGAAAATGGGCCACAAAGTAATCAAGACCACTACTTCAGAATGTATTCAATATAACTGATTATCAAATTCTCAAGTAATTTAACAATTCTGAATTTTCTCTTACCAGGTGAGGCAGTACCAGAAGGAGAACAGGTCAAGCCCAAGGAGGTGCGAGGAGCATTAGAAGAAAATAAAGCGGCCGCTCCCCCCACTCCCGCTGCAGTCGTTGCAGCTATTACTAATGAAGCTAGCAAAGAAAGTGGAGACCATGTTGCTGAGGTAAGATGCAAAATATCTCTGGTTCAATGCTTTAGACTAGCAACTTAGTAGTCCAGTATCTATTCGTTGGCACAGCTCTTTTTCAGGTATTCCTGTAGTATGTGTATCAGGTTAGAGTTAGGCCATAATTTATTCCGATTTTTCATATCTATTAGGAATTCGGGGACAGTCTGTGTTGGCCAAGTGAATATACCCTCTGACCATAGGTTTCAGTCCCTTCACACAACTTGATATAAAGTAGGCGAACGAAATTAGTTTCCTCCATATTGGTACACATACTTCTGGCCCATCTGCTATGAATATTCATTAGAAATAAAGGCATGCTTGTCAAACTCCTATAGATCTCTTAGTTGAGGGATCATTCAATATTGTTGCTTGAACTGCTCGATATCTCCTGACCTCTTTGAGTATATTACTTTTTCCCTTATTTTATTTCTAGCAACTGCACTTCTTGACCATGGCACACTACATACATGGAAGCTAAAACTTAAAAATATAAAAAATAAAAATAGCAAAATTTTTACTTTTGTACAAGATTAAGCATGTTCAGATATTTGGCGAAGAAGAAAAAGAGCGTTTCTTAGTGCTGTGCTAAAATTTGTCGTTTCATCTTTTCTTTTTGTTACTTAGCAACCACGATCATTGACCGTGACGCCGAACAACTCATCCACGTCTATTTCATCTGGTGCAGCAACAAACAATGTGGCCTGGGAGGATGAAGATAAACAGAACTTATACAAGATGTTGGATGATAAGGTGTGTTGGGGGTGTGGCGTCTTTTGTCAGCGGCATAGCCAGGGAGGTTGAGGGTTGAACCCCCATTTTGAATTGTAAAAAAGGTGCTCTCGAAGAATTCGTACCAAGATGGTGCACAACCTGAACATAGTATGTGTGTACCAGGTTAGGGTTGTTCAGGTTGTGTGTCATCTTGGTGCACATACTTCCGGAACGCCGTAAAAAAAAGAATTCTTCTGTAAAATACAAAGCAATTTTTCGTAGATTAGAATGCTTTTGAGAGTTTAGACTCACAAAACGTTGGAAGACCCATGTCTGAAGTCCTACTTGCTACCTGTTACGGCCAAACTTGGCAATTAGATATTTCAGAATCCCCCCTTTGAAGAAGCCTGGCAGTTTCAAAAATTCATGTTTTGTTTCATCTTTCTAAGACAGTTTTGCTGTTTTTCCTTTTTGGGTCAAAGTTCACAAATTGAATCAACTTCAAATTTAGTCCAAAGAATGGAGAATAGTCAACATTTTTTTTCAATCAAACTATCTTTTCACCAAGATGATGAAACCAATGAACTGACCTGACCTGACTTGCAGGCTGGCTAATGATTATTCACTAGTCAAAATAGCGCTATTCACATTGTTTATTATGGCATCACAGTTTGTTCCATATATAGTCAGGTGCAAATATGAGCAAATTAGGAAATAACAAAGTTGTACTAACCGTCTCTCCTTTTACCAGGATGATGAAATCAATGAACTAACACAAATTGCTGAAAGATTGAAACAGCAAATGATTGAACAGGAAGAGGTTATCAAACAGACAAGAGAGGATTATGAGAATGTACAGGAGGAAATGACCAGATTGCAGGTTTGTGTTAGATGTCAGAGGTGTCTTGACATTTAAACTATGACAGGCTTGATTATCTCTATTTTTTTTGCTGATCCAGATTTGAATTTTTTTTGACAACTTTTATTCCTGATTTCTTTTTTTTTTGCTAATTTAAAAAAAAAAAGTCTTGCTCCCCAATTTCCTCCCCAGTATAAAAATTTGTCTAAATTACAGTTTTTCTTCATTCTCCATGAGGGTGAAAATAACACCACATATTTTTGAATTTTTTCCGAAACCCTCGTTGATCAACTTTCTTCCCAGTATAGGAAGCTTTTCTGACTCCATTTTTTATTTTTTTTTTAATTTCTTCATCCCCCCCAATTTCCCCCCAATATAAAAACGAGCTTTTTACAGAGGGAGTTAAGGTTTAAATCAGTAATTTATTTTTTTATCATGCTGAAAATCACACTAGACATGCATAGATTGAAGTGAGATAAAATTGAAGGTGTAGGGAGACGTGCCACCCTGTTTGACCTCTTTTTTTGTTTCCTTCCAAAAACTTTCCAATATGTAATAGTATGCATTTTATGATAGAACTTTCACATATTTATCACATCTCTATCTCTATTTAGAGCAAAAATGATGTAATAAAAATCAATAATTTATTTTTGACAACATCGTTTTCTCTGATTCTTTCAATTCATTTGGATAATTTTTTACTACCCCCATAGTTTTATTCCTGGTATAAACAATTTCTGATCCCCATTTAGTTGGAGTTAAACTATTGCAGTAAGTTTTTTTAGTCTCCAATTCCCTCCCAAATAAGAAAGCGTGTCTGACTTCATTCTTGGATTTTTTACGCTCCAAATTCCTCCAAAAACGATTTGTTTCTTTATTTTTGCTAGAGCGAAAATGACGCGGCAAAAGAAGAAGTGCAAGATGTTTTACAAGCCTTGGAAGAACTCGCTGTAAATTACGACAGAAAAGTTCAATTGGTCGACGATAAATCGAAAGAAGTTAACCAACTTTCAGAAGAAATGGCGACAAAGACTGTAAGTTAATGTTTATATTTATCTCTGGTTTCTAATCTTCTCAGTGTCTCAAATGGAATAGTTTTGTTTTGCTATAGCTATTCCTATACTCGCAGTAAAATCTAATTATGTTTCATTTCTAACAACTTCTTTGCTGCTACTCTCTGATTTGTGACAACTTTGCTGTTGACTAAAACGTTAGTTGTTGCTGAGTGTGTTTGCATACCCTTTTGGCATAACTTGATTAATTATATTCTGATTTCAGAAAAAACTTATGGCGTTTGAAACTGAGGTTTTCCATCTTCAAGAAGTGAGCGAACATCACAAGAGAAGAATTGCTGAGATGATGAATTCTTTGCTCAAGGATTTGGGGGAAATTGGAGTCGCTGTCGGGAATAAAGATCAGGTGAGACTTTGTGGTACTCCCGTAGTATGTGTACCAGATTAGGGTCAGGCCATAATATTATTCTGATTTTCTTTATTTTAGTTCTATTTCGAGTTCGAGGACTGTCTGTGTTAGCCAGAGGAAATTCCCCCTGCCCATAGGTTTCAGTCCCTTCACACAACTTGATGTAATGTAGGCGAACAAAATTAATTACCTCCATATTGGTACACATACTTCTAGAGTGCCAATTTTGTTAATTGTGAAATGCATTTCAGAGCACATGCTTCAAATATAGTAGTGCGAGTATGTCACAATATCCTACCAGTACAGCAGTGTTCATAACTTTGAACGACCACAAGATCTCAAATAGCAAAGACTGCCATAAAAGAGCGCATATTTCAATTTTGACGAAATAGTCGCACACAAAAAATGGATCCCTTGGGGCTCACAAAAATATTGATATAAATAAAAAGCAATTTTCAACCACTTAAATATTCAAAAGTGGGACTACTTATTAAGATCCTTGCTTGGAGGATAGTTTCTTAAAGTCTAATAGAATTTTTCTTTCTCTATATTGGTGTATGGAAGCAATTGGTGTATTTATATTGGTGTATATCCTCCAACTGAATTGGACCCACTGGCTGTCACAGTCTTACTTGGCAATTACAATTGGAAAATTTTAGAATTCCGCACCTCCCCCTCTTTTCTGAAAATTCCTTCCTACATCCCCTTGAAAAACTTGATAATTTATTTTCAATTATTGGCTCAATTTTGAAATGTTTTTGTATTTCAGCAAATCCCTGAATCTATCAGCGAAAAATTTGAAGAGGAATTTACTATGGCTCGATTATTTGTTTCAAAAATGAAATCTGAAGTCAAACAGCTCGTCACTAGATGTCAGGCTTTGGAAAGTACGCAAGACGATTCAAATAAAAAGATGGAGGAGAATGAACAAGAACTGGCAGCTTGTCAACTACTTATTTCACAGGTATAGCATGTCATACTGTTTTAATGGGGCTCCCGAAGTATGCGAACCAAGATGGCGGACATCGGAATGTAATATGTGTACTAGGTTAGGGTTAGGCCATAATTTTAGGTATAAATACAACGGGAGGCTCTTGGCTAGTCTTCGAACTGATAATAGGACTAAAATAAGGAAAATTGGAAAAAAATTATCGCCTAACCCTAACCTGTTACCCATGTTACGTTCCGATGTCCGCCATCTTGGTTCGCATACTTCGGGAGCACCGTTTTAATTGTAGGCTGGTTCATAGATAATGATTTAAATCCGACACAGAGACATAATACAGTAAGTATAAGCAAACAACAATAAGTATGAAAATATATACGGAAGAGAGCGGGCAAGACCTCCAAGGTCAACAAGGTCGACCGACCTCTAAGCGACTCTTAAGCAGTTTTTGAAGCGCTTGGTCAGTGGTTTCCAACCTTTTACGATAAATACTTTCTTTGCTAATTTTGATTAGCAAAGTATGTTGATAGGTATTTGTCTGTCTGTCTGTTAGATGCACGCGTTATCTCACGAAAGCGAGATTGATTCTGCTCCAGATTTTGCATGTGCATTCATCATATGTCATACCAGAAGCCTATTGATTTTGGATGAATTATGTCGTATAATTAGCGAGTTATTAATTAATTAGTTATGGGACACAAGGTGTCACTATGGAGTAAGAGCGCTGTTTTGGGGGATCCCCTAACTTTCGATCGATAAGTCTTCGATCTCTGACCGATATTCTCGTTTCCTCATTATTAATAGTTTTTATTATTTGTCCAATATTCAATGGATTCTTAGCTAGTTCTATGCACAACTCGCGGCGCTATGGAAGTATTTGTATCAAGATGACGCACAACCTGAACAACCCTAACCTGGTACACATACTATGTTCAGATTGTGCGCCATCTTAGTACGAATACTTCGAGAGCGCCCAACTCGCAAAGCAAACCTAGTACTGGCAAAACAAAACGATTTCCAAAGTGCTGCAAGTTTATTAATAGTGAAAAATCTAAGGTATTTGATTTTATGTACACAACTTTGGAATTCGGATGGGAACTCCTAGACTGTACTGACGGAGCCCTAGGGCAGGGGTCCGCAACTACTTTTGGCGCACCCCCAAATTTTTTTTTGAATTTCTTGCGACCCAGTCATTTGGTAAGCAGGTAATTAGTTATTGATTTTAGGACTATTATTGACACTAGCAATGTTTCCCCGATTTTTGACCCAAATTTGGGTCGCGACCCTGTATTTGCGGATCCCTGCCCTAGGGTGCCGCGGAACCCTAATTTCAGAGCAGAGTTTAAAATGATTTTTTTTTAATTTCCAGCATGAAGCAAAAATGAAGTCACTAACTGAATATATGAAAGAGGTTGAAAACAAGAAACGCTCGTTGGAAGACGCCGTTGACCGTTTGAACGACGAAATCAGAATTCTTCGAGCTAATGAACCAACTGGAGAAAAAGAATCTCTGCCACAAGTACGATTTTTTCTTTTATTTGGAGAAATATTGTATGGTTTGCAAAAATTAAAATAAAATGAAAGTGACGTTTATTCAACTTCGCCTAAGATTGAAAATAAAAAGTGCTCTTGTCAGAGATGTCCAGACCGACTTGTTTTACCTTCATGAATGTCCAAAATAATTAAATGTTTGAATGGGTTAGTATGTTTGTGCAGAAATAAATAATAGAATTTAAGCAAAATGTAATGGATAATTCAGACGCGACAAACATCTATTGAATAAATTTATAGTCAGGTACGCCCAGATCAATTCTTAGATTGATTGAAATATAATTTCATTCAGTATTCTTGAGAATACTTGATTTAAGAAGTTATTTAGAATCGCATCATTTGAAAATTTTTATTTTACGTTTCTTGAAAACTGTAAATAAGGATTCATTGTCTATCTTAAATTATTCTGGTTCATCTGTCGTTCTAATCTTGAAAAATGATTACTATACTATTTAATTCAAGAGTCTTGCTACGCACTAACACAAATGTATTTCTGTAACGTTTCATCTGACCAAGGTTAGACTACTTCAGACAAGCATTTTTCAAACGTCACTGTCAATCACAACTGTGTTGCGTGACACCAACTGATAGTTCAAAAAAGATGTTTTTAATCTTTTCTAAGCATTGCAATATTCTCTAGGAATCCCATATTTCTGATAGTAGCTTCGGTAGTATGGCGCACAACCTGAACCCTAACCTGGTACACATACTATATTCAGGTTGTGCGCCATCATGGTGCACATACTACCGGAGCGCCGTACTTTATGCCTTTTAAAGTTAGTAAACATGTGGGCCTAAAGAACAAAGGCAATGTCAATTCTTCTTCCTCATCTCTGCCTGATTTTCCTTGATAATACCAAAAAAATACACATATGTTCGCTAAACTCAGTTCCTATAGTCTCGATACCTATTTTACTTTGCCCTAAACGTTAGATTTCTATCCAGAAATTCCACATTTCTGCTGAAGATTCAAAACAATTTATCACTGAACTGGACATCTACCAATTACCATTTACTGAGGGAGAGCTTGAATAAATCCTAGTCCCAACTCCCAATAACTTGAATGCCAACAGTCTCAATACTTTAACTTTGAGTTTGGTTGCGCAAGACTAACTCTCTATCTTCCCTCTATGCCTTTATGCTAGTGCAGTGGTTCCCAACCTTTTGAGATCGGGACCCCCTTTGGTAGTTTACAAATACCTCGCGACCCCCTGCCCCACTTTCTATACTTATCAATGAAATAAGCGGCAAAGAGGAGGCGAGGTTCTTACCACTTCATGACAGCTGCTGCCACGAACGTACCGATGGCAGCTCTTGCCGTGGTTATGGCGCTTTTACCGGTATATTCACAAAGGCGTGCATCATGCGGAATTATATCTACTTAAACCTGAAACCTAACCCCGAATCCATCAAAACTGTATCCATAAGAAAAATGTTCCAACCCAACCCATATTTATTGCCATCAGGGACAGCCCTGCCATTACAGCCGACTTGCCGTGGTTACGGCAGCAAAATTTTAGCCGCCTTTGGTTTTCAATTTGCTGCCGTGGTAACGACATCTCGCCATTGATTTGTGGCGGCTAAAAAGTCAGTTGCCATGGGTTTGGCTATAGCGGCCATGGTTTCGAAATCCCGCAATTGCTTCGAAGGCCGCGTGTTTTCCGCATTGTTACAGCGGAAATGCAGACGAGTTCGTGTGACGCCACAATGGTTAACATGCCATTAACACTTCGCGTCGCTTGCTTGGTTTCCAAGCACAAAGCGACATTCTGGGGTCTCACAACAGCTAGTGAAAATCTCTCGGAGGCAGACCAGAGTCCATTCCAGACCTCTTTACGTTCTATTGCCAATACTTAACCTAAAGTTTTGTATTATTTTCTACTGTTTTGTCAGAGCTTCGTGACCCCCCTAGAAACCCGCCAGGGGGGGGGGGTCGCGACCCCCAGGTTGGGAACCACTGTGCTAGTGGGTCCGTATGCTTATACTGCAAGGATGCTGTAGCTGAAATAAACATGACTATTCTATTCAATTAAAGAGTCCAGCTGCACACTGACACAAATGTATTTCTGTAATGTTTCGTCTGATGCCAACATAAATCTATATTATTATTGTAAACTGCTTGTTTGAAAAAGTCTGAATTTGGTCGGACAAAAAGTGACCGAAATATATTTGTGTTAGTGTGCAGCTGGACTGTTTCAATTGAGTAGAATCATCTCAATACCTATTTTACTCTGCACTAAACATCAGATTTCTCTCCAGGAATCTCATATTTCTGCTGAAGAATTGAAACTTGCTTTGGAAGAACAATTGGAACGCCACAGTGAAGCCCATCGTGAATTAGTCGGACAACTTAGAGATGAGATTGATAAGAAAACTAAATCCATCGAGGAAGTCAAAGAGTAAGTGTTGTGATGGCTTAGTGCAGGATTCTTGAACTTTTGGTTTTATAGGGCCCGTGAAGTGGTTGACTATTATTCACAGAGCCGGACAATGCATTTATGAAAATAAAAACATAAAAACACATTATAACTTAACGATTAATGTTCCGGAGTAAATTAAAATTACTTTATTTGATGACTGATGTACTTGCTGTTTTGTATTTAAAAAATATTCAAATTGTGTCAACAAGGCGACAATTGAAATATGGCGTTTTCTATACGAACTTATAGATAATGACACATTTTAATTACTGCCTTGTTGCCACATTCCGATGCTAACATTTTCAAATTTTATTAATGTTGTTAATGCTTCTTTGGACAGTTACAAAATTAGCGAAGTCAGTATTTTAATAAGTAAACTAATGCTCACGGAGCTCCAGGTTTCACTGACGTTGGGGGGGCCTTCAATGTAATTGTGGAATCCAGTGGAAATCTTCGCTCTCGTCTAGATTAACTTTATTATGGAGCTTCGTAAATAATATTCAAACTCTTCACAAGCTCCATAACACCAAAAGCTTAAGAACCCCCTTTTATACGCCAATGTTTTTATCAAAATAACTTCCAGAACAGTCTAGAGCAGGGCTACTCAACTATTTTTACGGAAGATCCGCATACAAAACTCAAGAGTCCGGTGTTTTCAGAAATTATATTTCGGCATCCTTAAACGCGCGCTTCCTCGGCTGGCTAATGATTATTAGCTAATCAAGATTATGGTATTATAATTCTTTTCATATATATTCAAAACTGTAAAAGTCATTATATAGAGGAAACTTAAAAAGTGGGGCTAATGATCCAAAAGAAAGAATTAGGTGCGGTGCGAATCATATAATTGAAAGGGGTGGATTCCAGTTGAATAGCCCTGCCCTGGAGAACTGTTCCGTGGCCCTCTAGGGGAGCTACAGGCCCAATTAGAGAAACCCTACATTGTTTTATCTCCCACATTTATCTTTCAGTGATTTCCAGAAACTTGAGCTAGAGAACAGAAAACTTCAAGGAGATTTTGAAAAATTAAAGAAAGATGAAAAAGATAAAGAACAGGAATTGAAAGATTTGCATATCCAATTTGATAGAAGAGAGCAAGCAAAACAGGATTTGAAAGTAAGAGAATGGGGTTCGAAATCCAACCGATACATGAATTTTTTTATTACTACATATTTTGGATTTACCAAATATGCAAAACTTTGTTTTAATCTCTGGTTTGGTTCTCATGTCAACCCGGGGCATAGTAAATTGTTGGGGAAATGCTGAGGATTCCGGTTTTAACTGAATGATTCTGGTTCTTACTAGAAGATAATGCTGTTTATATTCCATACTCTGAATGCTATTTCAGAATTTACTCAGAATAATAAATTTTTAGTTTCATCCATCTCTACAAATAACTTGATTTTCCTACTTTCAGGGACTTGAAGAAACTGTCAGTAAAGAACTTCATACTCTTCATAATTTGAGAAAAATGTTCGTGCAAGACTTGCATAACAGAGTCAAAAAAGTAAGTTTATTGGTAGTTAGCGTGACTAGTTCCGAACATAACATGTAGAATTCCTGCTAGATTACCCGCTTGTTCTCATCTCAATCCAGACCCCTGAAAGCTACAGCCATAAAAAGCTCGAATGGTGCGAGATTCCATGAGGTTTGGGAACCACTGTACACATATATATATATATACAGGGTGGCCCAAAAGTAGGTATACAGTTATTGAACTATTTTATATGCTTTGAAGCTACTTGCAGTTCACTTCATGTTACTTGTTAAGTACCACAAAAATTGCTTAGTTTTTTAGATAATAAATCTAGTGTGAATTTTACATTAGTTTTCTAGCTGCTTGGAAGGTAATAAAAAATAAATAAAATAACTGTATACCTACTTTTGGGCCACCCTGTATATCAGTTCAGAGCATACCTTGTAGAATTCCTACTGCGTTACTCGCTTGTTCTCATCTCAATCCAGTGATAAAAGATTTGAATGTTTTAGCAGTTAAATGTGAGGTTGTATAAGATTTGGGAACTACTCTACTTTGCCATATAGGTTTGCTTGAAGCAAAATCCCAAACCTTGAACTAAAAACAGTTAGTGTTTGTTAGGTTGTTATGCTAGTCCAGACTTTACTAACATCGAAATGGTCAATTAAATCGGTGGTTTTGCAATTTTTTTTTGTTAGATCCCCCCCTTTTGGAACTCTTTTATTGCTCACTATGTGTGAAGACTATTATATTTATTCAATCTTTAATGAATCCTTGACAAGTATTATGCACTAGTCGTACTCCCGCTTTTGAACAGTTTTGGTGGTTCATAAGTGCATAAATAACCATTATAGTGATAATAATAAAGAATATTAGTTTTTAGTAACTACAGCGAAATGCAAAGCAAATTTATTTCCAAGAATTACCCCCTTGGGTCCATTCCAGATCAGAAAAAATAATGTTTGTAGCAGACAGCCCTGCTTGGCATGACAGGGGAAAAGATTGCTTTGGTACATTTGTTTGGCCACAGACTTTTGCGGGCACCAGATGATTTGGCCTGTGACTTTTTGTTTCCAAAAATATTCCAAATGAAGCCTTTCGTAGGGGACGACAAAGTGGGGACGGCATCCAATAATCCTGGCCCGGGTTTGTTATGCATGAATAAATGCAAGGTCAAAGATTACGCCAGTATTCACAACTCTCGAGTGAGAAAATGAGATGACTTTATTGAATCTTTTTTTTTTAAAATATCTTAAAATTTGTTTTATTTTTAAGCTTTCTAAAGGATTATTTATGATGGTTCCCCACGTGTAAGATGATTAAATTTAAATTTGAAAAACTTCCTTTTTTGCATTATATATTTTTGCCATTTCTGATTGCTTATTTTACGAATAATGAAAAATAAAAATTTCTCAACTTTGACCTTCATATCATAAAATGATATATATAGAAGTGTTTAAGTCAAACTGTCAGAAAAACAATTAATATATAGAGTGTCCATAAAGTCTTGCAAGAAAGAATTTATTGATACCATATATATTGTATTGGCTCTCATAAGTGTATTAAATGAAGTATAAATACGTAAACAATTACTGAATAAAAAACAACAAACCTGGTTAAGATATATTGAGAACTGACTTCATACCAAAGTTGAAATTGTAAGAGACTTTATGGATACTTTGTATTATATTTATGAGTTTGATTTTTGCTACTGCTCAATTTTCGGTGCTCCAGAAGTATGTGTACCAATATGGAGGTAACTAATTTTGTTTGCCTATTTTATATCAAGTTGCATACAGTCCCCGAACTTGTAATAGAACTAAAATATAGGAAAAATTGGGATAAAATCATGGCCTAACCCTAACCTGGTACACATACTATGGGAGTACCGAATTTTCTTATAGGCCATTGCTTTTATAAATAACAGTGTGAGATTTCTATTTGATTGCTGTGTTTTCTATTCTCAGTATTTTTATCGATTTTTTTTTCCTATTTTCAGCAACAGCAAGGAGATGAAATTGAAGAGCTCGGAGGTTCCATCGCTCAGAAACAAAAAATATCATTTCTTGAAAGCAACCTGGACCAACTTACGAAAGTCCACAAGCAGGTGGGACCTTTGGAAAAGGAATTTTGGAATTTGAAAGGGGTTGGACCAATATTTCTAAGCTGGGTGCTTGGTGCATTATGTTAAGCATTAGTGCATGGGTGGGCAATCACTTTTCCGAGTGGCCCAGCTACAGATATTAGACTAATCCTTTACCTGAAATGGACTGGTAACAGGACAAGGCCATGGTACACAATATGATCAAGTCGTCTTGTTTTATTCCTATTTTCTAGGATAAATATAAAAATAGAAATTCGACTTAAAAAATTAATTATCTTGCATGCATACCTAAGCTCAGTGTGATATGATTTATTATAGTTGTAACATAACTAACATAATTTGTGAAGGTTCCATCAGGAATATTGGAGTATTGACGGAGGACAGGTTAGATCAGACGTTGGCAAGGTTTTTGTACCAGGGGCAATGTTGCCAGAATTTAACAAAACGAATATACGTTAGCTTATAACACACTATGGGTGAAATGATGTTCAAGCCTGTACTTCTAACTTGCTCATTAAGAAGGTGACAGATACGGGGCTTGGACCCCATGTTTTTATTTCATCATTGGCTAATTTGTCTAATGTCCCGGGTGTTATGTTTTAGATGAAATGCTTTAGACCAGGGCTTTCTAAACTTTTGAGCTCGCAAACCCTTTTTAGTATGTTAAAATTTTCCGCGACCACTGTTAAGTCGGCATTGTTATGCAAGTGCACAGCTTCTCTGATCCCTTGTATGCTCTCAAAATCGTGAGATTTACGTTTTGCGCTAGTTTCATTAATTGTGTTTCGAATCAAAAGTCAGAAAAGTACAATAGACATAGAATAGGGTGTCCATAAAGTCTCTTCGCAATTTAGAAAAATTATTACAAAGTGAAATGATGAGATATCGCAATGAGGGTTGTATTTTGTGTGAAATTGGTGTAATCTTCTCAACCCCCCCAAAAATTTGTCACACGCCCCCTGTGGGATCACGACCCCCAGTTTAGGAATGCCTGCTATAGACACTGGTGTATAATACTACTAATTTTTATAAATGGATATTGTAAGAGCTTGTGTAATATTTTGTGGAGTAAGGTTTCGGACGTGGAGTTGAACCCATGTTTTTATTTTACACCTAGCTTGTTCGTGATAATGCTGATCTTCGCTGTGAATTGCCCAAGTTGGAGAAGAGATTGAGAGCAACTGCTGAGCGAGTGAAATCTTTGGAAACTGCTCTCAAGGATGCGAAAGAAGGAGCTATGAGAGATAGAAAACGGTCAGTAATAAGGCTTAATCTTAGTGTCTCTATGTCCTGATATATATTATATAGTTTATTATTGTACTTAATGACCTAACGCTGAATTACTTCAGTTCACAATGTGTTAATTTCTTTCTGTTACTCATGTCAATTTTTCTAAAATCCCTGTTGCAGTTCCAGGTTCAGTTAGTGCACTCCCCAGTTTTAGATAAGATAAGATAAGATTTTATTTCGATTCATTCGCAAAAACAAAATAAACATATATACACAAAAGATTAAGGCTAAGAATCTGGAAAGTGAACAAAACCTAATAAAATAGGTTTAAAAAGTATTAAACGCGTTCACTTACCAAAGAAGAAAGAAAACGAGTCACAAACACAAACAAATAAACAGGAATATTGACGGCAGTCATTACTCAGGCGTTTTACTTGGTAATCAGGTTGCGTGCAATCTTTTCAAAAACAAAACAGTGAATTAAATATCCGCTGTGCGTGTGATGCGGCATGTAAACAAACAGTCCGAAAAATCCTAGAATGAGGTGCGAATGCATGTTTCCGTTCCATGCTCAAACATATATCTAGTAAAATCTACCAAAACGCTAACACACCAATGTAAAAATCGATTGTGAATTTTCAAATATCAGTTCGTGCAGTTTAACCGTAGTAGTATATATTTACGGTTTAACATTTGTATATCCGGTCTTCTCCATATTTGAGCAGAGCATAATTTCGTCCATTACAAAATCTTCCATTTTGCAACCATGTTGCACATTTCCAGCCCATCATTAAAAAATCTGCTATATCTGTTATATCTGCTATATCTGTTTATTGATGTCACTAAGTCTGGGATTCACTTCTCGAATGCATAGCTTCGGCCCGAGGTAGCCACGTCCGCACGCGACGGCGGTCGGTACTGAAAGAGCCTTTCCCTTTTTTTCATTTTAAAGTGGGGATGTTTTGCTATTAGCGATCAAACTATTTGTATCTCATCCTATTAATTTAGTTGACTGACCGTCTGCACTGATATATATGACACTTTCTGGATATTCAAATACAATTATATTTAAGTTAAAAATTAAATATTGGTGTCACAACTTAAAGTTAGGGGATGTTTTATATCTATAGTGTTGATGTATGGAAATCACTGGATTCAATGCTAAGACTTGCCCCTTCTCACATAGATAAATCAAATTGCTACTGTTAAAGCCAGGAACTCCATCGATCTGGAACCCAAAATAAGGACGACTTGAAAATTTTCTGCATTGTGAGCAGAAATAGTTGGCTTTCCTTTCTTTCGGCACCAGGTTGATGTCACGATTACAGACGTCACAGTGTGCGAAGCACTCAACTTTCACGCTTCGTTTAACTTTGAATTCTTCTGTACTCACGAAAAACGTTCTTACATTTGCTCAATTTGAAATTTAGGCTTAAATAACCATGACAAAACCTAACAGTCGCCACACTAACAATGCTTCATGCCTATCTGTGACTTGCTTCTTTGTGTTCCAAATAAGATTGTGTTTCTTGTATGATGCCACAATAAAGCTTTGGCGGTAAGACAAACAACACAAAGCTTCCTTTATGAAGTCCAAATAAGACAAAATAAGGACAAACCTTAGAAATAAGGACGGTATGGAAGCCCTGGTTATAGCTGTTAGGTTGAGATGCCTGCGAACTAGAATTGTACTAAAAAACTGCAATCAAATCACTGTTTATCTTCTTTTGCATTTCTGGGTTAAAACTCATTTATTCTCTATATGTCCTGTTAAACACCACCCTTTTCAAAATAAGTTATATATATTTGAATTAGTCATTTACAATGCATTCTGGATAGCAGATTATTCAATTTTCCAATTTCTAAACTTCTGTTATTCCCAGGTACCAACACGAAGTTGACAGAATCAAGGAGGCCGTGAGAGCAAAGAACATGCAGAGAAGAGGACACACTGCTCAGATAGGTGAGCTTGATAATTTCAGTAGGTTAATGCTAAACGCTCATAAAGCGTCTGATCAGTGTTTCCCAACCTGCAAGATTAACACCAGAGAGGGAAAAATTTTCTTGTAGTTGTTTTCATGTGGTAGAGTAAGATTTTTGACTTGGTTAATAAAGTGTGAAATGTACCTATCACCAGTTGATTATTTATTAATGATTTAGGCTTTCCTTCCACACCAACAATAGCCAACATATCAGTTCTTCATTGAAATCACCTGACCTGTTTGTAACTATCTCAAAATAGTGTTGTTCTTCACCTGCAATTTCTGCTATCGAGTATGAAAATAAACAAATATTTCAACAATGTTCATTCAAAAAATTCATTTGCATTCAATGATATTCTTTTTTCCAGTAAAACCGGTCCGCCCAGGACAAAATTCTCCTCATGGTCAGGCTGCGGTCAGAGGAGGTGGACAACCAGTTGTAGCAATACGTGGAGGAGGTGGAAGGTACCAATTTTTTTTAAATTTTGGGGGGGTAGTGCGTAGTAGGGGGATGAAAAAAATAGACTGTTTATTTTTGATGATTCGGGGGTCGCCTTTTTTCATTTTTAGAGGGTAGGGTGGACACAAAAAGTTTTGGATTGTTCAATTTTCGATGATTCAGGTGTCATTTTTAGGAGGGGGGAGGGGACCTTATTTGGATTTTTTATGATTCAGGAGTCTATTTTTTTTTTCATTTTTAGTGGGGTAGGGTGTACACAAAAAAATTTGGATTGTTCAATTTTCGATGATTTAGGTGTCATTTTTAGGAGGGGGGAGGGGACCTTATTTGGATTTTTTATGATTCAGGAGTCTATTTTTTTTTTCATTTTTAGTGGGGTAGGGTGTTCGATGATTTAGGCGTCTACTCTTTTCATTTTTGAGGGGGGGGGGGTTAGAGGACGCACATTTGGACTTTTAATGATTCAGGAGTATATTTTTTTTTGCATTTTTAGTGGGGTAGGAAGGTATGCAAAAAAATTTGGATTGTTTTATTTTCAATGATTTAGGTGTCACCTTTTTTATTTTTATTTATTGGGGGTCGGGGAGATGCAAAAAAATTTGGATTTATATATATTTGATTATTCAGTAATCTACTTTTTTTGTTTTTTGGGGGGTTTGGTAGCAGAAGAAAGTTTTGGCTGTTTTATTATTAGTGAGTACTGCTGCAAGAGTACTGCTAACACTAATCTGTTTCTGTAGTTTTACATCTTGCGGGGGGATAAGACTTCTTTGAGGGAGCGTTATTTAGCTGATTGTTAGATTTGATCTTGTTCGCCTGGATATTTACCTTCCATCCATGTATTTGCAACGTGATTTTCAAATAAAACATATCCTCGCTTTAATTCGTTAATTGTAGCTTATTGTTAGCTGGGTATTTTTTCAGGTGGGGTTCAAGATTTGACAAATTCTAAAAGAGGGACGCAGCTTAGAACAGGGCTGGCAACTCGGTAAAATGAGTCGACTTAATAGTTTTTATTTATTTATGAATCGAAACCGCAGTTTCTGTTTTGGGGGATCCCCCAACTTCCGATCGATAAGTAGTCAGTCTCCGACCGATATTCTCGTTTGTCTTCCATTTATTCAAGCTGCAACAAAATTTAGATCGTACTGTCATAGCACAAAAAAAGTCACAAAGCCACTGGTATATTGTTATGAAATTATTAACCCCAAAAAACACACATACTGTGTGTGAACACTGAACGAACTGTTTGATGGGCAGAATCTATGTTGTCAGTAATTTATAAGTCTGGAGGACTTGCTACAATAAAAATGTCACATTTAATTAGATTACAATCATTCAATTCAAATTTAGGTCATGGAAAATAATTAATTTAGTACATTTGACATGGATGAAAAGACAAAAAATAAAACCTTTTAGCAATGAAAATAAAGAATTCTGCATTAGATTACCAAGTATTCGATAATCGATTCAAAAGAGTAAAATCATTGAAATAGTCATTTTGTACATTTGACAGTAATGATATTACATACTAATACCGAAAAATTATGAAATACTCTATTGAATTCAAAGAATCATGTGTTTGAATCATGTGTTCGGATGACCAATTTAGATGTATTTGATATTTCGTTATTCCGGAATGTATTTGTAGTAAATCAGGTTCTAGGAAGTATTTGTGATAAAAACAGTTAGTTTTTGAAATAACTATGTTATTCAAGAGCATACCTTAACCTTAACCCAACTTTTTTATCACAAATGTTTGTTTTACAGCAAAATGCTCTTGCAGCGAGATTTCCTACTGCGAAATTTCCTGTGACAAATTTTTCGGACACGAGTAAATCATTTCAGTCAAACCATTATTTGTTTTTCTATTTTGTTTTATTCGATCATTCATCAATTTACAGCTTAGCTTTGTTAAATGTCTTGTTTAGCTCTTCTTTCAAAACTGGATGAATTTTTTTGTCAACCATGATGAAATAGCAGGAATGCTTGCTCCGATTCTTTTCCTCAGAATCGAGGTAGCACTTTAACCCCGGCTTATGATCGTAATGTAAATGTGCGGCTGCATACATTCCAGATTTTTCCATCAGCTTCATGCCCCCAGGAAACGTGTCACTGGATGCTACATATTCAAAGGGTGGATATTTGAACGGCGAATTGTTCGATTCTGCATGCTTTTTGAGTCCCATTTCGTATGCTATGTTTGTTGAAAAACGACTATATTTGAGTCCGTAGTTCTGGTTTTTGTATTCCTTTGTCACCGCTTGACGTGCCATTAGCCAGGCCGCTGTTCCAAATTTCAGTGCTATATCTCGTAGTGGGCCATCAATGTTTTCTTCGAACCATTTGTCCCTCCTGTGAAATAAATATGAGTTATTACTTATCGATCTTTTAGAACGATAAGTATGTTGATAGGTATTTGTCTGTTTGTCTGTCTGTCTGTTAGATGCACGCGATATCTCACGAAGACGTGGTTGAATCTGCTCCAAATTTAGCATGTGCATTCATTATATCTCGAACCAGAAGCCTATTGATTTTGGATGAATTATGTCGTATAATTAGCGAGTTATTGATTAATTAGTGATGGGACACGCGGTGTCACTATAGAGTCATGAATCGAAACCGCAGTTTCGATCGATAAGTCTCCGGTCTCCGACCAATATTCTCGTTTGATGCTTATAGGGTTAGCTGTGTATTTATATATTGTATTTCGGCAACTAGCGTTTTTACAGATGGCTAGACATGACCAGTGATGTCATCAGTTACAGATGACTGATAATGACCAACGAACTGTGAACGTGAAGGTGCTTTGGGTATTGTTATAGTATTTGAGCATATCATTGGGTAGCGAGATTTTACAAACTTTTTCGAAAAACTTTGTTCGCTCAGAAAAAAGGCTGAGAAGTTGAGAACCGCTACTCAGTGTGTTATTGCTACAGCACACTGTTTATGAGATTTTTTAAAACATTTAGATTAGACCTACTGCATATGAGCCGATCCTACAAATTGTAACACACCGATCACAGACTGTTATCGCTGTCATAGTATACCAAGCGCTGCTTCGTGTGTGTGCACGCTCTTATCGTGAGAACCTAGCATGATTCTGAGTATAGCTGGCAGAATTAAGTTTGACATAACACTGCGTTTAAGTGTTATGTCAGAGTTATGAGTTTTTAACTTTGCTGCGAAGATATACTATAACTTTAGGCTCTCCCGTAGTGTGTTCCATTCCGGTGTCCGCCATCTTGTTGCACATACTACGGGGAAACCTAACTTTAAATATTCATGTGCAGCCTTTGCCCTTTAGCATATGACTCCCAATGAAATGTCGACGCCCTAACTCACTTAATCATTGCTTCAGCTCCTTCTTCATAAATCTCCATAATTCCAGAAGCATCTGCATGTTCTGTAGGAGTTGTGTCATAAGCATAGACACCGCTGTATGCAGTTTTCCAAACTTCTTTTCCTTCAATATTTTCACGTTTTTTCAAAGCCATTAAAGTTGCTTTACCAGTGGCTATTTGCTCCTGAAAAATAGTTTACTTCATTTACTTAGTGGGCACATGTAGAATGCAGTGTGGCACATCGTGCTGAGCATTAGGAATATGCTCGCTACTGCACTTCTGTTTACTCTGCATTGGTTCGCATGTTCGAATCCCATGCAGGGATAGTTGTGTACGAGAAGATTGCCAGACTCCTCACCGCCGTAGGGTGATTCAAGTAACCGCTGGTCGGTTATGGCTTCCTCCACCATCAAGTTCATGCTTCCGAAACAAATAACTAACTAATCCCATACCCGACATGGATTGATAACCGGGCGATAGGCTGTTGCCATATTATGAATAGGCCGTCGTTTCAACTTTCTCCCTCCCAGGGATAAATATATAAAATCCTATCCTAGCCTAAACCTTTTTGGCGTAATTTTGACAATCAACGCAAACGCTAAATATATTTTCCGAGCTTCCTCCACTATCAAGTCTATGTATGTGAACCAATGGAGTGTGATGGCAGCATCTATAGCAATGGGTTTAATGAAATCATGCTGGCAAGATGAGCTCTACTTATTTTTTTTATTATGATGGAATATTACCTTGGAACATCCCTCATGTAAATATCAAGAATATGTCAGTAAAATTTGTTTCTACTGAAAAACCAATGAGGTGTGACTAGCATCATCAGTAACTGGCAAATATTAGATCATTCTGTAAAAATATGCTTCAATAAGTTATAGCATTACATACCTCGTGTAAATATCTAAAATATGCTGGTAGAAATTGTTTTCGTTTTTCTTCATCTGGTAAATAACGTAATGAAATTGATGAAATAAAAAATGATTCTCCTGCTATTTTATAAAACTCTTCGCGTTCTTCTTTTGTCGAGCAGAAATCAAGTCGAATGCTGAAATGAATAATTTTTTAATGTCGTATAATTAGCGAGGTATTAATTAATTAGTGATGGGACACAGGGTGTCACTATGGAGTAAGAGTTGTTGAATCGAAACCGCAGTTTCTCTTTTAGGGGGTCCCCTAACTTTCGATCGATAAGTCTTCGGTCTCCGACCGATGTTTTGTCCTTTTCAGCATAGTTTGTAAAACCACATACAATGAGATGACACTTACTCTTTGTCGATTATTTGCGATTGTGACATCATATTTGCTCTAATTTTCCATACATTGTGCGTTTTTTTACAAATTATTCTTGATAACTTCAACATTTAGTTTCTAGAAATTAAAATACTCTGCAAAAATTTAGTGAAGCGTGTCTTATCAGAATAATTGTAATCTGCAAACATAGCACTTGTGCTGCCATTCATGCTCAATCATTTTGAATTAAAATAAGATCAACGATTGTTGAATTGGGTGTAATTTGACACAATTTGGACTGCTCTATCACTAAAAATCAATGGAGTGTGTCTGAGCAGAATAATTGTACCTCATAAAGCATGGCACTAATGCTGGCAGCCATTGCTCAACCATTTTGGGGTTAGAATAAGATCCACAGTTGTTGAATTGGGTCTACTAACACAATCTGAACTCCTGTATCAATAAAAATCAATGGAGTGTGTCTGAGCAGAATAGTTGTACTCTGTAAGCATAACATTAATGCTGCCAGCCATGTTGACTAGTCAATAAATATAGATCTAGCTATTATCTGTCTGAACCTAGTTAAAATAAAACAGCTAATTCTAGTCCCAAAAAATAAAAACTGTGGTTTGGCAGCATCAACCATTTTATATTTAAATAACATTGTTCTGTCTAATCACACTTCACTTCACAAAATGTAAATACAATGTCACTGAATCAACACACCAACAGCACAAACACTTACATAATGAAATGTACATAATGAAAACTGATACTACATATGACCTCTGCCCTTCATGGTTGACTAGCCATGACCAGTCATGTGTAACAGGTCATTTCACAGTTCACACTTTTCATTCTCAGCTAACAATTTTTCAGAAAGTAGAATTAAATAAGTCACATTTGATGAATAGCTTGAGGGTTTGTGTTGTCTAATATTAATCACAGAACTCGAAATGAGCATTTATTTTGAGTCACATTGACTTCATAGACACCTTGCTAACTGCTATTCAATCAGTAAGATTGAATAAATTGTAGAATATTGTCTCTTTTATTGTCTGCTATTAATTGCAGAACTCAAAATGAGCAATATGATTGCCTGGACATATAATTTGGCTTCCTAAATTACCTTACCTAATAATAAATGATTTCTGTATGGTGCATAGATTGTAGATAGTGTTTCTGCTGTTTGCTCTAAATCGCAGGGTTCGAAATAAACAGTAATTTACATATGTATGAGTCATATCAGCTTTATGAATTATTCAACACCCTGATAGCTGCTTTGCAGTCGGTAGCTTTTACTTTATGCATGAATTATTTCTATGTGATAAATTGCTTGAAGGTATGTCCATGTTGTCCAATATGAAATGCAGTGCTTAAAATGAACATTTATCTGAGTTATATTCGTTGGGAAGTCGAATGAGCAGATTCTTTACAGATCGCCAACTTGAGTGTCTTTATATAAATTCAATGTTCACAAATGAAACACGACACATTTAACTTAATGTAAGTCTGAGTGTTAGAAAGATCCTATTACAACCAAATACTCCAATCAGTTAAAAGAAAATAGCATGTTTGAGACAGGTAGGAGATCTGGCATAACTCAATAATATCAGCTTAAATTTATTATTTAAACTCTTTCAGTTGTCCGGTAAGTGGCGTTATCAAGCTTGACCTATTGATGTATAAGATTCATTGGTCAGACATAAATTATTGTATTTTAACTGGTTATGAGACATACAGTAATTCTGCTTCCAAATAGATATGCATAATTGGTTAACAATGTGCAGAGCTTGAAATAAAATTAGTATTCATCATAAAGCTTATCTGAAATAATAATCACACTTTTTATCTCCATTCTGTAAGAAACTTACTATTTTGTTAAATTAAATACTTTTATTATCGTCCTTGTAACAATTTAAAATTATAAAATACATATTCAAATATACAGCAATAAACTTTGATATCTACCAAGGAAAGTATATATGACTATTGCTTGCATCTTTATAACAGATGGGCTATACCAATTGGAAATAAATTATTTTGAAATAGGTGTTGGTCGCATGTATGCTTCTAAGCTCTAAAATTTTCGCTGACAATTTTTAATCAATTGAAACAAATCACAGGTACGCTAAAAATTCTGTACATTTGAAGACTATTGATTAAGTCATATCTTGTTTTATCTGAAGAAGTTAGAATATGATCTGACGAAAGCTCATAAATAAACTTACTATTTCGTGGAAAGAGATCATGTTATTTATATTTATCTTTATAATACTATCTCGTTCAAACATCCTCGTGGCAACTGACACACACGGATCCAAAGTAGAAAGTAAACAAGGAGAAAGGACTTGCAGTTCAGTACACAATACCCTAGTACACCCCATATTGGTTTTTAGTTGTTAAAATCAATTTATCATCATATAAATTAATATGTCATTTCATGTTTGATGAACATTTGAAAATATTCCTGTTGTAGATCAAATTATAATCAATTCAGTTCATTCTATTTCCAAGCTGAAAAAGTTCACAATTTAGCCTTGAATCCCTTTTCCAAGGCTTGCTTCAGCTTCGGATGAATGTTTTTATCAACCATTATAAAGTAACATGAATGCTGGCTTCTGTCAGTGCCCTTCTCTGATTCGTGGTAGCACTTTAACCCTGGTTTGAAATTATAATGCAAATGTGCTATTGGGAAGAGGCCAATTTTATCCATCAATTCAAAACCACCTGAGAACGTATCGTTAAATGCGACATATTCAAACGGTTGAATTTTGAATGGTGCTTTGCCAGAATCAGCATGTATCTTTAAGCCTAATTCGTATGCAATTTTTGCTGCGATTCTGCTGTAATTAAGACCATATTTTTGTTGCTTGTACTCTGGTGTTGTGGCTTGACGTGCTAATAGCCAAGCAGCTGAGCCAGCACTTTTTGCGATTTCACGTAACGGGCCATCAATGTTCTTCTGATGCCATTTGTCTCTCCTGTAAAAGTTGAAGGAATGTTAACATTGGGGCACAATGGCCTACACAGGTTACATATCTCTGGGATCCCATGCCCACCATATGTGATAAATTGGATAGGCAATGTCGAAACAGGAAGATTCTGATACTCCTAAAAATTGTAGATTCTTACAGAACGTTAAGACTTCAATGGCGGAGCCAGGGTCTTCAAAAGGAGGGAGGGGGGGGGTTTAAAATCGAAAATTTATATTCTCTTTGGAAACAGTCAACGCGATTACACGCTCGTTAAAAGAGCCGACTTTTTCAGCGTATATTGACTTTCCAGTCGTGTAACATATATTCAATCCATGATAACTACGAAAATCTATATTGAATAACAGGTCACGCTGACGGCAAATAAGGGAGCATTAGTGATAGCGGTTAGTACCGGTATTGATCAAATTGTATTCGAACGAGGTTTCGGATAATTTAGTGGTTATGATATGATGTATTGTGACGCAACGCGCAAAATGGCAAAAACATGCCTTTTTGTTATAATAAGTAGACAGTAACGGGCGAGGGCGATCTCTTCTCTAAGTACAAGGATTGGTAGCGCTATAAACGTCGTTAAGCGAATACAAAAGTTAATTGTTGCAATAATTCAAAGTTGCTTTCGTGGTGTAGTATTTTCGTCGTATTTTCTGCAAAATATTTTTTTCTCTCTTACATTTATATTGTGGGTATTTTAATAAACATTTGTCTACACTTGGTTTGATCACCCTGTATATATTTAATTCTGAACCAATCAGAAAACATTTTTCAGATATCCCTAAACATACTTTATTATTTCTTCTACTGCTTCTCTATCAATTTCCATGATTTCGGAACTATCTGATTCGACAGTAGGCGATGTGTCATAAACGTAGATTCCACTGTACACAATTTTCCAAACTTCTTTGCCGTTGACATTTTCTCGCTTTTTGAGAGCCATTAAAATTGCTTTTCCTGATGTCAATGAACTCTGAGATTAATTGAAGATGGTTATGTTAGCTTAAAAAATTATTAGGAGTTCATCAAAGGGAGAGGAAAATCGATATGTTGGCTTAATCATATGGCGAACCACAGCCTTTCATCTTGTTATCAGTCCATGTCGGGTATGGGATTAGTTAGCCTACTTTTTGATCAGATACATGGACTTGATTTGTTTCTAATTTTCGAAAGCTTGACTTCATTAGACAAACCCAATTAGGATTTACATATGTGAAAGTCGTAAAAATGTGAAAGTACATAAAGATGTGAAAGTACACAAAAATGTCATCAAAAAAACATGTAGGCAAAGTATCTCTATAAAACTGGCAATAACATACGCAGCTAACATACTTCATGCAGGTATCTGAAATAAGCTGGCAGAAATTTTCTCCTTTTCTCAACATTGGGTAGATGCCGTAATGATATGGTTGATTGATGAAACGATTCTCCAGCTCTTTTATAAAAGTCTTCACGTTCTTGTTTAGAAGTGCATATTTCCAAGCGTAAGCTAAAAGCGATATATGAAATGTTTTTATTTGATCAGGGGGGAGATGTAAACCAATAAGATGAACAATTCATACCAGATTTTTAAAAGATGTCGACAATGACTATAATTAAAATTAGTCACTAAATTATTACTTACTTTGAATCAATTTTCTGTATCAGATTCATGTTCTGATAGTTTCCTATCCCCATTGCTGTATTGACCATGTTCAATCTAACTTTGCAAAATCTTGAATCTTTTACCCTCTGTTTTCCCTACTTTTGAAGCACACTCAAAATTATCACTAGGGTGTCGGTGTCTCGCCACACACAGTTTGTTGCAACAACTTTGGCTTGTTAAAAATTTGTCTGCCCATTGAAAGTTCACAATTCAGTATTTTGACTTCAATACGACTCCCAATTCCTGTAGAAGAACGCCACACTTGCTATTAAACTTTAATTCCACAGCTCGCCCGTAGTCTATAAAGCAACTCCTTTGTACTGCACAGTACTATACAAAACCAACTGTTTGTATTGTCTAGTTCAAACAGGATATGCAAACAAACTTACTATAACAGATTTATTGACATTCATAATCATTGACCCAAATATTTGAGATAAAAAGCTGCTTTGAAAGAAAAAGGCTAGATAGCAGAGGTTCTCAAACTTTAATGATCTGTGGCCTCTTTCCGACAGGTTCATGGCGAGGAATTCTTGGAGGGGGTGGCTGAAAGCTTCTTATTGCCAAGGTAAACTGTACAGGTCCTGCCAGAGGTCGGAAAAAGGGGGGTTTTCAAGAGTCTAAAAGAGTTTTGAGGGGTGTAAAATCATTTTAAGCTACAAAAAATTGAAGCCTTTTCAATTCTTACTTCGTAAGAACGACATATGTTCGTTCATGCTTTGTTACTTGTCGACAGGTATTTGTCTGTTTGTTTGTCTGTTAGATACACGCGATAGCTCACCAAGCAAGGATGAATCTGCTCCAAATTTTGAATGTGCATTCGTCATATCTCGGATCAGAAGCCTATTGATTTTATATTAATTATGTTGTATAATTAGCGAGGTATTAATTAATTAGTGATGGGACACGCGGTGTCATTAATGAGTAAGAGCGAAAGATACACGCCACTAAATCGATAAGTCGGCGGTTTCTGATTGCTATCTCGTTTACTATCTTTGTGTCTTTGCACTTTAATTACTTATTTCATATGGGGTGCAACCAGGGATGGCCATTTCCGAATACTAAACTATTCCGAATACATTCTAAAATAATGTTTTCGAATCTGGAATTCCGAATACATTCTAAAATCGAAAATAACACATTTTTGTTTTAGTTGATTAAAACCCAGTAAATTAGGAAATAAGCTTCAATAGAAATATCAGAATAAAGCCACAAACCAACAGTATATGTACACAAAGTTTATAGCTATCGATAAAAAATAATAGCAACTTGTGACACAGTCAGTTCATTAAAATTATTCATTTGTACAAATGACCATATGAAAAGATAGCCAAGAAGTTGACTGACGCTTTTTATCAGTGGTACCATGATATTACGATAATAGTCAAGTCTATTGACAAAAATACTACATGTATTCAGATAATTGTGTATATTTTCTGAGAGTAATAAAATTTATTTGTAATACAGGCAACAACAATCAAAAATCCATTATGCCTTTAAAAATTCTAATATTTAAGCCTAGAGTATTCTAATACCTACCAGTATATTTGTATATTAATTTTTGTGAAACATATTGTTATTATGTGTAACATATTGCTGTGTTTGGAATTAGAAATAAATTAGTAGAGAATAGATGACCACCACTGCCAGCCGCGCAGCCAGGATTTTCGAAATCGGAAATTTCCATTGCCGCCTGTAACGCGCTCGTTAAAAGAGCCGTCTTTTCAGCGTATAATGATCATCCTGTTATGTAAAATATTCAATCCATGACAACTACGAGATTCTAAAATATCTTTATATATTAATTTAATGTGTCCAACGTAATAGTAAAACAATACTATTCGGTCCACGGCGATCTGTGACCTAAAATTACGAGATAAACTGCCTGATGTATTTAATTTTAATACGTGTTTTTGCAATCTTGCCAACTCGTTATCGCCATAAGAAAAATCTTAAATAATTATATAAAATCCTGTTAAGTGTAGAGTATAATTCATTTCATACAATGAATATACATATAAAGTTTAGCAGTAAATTAAAAATTCATATTCATCGCCTCGATTATGCCACCTGTTAAAAGAGTCGACTTTTACAACAAATAATATAACAACGAATATATATTTTTCTGTTGTGCAAAGTGATGAATTCGTGACCGACACGGGCATATTTAAAATGTCTTGCTTTATTAATTTAATTGTCTTCAATTTAACCTGCGGTTGCGTCGACAAAATAAAATCCTCACCAGTCTTATTATATACCATTGCAATCCGCGGTCATAAAAATAAAAACGCGAGGTGAACTGCCCGATTAAATATTGTTTTGATCCGTATTTTGCGAATTCGGCAAATATTTAGATATACTTGTTAACAGTGACTTCGCTCGATCGAAATGCTGCCACTCTGATTATTTTTAGATAAAACCGTTCGAAAAATCCATAAATATGCTGTAATATCTCAGAGTAAAATTTATTTCATCACAATAAAATTGATTGAATATACTATAGATTAATTATATTATATACATCCTCACAACCCGGGAAAAAGTCGCGTTTCAAACCTTGTATCGTGTTAACACGAAAATATTCGACGGCAATTTGAGGTAATGGATAATCAGGCAAATCCCGCCTTCAATTAGTGACGATATGTTCCTAAACGCCGACCAAACATAATGTGTGCCAGAGGCCCACGAAATTTTGCAATTTTCACTGCCTAGAAAATCGTTTTTTAAATTTTTGCGGGCTTCAATAAAACTTATATTGTTTACGGTTTTATTTTCAGTATTTTAAATTGCCGCTTTTCAATCAAAAAGTTGCGTTGTCTTTAGAAACTCGCCGCCGATGAACGTATTTACCAGATTCACAATTCCGTGCGCCTACAAAAATAAAATAAATGTTATCGTTATCGTGGAACAAATTTGTAGAAAATTTTCGTTTTAGAGAAAATAACACAATCGTAAAGGCGTTTACGGGCCTAAATAACACGTTACGCTGATGAGTGATGAAAACAATCACGCGCAAGTTTCTATCGAGAATGTTTTCATTCAACGGAAACGTCTTGGAAGCGGCGTGGAAAATGTGTGACGTCACACAAATATCCGATATTCTTATGAACGTGAATTCCGATATTCGAATGACGATATTCGAATACATTCGAATACTTAATTCGAATTGGCCATCCCTGGGTGCAACTCAGGGTAACAAACGAAAAACGGCCAAAATTTAAACTCTGAATCGAACACTGAAAAATAAAATTCCAAAATCAACCAAAATAACCAGCCTCACATTCACAAATTCACTTGCCAGATCCAAACTGACTTAGAAATATTCTTTTCAGTTCTGGATGAATATTTTTATCCACCATTATAAAGTAGCAAGAGTAGATATCCTGTTGATTTTTTGTTTCCAAATAACAATTCAATCCTGGTTTATAATTATAGTGAAAATGGGTACAGGTACAAAGCCCAATTTGTCCATAATCCCCCATGCTTTGGGAAACATATCATTGTATTGTACGTAAGCAAACGGCGGAATTTTAAATCTTGGTTCTCCCGATGTGGAATGTTTTTCGAGCCCAATTTCATACCCCAGTTTTTTGTATTTATTCATATAATTATATCCATAATTGTTGTATTTGTATTCAATCGAAGTTACGTGACGTGCATCTGCCCAGGCCGCAGATTCGACTTTCTTTGCGATCTCACGTAGTGGTTCGTCTATGGTTTCTTCTTTCCATGCATCTCTCCTGTTTGAAAATAATATTTTCGATGCAGATCAGTGGCGCAGCCGGGGGGAATCTTGGGTTTTTCTAAAGACGATAACATATTTGCGAAATTGCAAAAATACGTATTAAAACTGATATAATTAGGCAGTTTGTCTCATATTTTAGGTCCACAGATTGTCGTCATATTTTTGAGTAGTAAAGTGTTTATTTCGTCATAAGAAGACGCAAACGCAAGTTACAATGAACACAATTAAATTAATATAGAAGGAAATTCGAGATTCTCGTAGCTGTCATGAATCGAATATTCTATGTGACAGAGAAGTTATTATACTCTGAAAATGTCGGTTCTATTAACGAGCCCTCCCTCCCCTTTTGAAAATCCTGACTGCGTGCCTGATGCAGGATATTCTTTTTAAATGATGCTTTTATATATACCAGTATGTCTTTCACTCGGAAGAAGGCTTTGCTCGAGAAGCCACTGCTAAGTATGTTTACTCTTGAGTGAGGGCATTAATACGCGGACCAGCGATTGAGTACCATTGCTCTAGTTATTCAGTGATTGCCTTTAATTTTTTTCCGATACGTGTTCTTTACTCGAGAGTGTGTGTGCCTAGTTTTTTCGAATTCCAATGGTTTTCTGTAACTTTGTTCAGATACAAGTTTCCTTTACTTTACTGAGTAAGTGCGTCACCTTGCTTCAATAAAATTTGAGATAAAGAAAATTTCCTCTCACGCTAGAACTCTTTCCGCTCCTTCTTTGTAGATGTCCATTATCTCCGAATTATCTGACATTATTGAACCACTGGTATCATATACATGTGCGCCTGCATATACCATTTTCCAAACTTCTCTGCCATCAATGTTTTCACGTTTTTTCAGAGCAACCAAACTTGCTTTTCCTGCTTTTAACTTGTTCTGTGACATATGTGAACTTTTATGAATAATTTTTGGCTCCAGAAGTTTGTGTAGCAATATGGAAGTAACTAATTCTGATCGCCTATTTCAGATCAAGTTGTGTAAAGGGACTGGAACCTATGGAAAGGGGGGTATATTCACTTGGCTAACACAGACAGTCCCCGAACTCGTAATAGAACTAAAATAAGGAAAACAGGAATAAAACTATGGCCTAACCCTAACCTGGTAGTCAGGGGCGCAGACAGGGGGGGGGGGGATTACATGGGTCGTAACCACCCTGTTTTGAATCGTTTTTTTTTAATATTGATACGTTCACTAACAATAATTTTATTCTTTGCTAACTCTTGTAATTTTTGTAGGTTTGTGTAACCCCCCCCCTTGAAAAAATCCTGGGTGCGCCCCTGATGGGATTAGTTAGGTATCTGTTTTCGGAAGCATGGAACTGATGGTGGAGGAAGCCGTAATCGACCAGCGGTTACGTGAACCACCCTACGGCGGCGAGGAGTCCAGCAATCCTCTCGCACATAACCATCCCGCAGGGATTCAAACCTGCGAACCCACGCAGAGTACTTAGAGGTACGGTAGCGACTGGCGAGCGTATTCTTAACGCCTAACACGATGAGCCACACCGCTGCACCAATGATGATATAAAATACCTGACAACTAACAGTAATGATAACGATATTTCATTCTTGGAAATATTTGTAGAATGTCGTCAGAATAGCAAAATACAGAGATTATTATTTAAAGTCTTTCTTGCAATGCTATTCAAACTCATGTATAAAATTGATTTTATTGATTTTTAAAATATTACTACAGTATATACCGTATAGGTCGCACTATTAGTTTTGTGTTAACAAGTTTAGAGTTGACTCGCACATAAGTCGCACTGAAAATCTAGAAATTTAAAAGGCCCTTTCCCTAGCTTTTTTGCATAGATAACTTCCTGTCTTGTTTTTTTTTTTGTAGGGCTTAATATAATCAAAATATGTTAATTACACCTATAAGCGATAATAAGTGCATGAACACAAGCGCTACGACATCATAATCACACGTCATAGAGCTTGCCAAATTTACCTAAAATCACCCGAAATGGCATCGGCACCGACGATCAAAGAACTTTCTAACGCCAGCGATCTTTCTCCTATTGGGATCGTTGCAACGAGAAAACGAGAAAAATAGCCGTTCGATTTAAACGTGCAGAAGACAAAGTGGTTTGTTTGCGTAAGCAGTAAATACTGGTGCATGACTTGTGCAACGCTGAGCGGTCGCATGTGCGTGTGCGCTAGTGAAACTGTCTCGCATTGGTATGTGCTATATGACCGCATGTCGAGCGGATAGGTGGCACCTATATTTTTTTTTAAATATAGGGAAAAAGTTTCGACCTGTAGGCGAGTATATTATATTACATCTAGAAGTATGTGTACCAATATGGAGGTACCTAATTAATAAGTTCAGGGCTGTGCTTGCTTGATTGCTTCCTGACAGATAGCCTGGCTTGACTAAGAACAGACCAACAGATGTAGAACTGAGCTTTTATTATCAGTAACAAAGAATATAATCCTAACTGCAGTAAACTACTGTTTTATCTGTAATTTACAGGTTAATAGTTAAAGCAGATTGTTCAGTGCACAAGGCTAGTCTAGTACCAGAGTACCGGCAGACAGGAAGCTCATTGCCATGTACAGGTGGAGGGGTGCAAAGGTCAAGGCATGGCACAAGTGCCATAATGTTGTGTTACTGAAAGGATACATGTTGGAAAAGAAGATTGAAATGAAATTATGTGTTACTGTACATATAAAATAATATTAAAACACTGTACACAATATTAGCACAATAAAGCACTTTACAGTACACGAAGTCACACTGTATTTTAGGGTGCTAGTGAATCTTTTGGGACATATCAATGTCCATTTCATGTTTGATGAACATTTGACAATATTCTTGTAGTAGATCAAATTATAATCAATTCAGTTCATTATATTTCCAAGCTGAAAAAGTTCACAATTTAGCCTTAAATCCCTTTTCCAAGGCTTGCTTCAGCTTCGGATGAATGTTTTTATCAACCATTATAAAGTAACATGAATGCTGGCTTCTGTCAGTGCCCTCCTCTGATTCGTGATAGCACTTTAACCCTGGTTTGAAATTATAATGCAAATGTGCAATCGGGAAAAGGCCAATTTTATCCATCAGTTTAAATCCACCTGAGAACGTATCGTTAAATGCGACATATTCAAACGGTTGAATTTTGAATGGTGCTTTGCCAGAATCGGCATGCATCTTTAAGCCTAATTCGTATGCAATTTTTGCCGCGATTCTGCTGTAATTAAGACCATATTTTTGTTGCTTGTACTCTGGTGTTGTGGCTTGACGTGCTAATAGCCAAGCAGCTGAGCCAGCACTTTTTGCGATTTCACGTAACGGGCCATCAATGTTCTTCTGATGCCATTTGTCTCTCCTGTAAAAGTTGAAGGAATGTTAACATTGGGGCACAATGGCCTACACAGGTTACATATCTCTGGAGTCCCGTGTCCACCATCTGGAATACATTGGATAGGCGATGCCGAAACAGAAAGATTCTGATACTCCTAAAAATTGTAGATTCTTACATATTGTTAGAATCCAGTGGCACAGCCAGAATTTTCAAAAGGGGGGTTCAAAATCAAAAATTTCCATTCTCTATGGAAACAGTCAACGCGATTACACGCTCGTTAAAAGAGCCGACTTTTTCAGCGTATATTGACTTTCCAGTCGTGTAACATATATTTAATCCACGATAACTATGAGAATCTATGTTGAATAACATGTTACCCCAAATCTTCCCCCTCTGGCTGCACCACTGCGTTAGATACTAATGACTGATTGTACTGGACCTTGTATATAAGCGTTGTTTCGAAAATTCATATTAAAGAAAGGAAATGGAGAAAAGAAAGGAATATGTCTAACAAGAATAAAAAATAATTTGATTGTGTTGCCACTGAATATACAGGGTGATCAGACCAAGTGTAGACAAATGTTTATGAAAATATCTACAATATAAAATGTAAAAAAGAAAAAAATATTTTGTAGAAAATAGCATTACAAAGATAAATAATAGAATTCATTGCTATTTTTTGATAAAATTTTCTTCTGCCTTCACTACACGCCTCGATCTGCACGAGGCACGCAGGGTTTCTTCCGAAATTTTGTCCCAACATGTCGGCAATTTATGCTTTAGAACAGTTGTTTACAATCTGAGGTACACAGGCCACTAGTGGTACGCAAGCAGCTTGGAAATAATGCAACAATTAGGTTTTGTATTCGCTGGACAGCGTTTTTAGCGCTACCACTGCTTGTCTTTAGAGATCGCCTGTTACTATCGACCAAAAACGGAGCGGGCATGTTTTCGCCGTTTGCGTTTTACGTCACAGTGCGTCTGCATCAGTTAATCGACAAATAAGGGAGCATTCGTGATAGCGGCTAGTACCGGTACTGATTAAATTGTATTCGTACAAGGTTTCGGATAATTTAGTGGTTATGATATGATATATTGTGACGCAACGCGCAAAATGGCAAAAACATGCCTTTTCGTTATAATAAGTAAACAGTAACGGGCGATCTCTTCTCTAAGTACAAGGATTTGTAGCGCTATAAACGTCGTTAAGCGAATACAAAAGTTAATTGTTGCAATAATTCAAAGTTGCTTTCGCACCACTTGAAATACTCCCGGGCAGCACTAGTGGTGCGCGTAACTCGATTGAGAACAACTGCCCTAAGTCTAAGGCATAGTTTGATGAATTGTAGGGACAAATTTCAGACGACGCCACGCGTGCCTCGTGCAGTCAAGTTCCAATCAGATCGAGGCGTGTGGCAAAGGCAAATTTTATTAAAAAATAGCAATGAATTCTGATATTTATCTTTGTAATGCTATTTTCTGCAAAATATTTTTTTCTCTCCTACCTTTTTATTGTGGATATTTTAATAATTATTTGTCTACACTTGGTCTGATATGTATATTTAATTCTGAACCAATCAGAAAACATTTTCCAGATATTCCTCAACATACTTTATTATTTCTTCTGCTGCTTCTCTATCAATTTCCATGATTTCAGAACTATCTGATTCGTCAGTAGGCGATGTGTCATAAACGTAGATTCCACTGTACACAATTTTCCAAACTTCTTTGCCGTTGACATTTTCTCGCTTTTTGAGAGCCATTAAAATTGCTTTTCCTGATGTCAATGAACTCTGAGATTAATTGAAGATGGTTATGTTAGCTTAAAAAATTATTAGGAGTTCATCAAAGGGAGAGGAAAATCGATATGTTGGCTTAATCATATGGCGAACCACAGCCTTTCATCTTGTTACAGTCCATGTCGGGTATGGGATTAGTTAGCCTACTTTTTGATCAGATACATGGACTTGAGTTGTTTCTAATTTTCGAAAGCTTGACTTCATTAGACAGACCTAATTAGGATTTACATATGTGAAAGTCGTAAAAATGTGAAAGTACAAAAATATGTCATCAAAAAACATGTAGGCAAAGTATCTCTATAAAACTGGCAATAACATACGCAGCTAACATACTTCATGCAGGTATCTGAAATAAGCTGGCAGAAATTTTCTCCTTTTCTCATCATTGGGTAGATGCCGTAATGATATGGTTGATTGATGAAACGATTCTCCAGCTCTTTTATAAAAGTCTTCACGTTCTTGTTTAGAAGTGCATATTTCCAAGCGTAAGCTAAAAGCGATATATGAAATGTTTTTATTTGATCAGGGGGGAGATGTAAACCAATAAGATGAACAATTCATACCAGATTTTTAAAAGATGTCGACAATGACTATAATTAAAATTAGTCACTAAATTATTACTTACTTTGAATCTATTTTCTGTATCAGATTCATGTTCTGATAGTTTCCTATCCCCATTGCTGTATTAACCATGTTCAATCTAACTTTGCAAAATCTTGAATCTTTTACCCTCTGTTTTCCCTACTTTTGAAGCACACTCAAAATTATCACTAGGGTGTCGGTGTCTCGCCACATTCAGTTTGTTACAACGACTTTGGCTTGTTAAAAATTTTGTCTGCCCATTGAAAGTCCACAATTCAGTATTTTGATCTCAGGGTTTTTGAAAATACGACTCCCAATTCCAGTAGAAGAACGCCACACTTGCTATTAAACTTTAATTCCACAGCTCGCCTGTAGTCTATAAAGCAACTCCTTTGTACTGCACAGTACTATACAAAACCAACTGTTTGTATTGTCTAGTTCAAACAGGATATGCAAACAAACTTACTATAACAGATTTATTGACATTGAAATTCATAATCATTGACCCAAATAGTTGAGATAAAAAGCTGCTTTGAAAGAAAAAGGCTAGAAAACAGAGGTTCTCAGACTTCAGTGATCCGTGGCCTCTTTCTAACAGGTTCATGACGAGGAATTTTTAAAGGGGGTAGCTGAAAACTTCTTATTGCCAAGGTAGACTGTACAGGTCAAGCCAGAGGTCGGAAAAAGGGGGTTTTTCAAGAATCTAAAAGAGTTTTGGGGGGTGTAAAATCATTTCAAGCTACAAAAAATTGAAGCTTTTATATTTCTTACCTTGTAAGAACGACATATGTTCGTTCATACTTTGTTACTTATCGATCTTGATCGGTAAGTATGTTGATAGGTATTTGTCTGTCTGTGTGTTTGTCTGTCTGTCTGTTAGAAACATGCGATATCTCACGAAAGCGAGGATGAATACGCTTCGAATTTTGCATGTGCATTCATCATATCTCGGATCAGAAGCCTATTGATTTTGGATGAATTATGTTGTATAATTAGCGAGTTATTGATTAATTAGTGATGGGACACGCGGTGTCACTAATAAGCAAGAGCGAAAGATACACGCTACTAGATAAATAAGTCGGCGGTCTCTGATCGCTATCTCGTTTACTATCTTTGCGCTTTAATTACCTATTTCATATGGGGTACAACTCAGGGTAACAAACGAAAAACCGCCAAAATTTAAACTCTGAATCAATCACTATAAGATAAATTCCAAAATCAACCAAAAAACCCAGCCTCACATTCACAAATTCACTTGCCAGATCCGGATGAATATTTTTATCCACCATTATAAAGTAGCAAGAGTAGATATCCTGTTGATTTTTCTTTTCCAAATAACAATTCAATCCTGGTTTATAATTATAGTGAAAATGGGCTACAGGTACAAAGCCCAATTTGACCGTAATCGCCATGCTTTGGGAAACATATCATTGTATTCTACGTAAGCAAACGGCGAAATTTTAAATTCTGGTTCTGGTAAAATAAACTCTTGTTCTATCTCTTTCGTCCGCTGGAGGCGTCATTGCTCACTTTGAGAATCACTGATCTGGACCAATGCTAACCAAAATTAGTATCAGCTGGAGATAAAACATTTTTATCACAGTGTTGTATAAACAAGAAACGTCTGATGATTCAAATGACCCTCTTTCAGGAAATGATATTGAACTTAAAGGTTGAATAAGTCTCAGCAGCTAAGATCAGAAGGTCATCGCCAAGATGAGTCTTCATTCAACGTCTCTTCTGTTTACCGTATTTTATAGACCATAACACGATCAAAAACCAGTCGTGCAGTAATTGAGATATAACAGACAGCGCCAAGATTAGTCTTCATTCAATGTCACTTCTGTTTACCGTATGTTATAGACCATAAACCAATCAAAAACCAGTCATGCAGTAATTGAGATATAACAGCCAGCACCAACATAAGTCTTTATTCAATGTCACTTCTGTTTACTGTATTTTATATACCATAAGAAGGTCAAAAATCGATCTTGCAGCAATTGAGATATGACAGACAGCTCCAAGATTAGTCTTCATTTAACGTCACTTCTGTTCACAGTATTTTATAGACCATAACACAATCAAAAATCAGTCGTGCAGTAATTGAGATATGACAGACATCGACAACGACAACACAAGTCTCTATTTAATGTCACTTCTGTTTACTGTATTTTATATACCATAAGAAGGTCAAAAATCAGTCCACAGCAATTGAGATATGACAGACAGCGACAAGATTAGCGTTCATTTGGCCTTACTTCTGTTCACCGTGTTTTACCGGTATCTATCATAAGGCGGTGAAAAACCAGCCGTGCACCACTGAGCTTTATAACCTGTCGTGCCTTATATATGAATCATGTAGTGTTTGATTTTTTATTGCCTACAAAGTACCACGATGCTTTGAAAATTGTTGAGTTCTATAGCCTGATGCGACTTGTGTATTGACAGTGTGCGCCTTATAGTTCCCAAAATATGGTTCAATTTGGTATTCATCTTGACAATTCTAATAAATAGTACAATATGGTGTTGTATATATTTTTTTTTCATCTTTGTTTTACTTTCCTAATCTATACTGTAAGCTGTGGGCATAAAATTTTGCAGGGTTCAAAATGAGTATTGTCTTCTCGGAACAAAAATGCCAGAATGGAGTTTGCAGGGTTAGAAATAAAAAATGTCTAAAATGTTGGTTCCCAATCTTTCTTTGAATTTATTTTGTACCGATCAGTATTTACTAACACGCAATCATTTGCTATAATTCCATGAAAATTTAATAGCTCTTGGCACTTTATTAGGCGCTCCCGTAGTATGTGCACCAAGATGACGCACAACCTGGTAACCCTAACCTGGTACACATACTAAATTCAGGTTGTGCGCCTTCTTGGTGCATATACTACGAGAGCATCCTTTATTGGATGTCCTTTGCTCATATGCCATCCAATGTTGAATAGCCTCTACCAATGAGTGCGTATTGGCCGACATATAGACAGTAGTTTAGGGATAGTGATGAATATATCCTCCCAATTGCCATTTGAATGCATTCTTCATTAGAGGGCTATTCGGCCTTCATATAGACCAGTGTGGTCCAAACCCAGGCCCCCGGGCCACATTAACTGTGGCTCGCGTCGCCTATGCTAAAGGGTAATCGAAAATCGTATTTGGTGTTGTTTCGTCCTAAAAATAACCAGATCGATAACATGATCGATTGTTTGCACAATAAAAAGTGTTTGTTTTGTATTGCCCTGTTTACCTATTTATGACACTATTGTGGCCCGCGAACAATGCAAAAATAATTTTGTGACCCACGAAGGCAACAACCTTGGACCATCCTGATATAGACAGTAGGAATGGGGATGGATATATGGCCTTAATTACTGTTTGAATGCATTCTTCATTAGAGGTCTAAAGTTTTTATCGCTCTTGGCATCTTGTTAGACGTCCCTTGCTCATATGCACCCAATGGCAAGTTGAATAGCCTCCCTCATGGAGGGTGTATTTGGTTGCCACATAGACAGTTGGGAATGGGGATGGATATATGGTCCCAATTACTATTTGAATGCATTCTCCCATAAAGGGCTAGAAACTAGTTTAGGAATAGTGATGGATATATGCTCTCAATCGCCATTTGCATGATTTCTTCTGTAGAGGGCTATTTTGGCTGCTGCTGCCATATATCCAGTAGGTCATGAAATAGTTGGGCCACCTATTTAGAAGGTGATTGGACTTTTATATAAACCACTTATTTCCAGAATGAAAACTCCAGACGACAGTTCATACAGCAGATCAACAAGAATTGTTCCGAACTCACCATCTTCTAATGGAGGTAAAGATACTTTAAAAATTTTTTAGAGTTATTTAGGAGAATTGTATTAATAAAGCAAGGTGACTCGTACTTAAATGACCAAACATAGCATAACCTAAAGCAGTGGTGTGCAACCTGCGAGCCAAATGCAGCCAACAAGAAAAAATATGCGTCGAGCAGAAAAGTTCCAATTTTGAATGGTGCGCGGCCTTCGAAACGACTTTTTAGTTTGGTTTAATCTGGCTTAGGCGAGTATTTTCAATTTTTTTGCATTGCAGAGCCTATACCTGATTGTAATTTATTATCTATGACAACAAAATTCCCCTAACATCTAGCTTGTACGAAGCGAACAGCATTTGTTTTAAGACCAATTACCAAAATTTTGGTTTGAATCTCATGCAGGTTTAGTTGATTATGTGTGAGAGGATTGCTGAATTCCTCACTTTCTCATAACCATTGGTTGGTTGCAGCTTCCTCCACCATCAAGTCCTTGCATCTGGAAACAAATAACTGGTTAGCTAATCCCATACCCGACATAGACTGGTAACCAGACTAGAGGCCGTCGTGGTTTGCCATATGATTTGAGTTGTGATTAATATGTAAATCCTATTCTATCCCTACATACTAAACATTTCATAAAAATGTACAGGTATTTTAGAAATCCTATCCGTACTAACATGCATTTATTCATTAACAGCTGTACCCACGTAACTACAGTCATTCATTCAACTTTGGAGCAAAAATAATAATTATGGTAACTTGGGTGGCTTGCTTACCCCGCTTGCTAATTAGAATGGTCTTCAATTTTTCACGAGTTGTAGAATACAGGGATGGCCAAATTTGATCGAATATTTGAATAAATAGTTACGCAGCGCCAAAAAATAAAGATTCTAGGCTCACTAAAATATACTAGCTTCTACCCAGTAGTGGGATTCAGCCGGTTTGCACCGGTTCTATAGATTCTATATAGTATAGGACCATCTCACGGATTTTCATGAGATCAGCCAACCGGTTAGCATTACATGACTTTTTGTAACAGAACCGCCTGAAAATAGAACATTTGTATGACGGAACCGGCTGACAAAAAACTTGAATCCCACCACTGTTTTTACTGTTTTTTTTTGTATAAAGTCTTATTCAGAGTACAATGCGCACGATTGTCGAATAAAAAATGACCTTTGTAAAGGTCTGACAAAAAACTTGAATCCCACCACTGTTTTTACTGTTTTTTTTGTATAAAGTCTTATTCAGAGTACAATGCGCACGATTGTCGAATAAAAAATGACCTTTGTAAAGGTCTGACCTTGATTGGACGAAGCGTTACAAAAATATGTTTGTGTTAATTGTGTAGCAAGACGAGGATAAACGGTAGTTCAAAATAGAATAGATAAAAAATATTAGATTACTCACTTTTAGCCATCCCTGTAGTAGAAATAGTGCTTGGATCATGGCTTTGATAGCATTTTGGAGTCTGATTCGGGGTTTTTGAATTTCATAGATAATTTTTGGAATTTTTTGCCTGTTCTGATTGCTTGTAGTTGATTTCCAGGTAATTTGAAAATGACTATCGAAGCATGTCTGGCCAGAATAATTATTTTTGGGAGTTATTGAAGCGTATCTGGCCAGAATAATTATTTTGAGGTTAATGATGCGTATCTGGCCAGAATAATTATTTTGAGGTTAATGATGCGTATCTGGCCAGAATAATTATTTTGAGGTTAATGATGCGTATCTGGCCAGAATAATTATTTTGGGGTTAATGATGCGTATCTGGCCAGAATAATTATTTTGAGGTTAATGATGCGTATCTGGCCAGAATAATTCTCATTTAATTTGAATGTGCCAATGCTAACCAGGAAATTGATGCATTGATGATTTAATTTGAATCATGATTGAACAACCCTGATTTGAATTTGGGATTCAAAAAAGTGTGACTGACCGGAATAAGTTCTAATTACTAATTAGTATATATATATATATATCGGGGCTGCCAGCCTTGATATTTCACTCATTTATTTCCCACGAATCTAACCATTATATTCCAGACTGGAATTATGAAACTGAGTTCAAATTTTAGTTCTCCACATGTCGGTGGATAATTGTTCCGAGCCTTTTTCTAGTTTAAGTTTTGAAAGCATCTGATATAAAAACCACATTCATGCATTGGAATGAGTTGAGCTACCGCACACAGTACATCATCAAGGCATCTTGTCAGCTTTTCCATCTATCTAAACCAGTGGTTCTCAACCTTTTTTTTCGTGGCCCATTTTTGCTACACATAAATTCTTGTGGCCCATCAACTTTTTATTGCAAGGGGAAAACTACAAGAAAAATCAAGATCTTCCTGCGACAATGAACACTAAAACGTTTATGATTAAAATAGGAATTACCTCTCAGTAGCAGAAAACAGCATCATCCTTGATTGCTGCTACAATCAAAATTAATTATTATTACATAAATAAAACTAGCAATTTTTAATACCGGTAGTTATGCGGCCCACCCCAAAATCTTTCTAGGGCCCCCTGGTTGAGGACCAGTGATCTAAACCAGGGTGGTCCAGACCCACGGGCCACATGTGGCCCGTCGCTTCATTATCTGTGGCCCACGTCACCTTCGGAGAGTAATCAAAAATTCTCATTTCGTGTTGTTTTGTCAAAAATTAATCAGAAAAATCTTTTGACATATTGTCATCACTAATGTCACTGAATTAAATAGTGTTATAGCTAGCTGGGGAAACTAGCGAAGTTTAGTGATGTGCTTGGCAGTCAGTTGTTATCTGGCTTACTAACTTTTTGGTCGGGAATATATGCCAACAATATAGGCATCAGAGAAAACTAAAAATCGAATGCGGCTTCTATTAGCCTGGAATGACTATGTCTGATAACTATGTGTTTGCACAATAAAACTGTTTGTTTCGTATTGCACTGTTTATCTTGGCACTATTGTGGCCCACGAACAATGCAAAAATAATTTTGTGGCCCGCGGAGCCGACAACCTTGGACCACCCTGATCTAAACAAACATAAGACCCAATAAAACCCCTAAATTTGACGCACATCCCACTTCGTATAGTTGTTTTAAAGTCTTATACCTATCCTATCCAATGTTCGGTTAAAACACAAAATATAATTCACTGACAAGTCATATCTTCAAATCCAACCTTTTAGCAAGAGATGTCTTTGAAGGAATATTGGCCCTAGGAAGATAGGGGGGTGGGGGATACAAAACTTGAATCATTTTCTAGCTGATCCGTCTCAAATGCTTCTTTGTTTTATCTATGTATCAATATCTCACTGTGTAGGGACTTTCTCACAGTAAGATTTATAACACTTCTTGAAAAAAAAAAATTCGGTACTCCCAAAGTATGTGAACTAAGATAACGGACACCTGAACGTAGTATGTGTACTAGGTTAGAAGGATAGGCCATAATTTCATTCCAATTTTCCGTATTTTAGTTCTATTACGAGTTCGGGAACTAGCAAAATGGCTCTCGTCGTATTTGTACCTGAAATTATGGCCTAACCTGGTACACATACTACGTTCCGGTTTCCGTCATCTTGGTTCACATACTTCGGGAGCACCAAACTTTCAGTATACATAGTAATCCTCCATACATCAATGGCTGTTTTTTTTGGAATTTTTTCCAGGGCTCAGATGTGCTCTGAAGTCTTTCAGGGTTTTCAACTGTAATAAAAATCACTGAAACCTTTTTGATCATTAATTTCAGTGTCACCAAATTATTCCTGGGAAAAAGGGCGTTTTGTAGTTTAGTCCCTGATTCGAGTCCAAGGTCCCGATTCAAGGACAATGAATATGGGTTCGAACTTAATGTGTCCTTCGTTATTTAGACTTTTTGTCCATATTTGTTTATTAAAATTTCAATTTGTTTCCTCTTTTTTGCTGCGAATGGATAGTTTGGAACTAAACGTAAGAATTTTTAACATTTTTGTTTGAGTGTGTTTATCATATGTGTACTAGGTTAGGGTTAGTTCACAACTTTTATCCAATTTTCCCTATTTTAGTTCTATTACGAGTTCGGGGACTGTCTGTATTAGCCAAGTGAATATACCTCATGCCCATAGGTTTCAGTCCCGTTACACAACTTATGTAAAGTGGGCGAACAAAATTAGTTACCTCCATATTTGTACACACACTTCTGGAGCGTCATAAGTTGTTCAGCGTTAGTGGAATTAATTTTTCTCTTAAAAACTAAAAATGGTATAATGTTGGCAGAATTGAAAATGAAAATATCACATAGTAGATTGAATGGAATTGTGTGCAATGTCGGAAAAAGTCACGAACAGCAGCCACCAAAAAAAATTATTTTTTCCAAATACTTTTGCAAATCGAAATGGTTATTTCGAAAGTACAGCTCCAAATTTGAATAAAAAGAAACATTGTCAGCCAAGCTAGTCCCTGAATATACAGTTTCAAAGATAGTCATATTATTTGTGCATGCATAACAATTTGTCTTGTTAATTTATCAGTATTATCCTAGAAAGAAACATTTGCCTGTTACATATAATTTAGTTGATTGTGTTTTGTGTTAGTCTTGCTTTAGATTGATTCATTTATTGTGATAGCCTGGAAGTCTTGAGTAGCATGCATGATCAATAAAGAAAAGACTTCATCTTTGGAAATATCTTGAAAGCCCATTGATCTCACGGTACTCGCAAAGTATGTGAACTAAGATGTTGGACACCGGAACGTAGTATGTGTACCAGGTTAAGGTTAGGCCATAATTTCAGGTACAAATACTACAGGAGTCACTTGACTAGTCCCCGAACTCGCAATAGAACTAGAATAAGAAAAATTGGAATAAAATTATGGCCTTACCCTAACCTGGTACACATACTACATTCCAGTGTCCGCCATATTGGTTCACATACTTCGGGAGTACCGGTCTCACAAACATACTCTTTTCTATATATTGTTTGAGGAGACGTTAACTAAATCACAATATTAAATGGATATATATGTATAGGTCTTAGGAAGTGGGCGGTACTTTTCCCTTCTTTCCTTTCCTCTTTTAGTTGAGGGATCAAGACCTTTCTTTGAGGCAAAATATCATTTAAAAAGGTGCTCTCAGTGGTGACTTAATACTATTTCCATCCACTTTTAGTCTGATTCTCATAACCTCGCTTTAAGCAAACTTCATCAAATAAAGTTAATTTTCTAATTATGTCGGCCATTGTGCTCTGATATATTCATTTTATGGACATACCTATATATAAAGAATGCTAGGGGTCCCCCCCATAAAATATGGAGTAATTTGAAAAATGTTGTCCATATGTAGGCCTATCATTTTAGTTGTTGTGTCTAAATTAGTCATCCCTATTTGTTTTCAATATTCTTTTTAGAACAAATGAAAATTTTCTATTTTTTAATCTCCAGGTGGGTTCACAACTTCAGAAATCATTGAAATGAAGCGTTTAAGAAGACAACAAATAATTTCACAACAACAGAAGCCACCACATCAACGCAACGACACCATTGAACATTTATAATATTGTCATTAATTTTATTTCCGGAACATTAATTAATCTATACATGAGAAAGCTGTTCAATTCAATTTTTGTTTTCGTTTTTCGAACTCAAGAATATTAAAGAATTTAATCTATACATGAAAAAGCTGTTCACAACTTTATCAAGATCACAACTCCTAGCAAACTTTAGCCCAAGAAGATACAAATAAATGGTTATAATTTAAACTCAAAAATATGTTGCTATTCGTGCAAAGGACATGACTATTACGAACATTTATAATATTGTAATTTTGTTTCTGGGATTCAAGAATATCAAAGAATTTTATCCATACATGAGAAAGCTGTTTCAGGCCTTATCAAAATCACAACTCTCAACTGAACTTTAGCCTTAGATGATTTAAATTGATTAATAAAATTTATCCTGATAAATATGTTGCTGTTTGTAATCGTACTTAGGATATGACTATATCAAACATTAATAATATTAGTACATATCATTGTTTTGAGCTTGAAGTTTTGAAATTATAAAAAATGTCAATTTAATTTATCAAATATGATAGGCTGTTTACATCAATCTCATGACCTGTGACATCTTTGTTTTCGGGGCTTGATATTATGGAAATTATCAATTTAATTTATCAAACGTGGTGTAAAAGCTGCAGTTTAGTACAAGAAAATACAAAACAAAATTCAATTTACAAATATTTTAAAATGCTGTTTGGTACCTATTCCTTTCTATCATCATTCATCCAATGGTTGAAAATACAAATACATGTTATGAATTTTTGTTGCTTTCTGATTTACAACTCACACCTATGTCACAGCATTCATATATTTGCCCTCTTAGACTGCTTTCAAGTGTAATATGCTTTTGTATGATTGTTGGTGGCGTACTCTATAGTTAGTATTATTATTTATGAATGTATTATTATGTTTTTTGACTTTTGACCACGAGATCAAACTGTGTCTTGGGTAACTGATAACTGGACGAGAGGCCTTGGTTTACCATGAGTTCAAATGGTTTTACCCCCTTTCTTCCTCTTAGGACAGGGGTTCCCAGACTTCATTAGCCGCGGGCAAGATTAGAATCGGAGGGATGTTCGCGGGCCGGATGATAGCGCTCGAAAGTGCACGACGGTTTAGTTGGGGTTCAGTGGGTTCACATTATTGCCAAAAACGTCTGTTTACGGAGTCTAGTTTTCGTTTGTGTTTTGATATCTCTAAGCTTATGTGGTTGATAACTAAATTACTGCCCTATGTAATCTTAATACTGGTGTGTATGATTAATTGAATTGTTACAATAACTGTAATAATCATGTAATACTAAAACGCAAACAAAATCTGTTGAACACTACTTCAACCTGAGCTTGGCGGGCCATTTTAAATTGTTACGCGGGCCGGATTTGGTTTGGTAACCCCTGCCTTAGGATAAATATGTAAAAACTTTAATCCTTCTGCCTATTATTTACTAGTGAATTTATCTCTTAGGTAAAATCTTTGAATTTACAATCAAATGGTATTTAATGATGATGGTTCATCTATTTCCATGTGACTTCTGAACCTAGGGTCAAGGGTCCCAGGTCAATGAATGACTTAACATACTGTGTAATTTATTCTTATTGAAAGAATGTGATGGATTGTTGGATTTTTTGTAAAGATTGATATATAACTTTTTGTGTAATTCCTATTATGCCTATGTTCATTGATCCGCCTTCCCAAAAACACTTCACCATCAGTCCATGCATCTGAAACAAATAATTGGCTGACTAATCCGATACAGAGCCAGAAAGTCCTGTAACAAACATAGGCATAACACAAAACAGGTGAATCTCCGGCGCTCCCAGAGTATGGTGCACAACCTGAACCGTAACCTGGTAAACATACTATATTCAGGTTGTGCGCCATCTTGGTGCACGTACTACGGGAACACCGAATCTCTTACCCAAACCTGATTGTAATGGCAACCAGATGAGAGCTTATGGTTTGCCACATTATTGATTTGATTTGACTTACCTTTCTACTGAGGAGAAATACAAAATTCTTCCTATATTATATACGAGTCAAAGTTCAAAGGTTTATTTCCACTAAACCAAGGGATAAAACGGGCGAAGACAAAAATGCCCTTTTTTCTCCATATTGTGTAATATAAACAATTTCTTATTTAAAGAATTTCGATTTGTCTATTACATTATAACTTTGAGTTCTTAAGAAATATTGTTACTTATTTCGTTGGACTTTTAAAAAAAAGATTTTCGAAGACTTAAAATACTTTGTTTCTGATAGCTAAATATCTCATTTATCCACATCATTATGACTTTATATTTCCCTATAGAATTTTTGGTACCAAATTTTCACACTGTTACCTATTTAATATTGTTCATATTGAGGCAAGGGATGTCACAAGAACATGATTGACAGTGTCTTGCAACCTTTTACTACCAACTTGCTTCGTTTTTCACTTATGTTACTGAGGTATTTCAACAGACCAAAACAGTTATAATTGTGTATAACTGCTATACAAGGGTTGTATTACTTTGGGTGATCACCAAAATGTTACACAGCGTCGACTAGATTCAAAAATTTGTCAAGATTTATTCATGTGCTCTGTTTTGGATTGTGACATCCCTGGTATATTGTGCATATATTTACACATTTCATGTCTGATTGAAAATTCCAATTTAAGAAGTTGTGAATCAAATTTCAAGTTTATATCAATTAGTATATAGATGAAAATCCTATATTCAAATGATTTTTTGTGTTTCAGCTTATCGCTACAAAATATTCATCTCTTTTTTTATTTTGGCGTTGGAAATATTTTCCGCAATTACTGTTAAGTAAATACAAGAGTTATCTCAGCCTTGATCCTAACAGGATTGTTTGTTTGGAATTAACCCTATTTAGTTCAGTCAAAGCTAATATTAGATTTTATTTCTCAACTATCTATTTATTCTTTTAATATGAGTGTCTCAAAAATGTTGTGTACCTCTAATAATACTAATTGCCCCAATCGTACAAATCCCACTTTAGATTTGTCTTCAGTTTTCTATCTGTCCCAACCTTGGACAGTGGTACATGTCAGGTGCAATCGGGACAAATGGTGTGAGTGGGGCACACAATGTACATGACTTTTTTGTGACACTGTTTAAATACTTTATAGCAGGGGTGTGCAACAGGCGGTCCGCAGATCACAACCCGGCCTGCCAAGCCATTTATCGGTAGTGTGGCCCTTGCTAACACTTTTTCCCCACAAGTATAACGTTCTAATCCGACAGTTTTTGTTTAAAAAGTCGTTCACATGGATGAAAATAATTTTTTTTTCTCTTGTCCCTGTGTTAAAAATCTTTCGCTGTTTTGCCCGGTGTCTTTATTACTGTAAGGCTAAGCGATTATTCATTATGTTTATGGAAAAACCAAATTATTTATGCAGTCCGGCCAGATTTCTAAAGTTGGTTACATGACCCACCGACAAAAAATGTTGCACACTCCTGCTCTATAGGCAATGTAGTTAGAATCCGAATCAAATGTTTCAATTTGTTTGTTTATTTTAATTCTTGTTACTGCAACTTATCCTATCATAGTAGCTCTATATTAGGAGCGCAGCCAGGAATTTTAAAAAAAGGGGGGGGGGGGATTTCTGAAATTTCCAATTGCCAAGTTAGACTGTATCACCTAGTGGCGTTTTTTTTTTTCATATTTTAAAAGGGGGGGTGGGGGTTTAGACACTCAACGCAACCTCCCCTCCTCCCACCTGGCTGCGCCCCCGCTCCTTCTGTATTAATGGAAGCTTCTCTAGAGACTTGTTCTGAGGTGTCAGACACCTTCAAAAAGCTTGAAACTATAATTTTTGTTCAAGACAAGCGAGGAGTTTCCCGTTTTGTTATTTGTGTTCAGTTTTCGCTCGTGCAAGAAAAGGCTTTTCAAATATTTTTTTGTATACTCTTGGCATTATTACAAAGGTAATTACCGTAGTCAATATTCCCATTTATTTTTTTATCATAAAATGTTTCAGTAAGAGGGGTAATGCTTAGTGGGTAATGATATTGACCCCCCAATCCTAATCAGTAGTGGGCTGGTCCTGTCCCAATAGCCTCTCTCAAAGAGGATCTGTAACATTGATTCAAAGTAAATTCCCATAATCGCTAATTTCTTTGTCGTTCATTCATTGTTTATTCATTCTATGCTATCATAACTCGTATGTTTGTTTTTCTTGAATTGTATTGTTAGGCTATTTGCAGCTATTTACCCTATGTAGGAGATTCAACGGCATGAAGGTCTCTTTATTTTGTTATTATTTCATAGCGCACATACTTCACCACCACGATCTGGTGCATTTGGCCTTTGGTGGGTTATTGGGTATAAAAATCAAATTCAAACTCCGATACCACTTCGCCTTTGGCTTTTATGTAGATGATTCCAAATATATGATAGCTTCGTACATATGTTGCTGCTTATCTGGTGCCTTGTTCCTATTGGCAGTGTGAAAACATGCATAAAAATTAGGCACCTGGGCTTACTTGACATCCTAAATTGAAGAAGAAGTGCATTACCCTCTTGCCCACCAGTTGATGCAGGATGTAACAAATTGGGTATAAGCTAGTGGTTCTTAACCCTTTATCTTTCATGGCATCTCATGTAGATTCGTACCTAACATACTTCTAGTGGGCGTAGCATGACAATTTTTTCACGTGTCAATCCTAACCCTCACCTGACCACACCATCCAAAAAGTACGTCACTACGACGCCACAGTGACCCTTCAAACTATACGAACTGTCATCCAAGAGGTGCGGACGAGCACCCGAAATCGAACAGCTATTTCTCTCTTTTCCTCGTCGAAACGATTCCAATAAGAGAGAGATCGATAACGTCAGACAGTTCTTTATCGTCAGCGCCGATGCCATTTCGGGCGATCGTACATATATTCGGCAAGCTCTATGACGTGATTGTGATGTTGTAGTGACATAATTTTTGGATGGCGTAGTCAGATGGGGGTTAGGATTGACATATCAAAATATTGTCATGCTACGCCCACTAGAAGTATGTTAGGTACGAAACTACATGAGACCCATAAAACCCTGGTGGCCCATTAACATTTTCATTTACTTAACTCCAGCATTATTGAATATGTTGCTGTTGCCCAGCAGTTGTCCGTGGCACACTAGTTGAGAACTCACAGAATAAGCAATAAAGATACATCTTTGCTTTAAAGCCTTGTTTAGAATCAAAGTGTGCAAACTACCGAATAAAAAAAAAAACAGGGCTGCTCCTTCCCATCAAGAATAAAAATAATAATTAGCTGCAAATGGCCCAACAATGTTGTTCTAATGATCTGTTGTTCTTTATTATTGTTCTTCTACTTACAGTTGCATGCTTTGCGACGTACGGTGACCGCATGAAATTTATCAAATAAAAGTGTTGTGAACAATGTACTCGATTATGCAATCGGCAGCAAGGGCAGTGGGTTGGATAAGATTTACATGTTTCTTCCGGGGGGGAGAATAGCCGACAAGACTATTCGACTATGAAATTGAATAGCCAGTTATTTGTTCTCGAACGCATGGACTTAATGGTAGAGGAAGCCGTAATTGACCGGCGGTTACGTGAACCACCCTACGGCGACGAGGAGTTCGCGAGCGTAAATCTGGGTTTGTTCGTAGCAAAAAGCGCGAGTGCGCAATCCGTTCGCACATAATTAATCCCGCATGGCCCGCGAACCCACGCAGAATAATCAGAGATGCGGTGGCGAGCGTATTCCTGACGCTTAGCACAGTGCGCCACAGCGCCGAGTTTCAACCTTTCAGAAAATAGGATCCTATTCCAGATGCAGTATATTTTGAATACAGAATTTCCAATATGTTTTTAATTGGGTTATGTTCAACGGAGAAATTTGCTTGGCGGTATGGCGCATCGCGATGTGTCAGGGGTGTGCGACAATTTTTATCGGCGGGCCGTGTAATGAACTCCAGACATCTAGCCCCGCCACGCAAAAAACTAGGGGGAAAGGTAAAAGAAAAGAAAGCGGATATCGCTCATCCTTGCAGTAAAAAATGCGCAGGACAAAGCAGCGAAATATCTCATGCAGCGACGATAGCAAAAATCATTTATGTATTTTAATCCATGTAAGCGCTTTTTCAAACAAACTGTTGGATTAGGATTTTATGCTTGATGGGGAAAAATTTAGGGTTGACAAGGGCTACACTAAATGGCCTGGCGGACCGCCTAATCGCTGGGAATATCACACCTCTGATTACCCACCCTTGGGTGATATTTAAGTGCAAGAGTATTTCTGGCCTGGCCGCCGCCGTATGATGGTTCACGTAACAACTGGTCGGTTACGGCTTCCTCCGCCACCAAGTCAAGCTATGTTGGCAACGCACCACTGGTCTCTTGTGTTATTCAGTTCGCAGGCGTAAATCTGGGTTTGTTCGTAACAAAAAGCACGAGTAAGCGTCGTAAATTTGCTCCATTTTGCGCTCTCTGTTTAATAATAAAGTCAGATTGAAGTTTGGCTCGCCCTGGACAAAGTTTTCTTTGAATACAGGCGCGACAATCCAGGTTGTCATTTTGCCTCGCTTTGGGGAGGAAGTAGAAAGCCCCCTGGAATAAGAAAATTAGAAGCTATCTGGTAAGGGATAGGAATGCAGATTGCGATGGAAATTCAAATTTTGGAATCATCCCTAACGCTAACTGGATAATTTATTATTTATTATTTTAAAACCTTGCGGGGTGGGGGCTTTGTACAAAATATCCAAGTTTTCCCTCACCCTTTAATTGTGGGCATCACAATCCACATTTTAATTTGGCTCTGTTTGAAAATATGCATCTGCGTTCATACGTTGCGATCCGAGTTTTAGTTGGGATTCCTGGGAAGGTAACCAGTAATCAGTAGTTTATTTTATCACCACATCGAAAATACACTTTTTACATACGAGATCAGGAAAAAAGATGAAAAGTTGCATTCCGCGGTGAGAGGATTCGCGATAAACCAGAAGTGGTTATCGAGCAGCGACACCCGTGAAATGGAATAGTCTAACATTAAATTATACAAAAGTAAAAGTAGAAATGAAAAATCATTGAATCATGATAAGAGTAAAAATACTAACACAAGTAGTATATGAATATATTTGCAAGACCGGATATTTCCGGTATCACTAGAAGAAAACAACTCCGAGCGCCAACAGGCAGATAACCATGGCAACTACAGGACGGATAATGCACAATATCCGTTCCGATGTAGCATAATCTCAATGAATCGACAATGAGTATGTTTATGGAACACAACTATCCAATTTCGCTAAATACGCGGCCATAACATTCCTGTGTATAACAATTGACAGTGGGTCCTGCTTGATTCGGTAAACACGCATGTGAAAACCTCTGTGTAGACACCTCTTACAAAACGTAAGGTTTGACTAAAAAAGTCTTAAAAAAAAAGGGGGATTAAAAGGAGATTTTAGTTAGACCAGAAAGATCTAGTACATTCTTGAAAAGCAGCGAATTTTCGTAATCATATAGTATTTGGTCACTTGTGGGCCACATTCGGACAGACCCTGGGGCACAATGGGTCAATCTGTCAAAATTCAACGAAGTATTCCCTTAAAAATAACAATTAATCAGCATAATCGTCTAAAGAACAATGAGACTTCAAATTTGAAGATTTAATATTTTTAAAATCAATATTCAACTGAAATAGTTCAGATATATTGACAAAAACTTTCGCAAACAAATTTGATTATTTCCTTCCTCGAATCTAAATCTGGAAATATTATTGATCCTCGAATATATTTCATATTGGGCCATGGGTTGAAAGAAATCATAACATTACACAAAATATAACTCATCTCTAGGTCTCTAAGCACTTATTGTATCAAACACTGTCCAATTGTGCCCTGCAGGGCATGTCCCACTGAACCCCGGTCCACTGTTCCCCATAATAAACAAACATTTTCAGACCATCCCACGTCGAAATTCGGAAGGCACATCCACTCGCCAACATCATGAATATTTTACAATGGACTAAAGCTGAAAAATATCAGACGGTGGTTTGTCATGTTAGAAAGGCTAAAGTAGAAAAAAGAAAAAACTGGAACGGTGAAATTTTAGTTTCAACCTCTCAAAACCAATTTCACCTCATAGCTTGCGCCGCTCTAACCGTCCGCTGTCCGTTCGCGGAGACGTTATAACTCACCGAAGGGCTGATTGAAACATCGAACCGCGGACAGGATTGCGGATACAGTATCAATGTGAGAGCTGATTCTCCACTGTGCCCCATGTCCCAACGTGCCCCACCTTCCCCTACACTACTAAACCATTGGCAGATATTTGTATTTATTGGCAGAAAATTTTTTTTTTTTGGGGGGGGGGATATTCCAATTTAAGTTCCTGAGATTTAAACCTTTTTCCTAATCCCGATCTCGAGAATAACATATATATCTGTTGAAATCAAGTAATTTCAAGGTTGTATCCATAAACATCAATGCGGTGCACATCTGAAGCAGTAGCCAAAATCAAGAAACAATTGTTTTGTTATTTTGTTTGTACTTTATATATATCACTTAAAATAAAAAAAACTCCATCATGCACCTGATTATAACGGTAAACTCTCATGCTTTGATATATATTCAAAGTAGGTAAACTAGCAGTATTTTGATCATATTTGGGCAAGGCCTCCACAAAATTGTTTCCGGCCCGTCAATCTTGCAACCTTGGACCAATCTGTAATAGGTGATCAAGTATAGTTTTTATTCAAACGACGAAATTATCAAAGGCCTAAATAATGCATGAAAATGTCCCAATCGAGTGTGAAGCTAGGTTTGAATTATATTGTGACTGACCAGTCATGGTTATATGGCCTGGGGAGATTTAATAACGTCCGCCGTTAAAACAAGTATTGGTATTTTTAATTCACGGAGCGCCCAAATAAAACACGTTTTATGTTATTATTCTGAGAAAATTCTAGATATTTTGCAGTGAGAATAATATTACATTCAGATGTTTGAACTCAAGCCACGCGAGAAATAATGATTTGGCAAAGTAGTCAGGGCTGATGTAAATTAAATAGATACACTTCTGTTGACATGGGGAAAACTAAAACAACGTCTGGACATTTATCTCTGTATTTGCGTGTATTATTTATATAATATTTTTGACTTGTGTAGTATTAATGTAATACCTATTTATGCACGCGACAACAAACTGCCAAAAGCCGACGCTAGTTGAGAGCATTGCTGTCTAATAATCTATTAAAAATTGATCTTTGTGAGGGTGAAATGGTCATGAATGTATCAAAATATGTTGTGAACCACTTTCCTAGCTTGAAAACTAAGTCTCTACTTTTATGGCACGCACCAGGTAAAATTCGTATGTATCCATTTTGCTGTTGTTGACATCGAGTGAATGTGATGTTTGGACATATCTACTCTCTCTGATAGGCTCTCGGCGCTCACCACTCAATGTTGGACATAGTGTTGCAAACACACGCAGTGTAATCAGATGTGCGGTAGCTAGCGTATTCCTAACGCTTAGCACGATGAGCCACACCACCGAGACGAGAAGATCGGAAACTTTTTATTTTTTTTTATAAATTCCAACAAAGAGGACCTCTTTTTTTTTTTTGCCAAATTTAAATCCATAGCCAAATCGGATTTATGAAAATGATAGTTTTGGTTTATCCAAATATATTATTATGTCAATTTAATTGCATGAATCCCAATTTCCAAATAATTTAGGTGTTAAGTATACAATACATGATAGATAAATAATCACAAATATCAAATAATCCAGATACATTTACCCATATTACCGGTAGTTCAAATATCCAATTTGAATTGTGTCCACATTCATGAAATGTCAATCCATGTAATCCAGTGACCATTGTGCATACATTTTTTTTTTTCATTTTCAGTAGTTATACCATATATATTATATATTATAAATTTAAACGATATTATCATTTAATATGGAAAGCAAAAATATTTAAAGAATTAGACAAATAATCATAAAAACGCCCATCATGCTATTAGGCGTTTTCCAGATTCTCGGTCCATGCAAACTTTTTTTTTTTTTTTTCTCTTGGAAATAACATTTTATTAGAGAGTCTGTGATTGCAGAAACGATAGTTGCAGGTGTTAGGAATTAATATGCCGCACATCTGTGTTTTAGGCCAATATGGTCTTGTGCATACATCCCGTCTTCAGTATTTATAAGTACTTACTCTTTTATATTGCTTTTACGAGACGAATAAACATACATACATACATAATATTAAAACAAGTTTGACATGATCGGAAACCTTAGTGGTGGGCCTATAGCAGAAAAGTATCGGGCCGAAAATCCCACTAGGGGGCCGCGATTCGTCATTTGAATTAGATTTATTTGGGCTTTCCGCATGTGATTATTAAGAAAAAACGTTCAAACGTATCTATTAACCCTTTCCGTGCGGTGGGCACGTATACGTACCCACGACAAAACTCGCTAGTTTGCGGCGGGTACGTTGATGTACTCCACTGTTTTATTTAGCAATCGGTCGCAAACTGTTGGTCTAGTTTTTCCGGGTTTTAGTTTATTGATAAGAGGTCTTCTTCGAGATTAACATAAGCGACGGTAAATCTCGCTTTCGTTTACCATGGGAATTTTATTTGCGGCGGAACGAGGGAGTGTTTTGAAATTTATGCAAATTTCGGTGTTTTTTGGGTGGTAATAGAAGACATATTATCCCTTCCATCTACCAAAGTATTTTGAGTTAGATAACGAAATTGCTACAGCAATATTATGCTATTGTTTGCCAACCAAGAAGCGGTAACAGTAAAGGATTTAGCGAATATTTCTATTTTTTATCACGGTTTGAAGTTTCAACACCCAAGAAAAAAAATGCCTTTTTTCTATCCGGTTTGTGACTCAGACCACCCCCTTAAAAAAAAAAAAAATTTTTCAATCGCCAATTGCAAGCTCTTTAAATAAGCTTTCCAACGAGCCGTCAGTGGGCAGCAGAGGATCATTACTTTTTCGTTAGTCGATCGATTAGTTGTGGGGGTACAAATGCATAAAGTCGGCGTAGCAAATACGATTATTTAATAAAAAATAAAAATCGCATGGAAAGGGTTAAGTACTTCCGCACTGTGGGCAAAATACTAAGCGAAACCAAAACTCGAGTTAGTTACGTCATTAACTTCTCCTCATTAAGGTTGTGTTCAGCTAATTTATACTATGATAAATTATATGTTCCCTTGTAAATTTATTTACTTAAAAATGTGTATACATGTATGAAACAGCAAAATACTTGAATGATTATTACTATTCAAATTATAAAATAAAATTTAAATAATTAAACTAAGCAATTATTGCATTTCAGTTCTATTGAAATCAATTTTAATACACTTGAGAACATGTCATTTTCCTGCGTGTGAACATAATTTAATCTTTCTCATGGGATCAAAACAAAGGTCGGTTCTCTACTTTTGTCTGTTGCTATTTTCTTTTCGTTTTGTCGTCGGCTAATTTTTGAGTAATGAAATAATTATTAGAGAGTTATGTACTTCTGGTTGTTTATCTTATAATTTCGTGATTTAGTTATTTATGTCCTTCTTTACCCTTGAAGGTATTAACGGGTGAGAAGGAACGTGAAACGCCGAGCAGTGACTGACTGCTGGACTGAGGGCTTCAAAGTTCTGAAGTTGGGAGAGATTTACATATTTCAGTATTTATCATGGGTAGAAATAAGATAGGTCATTTCATCATTTGAAGAATCACAGCCTCTCGTCCAGTTACTAGTGCATGTCAGGCATTGGATTACTGGATTACAGGATTAGTTTGCCGGTACCGGTATGCTACGGTACCGATAATCCAGTAATCAGATGAATGGACTTGATGGTCTGATGGTGGAGGAAGCCATAACCGACCAGCGGTTAAGTGATTCAACCTAGGGCGACGAGTATTCCAGCAATCTTTTTGCACACACCTTTTCTATGGGATTAATCAGCCAGTTCTGCAGTTATTTGTTTCAGATGCATGGAATCCACGAAACATTTTTAGTTTTTGCTTTCTTTTAATTAATTGATAGCGCACTCCTGCACTCAGGCAGTGCTGGTTTGCCGATATGGAGGCCCAGACTGTCTTGTAAAGGAAGGGTTTGCACTCACTGTTTTAATTAATGGCTATTCTTGGAATCGGACAAAATATTAATGACTCTAAAATATTTCATAACATATTTTGAAATTTTTATTTCATCCAAGATATTAATTGAAAATCCATTGAAAAAAAACTTTCTGTTTTACAGCTGCTTAGGCAAAATATAACCTAAAAATGAGGTTTCATAATTATCTCAATATTTCTGTCTTGTTATTATGGATTATCATGGTTGGATTTGACAGTACAAATGCAACCATATACGCTTTCGACCAATTCAATGAGACTGACCAGTTTGCTGATATGGAGGCCGGATTTGGTCCGAGTATTGAAGACGGGGGTATGATCGGTTTACTTGTGCGAGGAGAACCATATGACGGATGTAACCCAATGAAATCACCCCCGTTTAGACCCAGTGACAATCCGGATAATATAAGTATATCATGCTATGCTTTAATAACTCGTGGAGGTTGTGATTTTGGAATTAAAGTATATAACGCACAAAGAGCTGGATTCCAAGCCGCTATAGTACATAACACTAATTCTGATACTCTAGTAAGAATGAGCAGTGGGTATCCCTCTATTACAAACGAGCTTACAATACCTGCAGTCTTTGTCGGAATAAGTTCAGCTCGGAGAATGAACACGACTTATCTTTATGATAAACCTGGAACACCGTATGTGCAAATTTACGAAGGTTCTTTTAATCCGTTAGACTATTATCTTGTCCCATTTATTGTCGTTATTGGGATTTGCTTTGTATCGCTTTTATGTTTCATGCTTGTTAAATGTGTAAGAGATAGACGCAGAACACGGCGTAGCAGGTTATCGTTACAGCGTTTGAAGAAATTACCAGTCAAGAAATTTGACAAAGGAGATGAATATGATGTATGCGCTATATGTCTAGAAGATTATGAAGAAGGTGATGTGTTGAGGATTCTACCTTGTAAGCATGCGTATCATTGTAAATGTGTAGACCCCTGGTTAACAAGCAATAGGCGAGTTTGTCCGTTATGTAAACGTCGTGTCCTCAGCGATGATGAAAGTGATTCCTCATCGGATGAATCAAACGATACGAGCGACGATGAACAGACTCCTTTAGTTCGTTCTTCTATTGCTTCGTCCCCAAATTCACCAAGATTTGCGACCGGTTACGGCTCCCGAAATCCGATCACTAGGAGGCCTCGTAACCACAGCTTTTCATCTGATACTAGCACAGATATCACTGAGGTTGCTCCTGTGTTAACCCATGATTCCCACTGGAAAGGTTCAATGCCCGATTCTAGTGATACTGAAGTTCCACAGTCGTCGAGGGGTTATGAACGTCAGCAACTTGTAACGACACATCAAGAACCTGATCGTGATGTCACAATGGGTCTTATGAATCCAGCAATGGAACCCGACGATTTACTGACTTCCGCAGAAGCAATGATGGCAGGTCCGAGAGTTTCCGAGTCCTCTATTGCAGTTCTATCCGACATAGAACAGTACGGTTCCTCGCTAGGGTCTAGTTCATATTGTTCACAAGATTTCCATAGTCTCAATGAATCTGTTACTATTTCACGATCTTCTATCACCACCGCTACAAATATTGACTCCGCCCACCACCACGAGGAAAACGATGAAACTGCTTCAATATCTGGCAACAGTACTGATCAGGATGACATCATTGTTATCGCGAAGGGTTCAAAGGTTCCAACTACATTTGATGACAATAGTGAAGTCTGATTATATTAACTCTCTCATTTTATTATTCTCAAATATCAGTGTATATTGCAATTTCATAACATGATTTAATAATCGAATACAGCTCAAGAAACTCTGGATTTGATAAAAAGGTACTCCTGTAGTATGTAAACCAAGATGGTGGACACCGGGACGTGGTATGTGGGCCAGGTTACGGTTAGGCCATAATTTCAGTCACAAATCCAAAGTAAGTCATTTGGCTAGTCCCCGAACTCGTAATAGAACTAAAATAAGGGAAATTTGGTATATAACATGGTTCACAACTATGTTCAGGTGTCCGCCATCTTGGTTCACTACTGGAGCGTTAAAAAGAAGTTCCATATGTGTTAATAAAGGACGCTGGCATTGGTTTAGATCAGTGTTTCTTAACCTATGGGTCGCGACTAGGGCTGGACATTTTAAATCGAATAGTAAATTATTCGAATCGGTTCAGAGCAAAATTTCGAATCGCCGCCATCTTGTTTTTTTCTTTTTGCCATTGATCTAGGTGAATTCCTCATTTTTTGTTCATTGAAGTCATAATTTTTCAACGCAATTCTAACATATGACTATTCTCTGTAGTGAGTTATTGATAGAAAGTGTTTGTTATTGTGTGTGAACGATCAGTAATCTATCTGAGTGATTTATTATATGTCTTCAGTAATTCATTTGTTAAGAGGACCAATTACTGTAAAAAAGTCGCTTACAATTATATATTTCCAAGTATTCGAGATTCAATTAGATTCTAAAAAATTATTCGATTCGATTCTGAAATCAGAAGGTATTCGAAAATGCCCAGCCCTAGTCACGACACAGAACTGGTTTATGAAAAATGATTGTTTCATATAAGTCATTTAATTATGCCATTATAAAAGTATTACATGTCGTTTATTATTTGAGCTTATCCTTGGATCGCGGGATTTTATAAAATTTATTTTTAAAAAAATTGGGTCGTTTGAAGAAAAGGTTGGTAACCACTGATTCAGATCTCTGGTTGACAACCAGATTTGACTCTAATTCCAAACTATATTTTCCCCTTGGCTAACAAACTTTTTTAATTTGAAAAAATTGGATTTTATGAATCATTGTTAATTTGAATTTAGACATTTTGACCCAGAAAGTTTTTTATTTAAAAGTCTACAATTTTCATATCTGAGCTAAAAAATAACCTGGTATTGACAGAAAATTTGACTCCCCTCCATTTGAAAATTACCTGCTGCTCCTTGCTTTGGGGGTTCCATCAATCTGATCTTGGTCAATATTATATTTTTTTTGAAGAATTCACATCAATGAATCTTGGATTCTGATGAATATTTGGTCATTTTTTCTGTTCCTAATATTGAAAAATTTGTTTTCAAATTCAAAATATCTTAATATTTTCACAATATATTTTCACACTCTGGTTTATATTTTTTATGGCCATGTTTAGTTGAAATGCTTGAGAGGTTGCATTGTCACATGAGTGCAGCAGTGAACAGGTAGTTATTTTCTGGCATGCTTGATTGCTTCTTTGTTTTTTCTTCTTGAATATTTTTATCAAAGTGTCATGTTAATGTTAGGTGTATTTGTCATGGTATAAGGTCTATTCCATCACCTATACCAGGGCTACTCAACTATTTTTATCGAAGGTCCGCAAACAAAACTTCAAAATTATTTGGGTCCGGTCTTTCCAGAAATGATATTTCGGCATCCTTAAACGAGCACTTCCTCGACCCTGCTGTTTCTACTAATGATTAGTAGAAAATTAAAATTGTTTATTATGGTGTTATAGTTCTTTTCGTATATATTCAAAACTATGGAAGTCATTTTATAATAGGAAATTCAAAAAGTGGGGCTAATGATCCAAAATAAATAATTAGGTGCGGTCCAAATCCAATACTCGAAAGGTTCGGATTCGGACCGCGGTCCGCCAGTTGAGTAGCCCTGACCTATACTATCGAGAAATTTTCAGAATATGGACCAGAATATACAATATCCTTTATTCATCTAAAGATTTTGAATTGGGAAATTGATTCTGAATTGTAATATGTGAACTATAGATAGGGTGTTAAATTGCAAAGGGAATTCATCGATACCATATATTGTTTTGGCCCTCACAGATGTATCACTGAATTAAAAACAGAATATACTGAGAACTGACTTCATAACAAATTTGAAATTGTAAAGGGACTTCATAGACATCCTGAATAATAAATGGTTGACATATCAGTCAAATGTCTGTGACTTTATTTGTGCATATGTATTTGACACTTCATTGGCCGTGTGTGCTTGGTATACCAATAAATATAAGTTAGCTTGCATTCATTTGGTTGCATTGAAATTACATAGACTCCTTGCCATTATCTCATTTTCTGAGTTTTTGAATTCAATGGAATATTGTTAATTATATATTTCTATGATTATTTTTTTCATCCGTTAATATAAAGTCAGTGGTTTCCATTCGACTGCCGGAATATTCAATTCTTAAAATTATTGGTTGATCATTTATATGACATGTTTTCACTCCTTTATTTTGAGTTCTTTGACAAACAGTAAATCCCAAAAAGTTAGCAAACATTGCCCCAATGTTTTCATGTTATTGCTTGGATCGTAAATATAAATTTTGAGTCTTTATATTGAGTCCGGTTGTTCTCAAACTTTCTCGATTTCCAACTCTTAGCTTCCACCTGTGGATTGTGGCCAGTAGCTTGTCAAACTTTTCTGTGCCCAGGGTGAATTTGGGATATTGCTGCCCCATATACATAACTTCAAAATCAATTTGGGGGGTAAACAAATTATAGATAATGGTATACATGGGAATGAATCTTTTCAAGGTCAAGTAAGAGTGAAATATTTGTAATATTATTATTTAAATCATCAAACTGGGCAACAAACTTATCCCTATAACATGCTACCTGGGACAGCTGCCCTTTTGCCCCCATCCTAGACATGCTACTGGTTGTTGGCCCCTCTTTGATGGAATCCTATTGTGTTTATAATATTGTTTCAATAATTAAATTCAAGTGCCCTATGACCCCTGATTGTTAAAAAATTGTTTTGAAATTGATTATATTAAACGCTCTGGAAGTATGTGTACCAAGATGACGCACAACCTGAACCCTAGCCTGGTATACATAACTATGTTCAGGTTGTGCGCCATCTTGGTACACATACTTTGGGAGCACCTTATATTGTTATGTGATGATGATTTTAACTTGTTTCGTATTTTCCATTTCCTATAAATATCCATTATATTATTACTTCTATAATCTCTGAAATCTAACAGTTTTCGCCATGTTTAATTTTCTCAGATGTGTTTTCTGAAATTTAAAAATACATTTCGATTTTTCCCGGGGAGATAAAAATGTCGAATTTAGAAACTAGTTATCGACGTTTGGATTCAACTGAAGAGGAAGATGGGGAGGGGGATTCCCCTCCTGATGGACAAGCATTTCTGGTTCATGTTCCTGATGGAAATAAAGGTATAATTTATGATAATTTGTGGGTAGTTGGCATTACGGATAAAGAGTTAGACTTAACTGTGTTGGCATCACACGCTACTCATCTTGAGGTCAAACCCCATGCCCCCGCGTCACCCAGGGTGTGATAAAATTGGGTTGGCAATGTTAATCCCGGATTTTCTGAAAAATAGCAGCTTCTAACATACCGCTGGATATTGGTGGCTGCCGTATAGGCATAAATATCTGCCGTATATAAAAGAAATGAAAGAAAAAAAATTGGAATTATTGAGAGAATACCAAAACTGAATTAACTACCATTATGGATACATTTTTTTTTGCAAACTGAATCCGGTCATTTTTAACTAGGACACAGTATAGAAGTCAAAATTGATTTGATTGTTTTTCATGTTTTGCAATGGAACATATTCTGGAGAAAAATCAATTTCTGAGCAAAATGTCCTAGATTGGTACTCCTTTTGTGTCTGTACCAGGTTAATTTTATTCCGATTTTCTTTATTTTAGTTCTATTACGAGTCCGAGGAGTCGTGGACTGTCTGTGTTAGCCAAGTGAATACACCCCTGCCCATAAGTTTCAGTCCCTTTACACCACTTGATGTAAAATAGGCAAACAAAATTTTTGTACACATACTTCTGGAGTGCCTCTAGGTTACTGAAACATACACAAGTTCAAGTTGAATAATTTTTCTTCATTTTCGTAGGAGAAATTTATTAGTTCTGTTTTTTGGCTCACCCTGTATTGATAGCCATTTTCATTAATCGTTTATTTTTTTTAGCTCAATGGCATCACATAGAAGATTTAGACGCATTCTTCACAAGGGTATATCAGTATCATCAAAATCATGGATTTGGATGTATGATGCTGCAACAGTGCTTTGAATTATTGTAAGTATATTAGTTGCTTATATTTGTAAGTTCTCTTTCATAATAAATTTATGTCTGTTATGTCTGTCTCGACATTTTCAAATATCTGATGGTTTCAGAATCGAATCTAATATTTATTTAAAATCGAATCTTGAATAGCCTACTTGAATAAAAAAATTTTCTTTTCTAATTACCGTAACTACCTCACCAATAGCTTTGAAATTTTCAGTGGCTAAGGATTGTATTGTTTGTTAGAAGGCTATTACTTCCATTTATTTCATAAATTTCTGTGGGCCCTATGGGATTCGTTTTTTGTTTGTGATCACGTCATTAAAAACTGCACACCTTGTTTCGGTTACGTTTGCGTTAGTCGTTAAGTTTTGCGGTAAGTTTTGGATTTCGTGTCCATTTATTTGAGCATAGCTCTCTTATTATTATTGCCATACATATTGATACACGTGCTGCAAACTATTAAAAATCCAGAGTTCAAATACGCATATCACCAGCTGATAGCCATTCACTAGTAATTGAACAGGAAGCAGTAGTTTCCTACTTAATTGCAATAAAAAAAAGTTATAGTAATTATCTCTGCTTTTTACGGACAAATTTTTTCGGCATCTTATTTTTTTTTGTGAGTTTTCATATTTCTTGGGAGCCTTTTCTCTCAATAACTAACTGAATCGTTTTTGTTTCCAATACATTCTCATTTTTAGCAATTGCATGAAAAAAAATTAAAATTAATTATCTCTGCCTTTTTATAAGTAAATTCTTTCAGTATCTTATTTTTTTATGTTTATTCATGAGTTTTCTTATATCCTGAGAGCCCTTTTACTCAACTAACTGAATCGTTTTTGTTTCCAACACATTCTCAGGCAACTGCATTTACAAAAACTTATTATCTCTGCCTTTTTACCAATAAATTCTTCCAGTATCTTTTTTATGTTTATTTGGATATTTTCTTATTTCTTCCATTTCTCTCATTATCAACTAACTCAATTCAGTTGGTCAGTATTCTATTTTATCACATGCCGAAAGCACACATTATACAAACATAATTAGGAAAGATAAAAAATGCATTTCAGTGTGAAGGGAAACGCGATAAACCATTGATGGTTATCGAGGAGCGTCACCTATGAGGGAGTGAGTCTAACATGGAATACTACCAAAAGCCAGACTTTATTAAGATAACTGAATAGTTTTTGTATCCCCGTCATTTTTTTTAACTGACTCATCCTATTTACTTTCTACAGTCAATTTGTCTTTGTAGTCGGATTCGCAGCATTTCTCGTTCGTTGTGTGAAATACGATGTTTTATTCTATGATAAACCTATAAATGAAACTAAGGTTACACTCAGTGATGCTGTTTATACCGGACACCAGTGCTCGAAACGGTGAGTATTCGATTAAGTATGAGTTTATTTTGACTCTGTAATCAGCGTGACTAACAATAAAACTAGAATATCGGTTAGAAACCGAAGACTTATCGATCGAAAGTTAGGGGATCCCCCAAAAACAGTGGTCTTACTCCATAGTGACACCGTGTGTCCCATCACTAATTAATTAATAACTTGCTAATTATAAGACATAATCCATCCAAAATCAATAGGCTTCTGATCTGAGCTATGATGAATGCACATGCAAAATTTGGATTCAACCTCGCTTTCGTGAGATATCGCGTGCCTCTAACTCACAGACATACAAACAAACAAACAGACAAATACCTATCATCATACTTACCGATCTTGAGATCGATAAAGTAATAATTGATAAGGACATAATAAATGAACATTGCTTGATGGAGGAAAATCGTCTTTGCTCAGGTCAAATTGACAATTGACAGAATAATAAATTAAGAGATATATTAATAATATTGAATTATTACTTCTTATTTAGTTAATGGAAATAAATATTGAATTGAATAAGTATCATAGAATTTCTTCATCATCTTGTCATTAGCCAACAAATCAAACAAAAAACACAAACGAGAATATCAGTCAGAGATCGAAGACTTATCGATCGAAAGTTAGGGGATCCCCCAAAACAGCGCTCTCACTCCATAGTGACACCTTGTGTTCCATCACTAATTAATTAATAACTCGCTAATTATACGACATAATTCATCCAAAATCAATAGGCTCCTGGTCCGACATTTGATGAATGCACATGCAAAATCTGGAGTAGATTCAATATCGCTTTCGTGAGATATCGCGTGCTTCTAACAGTCAGACAAATACCTATCAACATACTTACCTATCTTAAGACCGATAAAGTAATAGTTGATAAGAACATAATAAATAAAAATTGCTTGATGGAGGAAAGCCGTCTTTGCTCAGGTCAAATTGATAGAATAATAAATTAAGGGATATAATAAAAAAATTGAACTATTACTGCCTATTTAGTCAATGGAAATAAATATTGAATTGCATAAGTATCATAGAATTTATTCATCATCTTGTCATTAGCCAACAAATCAAACAAAAAACACGAATAATACCTCTCATTGATAAATAAAATATACGACTAGAATAGGATTTACATATTTGTCCCAAGGGAGAGGAGAGCGATAATACAGCCTACCGTAATCATATTAATTATGTGATAGATATAAGGCAAGATTCGAATGTTCAGTGGCAAAAAAATATGAAGATACATATTGTCACTAAATCAAAACAACTCTCCTCATATGATTAAGATTGACGGTTTACACTGTGTATTACAACAGTTAGAAATCATGTTAATTTGTTGTGACACATATTCATACATCAAGAATATTGGGATACATATCAGGCTAAATTCGAAACAATTGTGGCAAGAAAAAGTGTTTAATTTTATATCACGCAAATAAAAAAGTAGGAGTTAAAAAATGATGAATCAGTACTTATTTAGAATAGACTGGGGAGTATCTTTTCTTCTGACACTAATACACTTCTGTCGAATTATTTTGAGAAAGACTAATTGTATTTAATTTATTTTGTTTAATTTCAGGATTGGGGAGAACGCCCTTCTTGTAATTGTTCTTCTCATAGCTGCTGTATTCTGGGGAGTTCGAGTTGTCAAAGTTTTGTACAATTTTTTCAGATTAACTGAGATTAGAGCTTTCTACTCCACAGCGTTGCGTATAAAACCAGTAAGAATTGCGTTTTTGATTTTTTTCTAGAGCAGGGTTTTAAATAGGGCCCTCGGCTGCCATTGGGGGGCCGAGGATGTCCTTCAATAGATACTCTTTGTAATGACTACCTTAATTTACAGTAAAATGAATTAAAATTGTTCAGCTCTTTGACTGTATTGCATTTATTTTTCCAAATTTTTATTTTTTTTTTACTATTAAAAGTGAAAAAGATATTAAATTATGTAGACGCTTTAAAAGCAAAATTAGTTATTTTCATAGAAGAGCAAGGTGCCACTGGTGTTTGCACTTTTTAGAAGGGGGGTCAGGCATCGTCAATTACGCTGTAAATCTTGCTTTTACTTCAGAATAGTCTTGATAACAAACAATCCTGTATTTGAATATACTTTAATATTATTCTTTGAATTAGAGTTTAAATCTGAGGACCTTTTGGCTTTCAAACAAAGAAAACCGGTTGAAACACACCTGTTTGATACCAGTACAAGTGTCAAATCAATCAATTCAGTTATGAAGACAAAACGATGTCAATTTTATTGACAAATTAAAGGCCAAATTGATATTTATTGCGCTGTCTGAAAACTACCTCATAAATTCTAAAATTGAGAACTTTTTGTACAACAAATTCTCAGTATGTTCTGAAATTTAAGAAGCAGTATTAATTATCCTTTCTAATAAGTGACAGAAACTGGTTTAAAAAATGCTTTAAGTTAAGTTTAAATTGATTTTCTATTGCCTTGAGGGCAATATAATATATCACAATGACAGTTTTTAAAATGAACATACCGGTAGAATGGTAGATCATAAAACAATATTTTTTAGGATTTGTGTTTTTTTATTTTGGTTTTATACAAGCATAGACTGATATATAACAATGTATGAGGAGTTACTATTTGAGTTAGGTCCATCTTGCTTATTAACTTGCAATCTCAAGCGCACCCGGGTGCACTCAACGTATGGCATCGGACAACGATGTCTCCTTTAGTTTGATTATTTCTATTTATTCAGCGACGTTTGTTCCACAATAGTATCCGGTGGAGCGTAACAATGTAAACAACATTAGTTTAGAATAAATTAAGTTTGATAAAAAAATATATTACCTTGTATAAACTGGTAGACATTTGTCTGTTTTAATAAAATTACTGATTCTATTCCTACTAAATATATGGTGTTATCATCCAGCCCAGTAAGAATTGGAATCATTCCAGTTCCCAATTGTCTACCTAATTTATTGCGGCTTGGGTAAGAAGGGGTCACAATTTGAACCCATATAACCTGCAATTCCCACACAGATAAGTCTAACGCTTTGATATGTAGGCCATCATACAGATTTTCAACAAAGAACCTCTAAAAGTTAAAGTATATTTAATGATATGTGATTCATAAGGCTTACTGCACATTGACACCTGTATTTCTGTAATGTTTCGTCTGGTCAAGTTCAGTCTTCTTCATACATACATACATACATAATTGGGTAGTCCTGTAGTATGTGTACCAGGTTAGGATTAGTCCATAATTTTATTCCGATTTTCCTTATTTTAGTTTATTACGAGTTCAGGAACTGTCTGTATTAGCCAAGTGCATATACCCCCTGCCCATAGGTTTCAGTCCCTTTACACAACATGATGCAAAATGGGCGAACAAAATTAGTTACCTCCATGTCCTAATCGATAACACATGTATATCCAATAATTTTAAGTTGGATTGCGCGAAGCTAACTCCCAGTCCTTCCTCTGTGTCTTCATTCTAGTGGATCTGTATGTGTATGATGCAAAGATGCTGCAGCAGGAATAAACATGACCATACTATGAAATTCAAAAGTCCTAGTTCACACTGTCCTGCTGTATTTATGTACATTTGTGTTAGTGTGCGACAGGAATTACACAGTATATCCAATATGTTTCTTTTTTTCTATTTCAGGCAGATCTAGACAACATAACATGGCATGAAGTTCAACGCAGACTCATGATGGTGCAGTCAGACCAACAAATGTGTATCCATAAGCAGGATTTGACTGAACTTGATATATATAATAGGTAGGTGGTAGTTTTGTTTTGGGGCTCGCTTTACTTTCCAAATCTAGATTATGGTAGTAGAAGATAGATTATGGTAGTAGAAGAGGTTTGTAAAATACACAATAGCAAATGGCTGATTTACTTTTCTGTATGCATTCTAAAATTATATTTTTAACACTGTGGAATAATGAGCATGTATACATATAAGTACATATAAGCATACATATACATAAATATATACCGTTATTAAAAGTGAAACATAACAATAACTGTTATCAATTTCATCTATTCTCTTCTGAACCATTTGCTGTAATAGGTGCGTACACCATGTTACGATTTGTATGGTCGGCTTATGTGCAAATTTTTACAAGTTCACTGTTTCAACACTGTATTAGGGGTTGGCTTATATGCGGGGATATATGGAACTTTCTTTTCCTAAAATCAAGAATTTACTCAACTGTAAAGATTTTAAATTATGGGCAATCAAGTGGTCAGAGCAAAAAATTATGGTGTCTACAAAGTCTTGGAATTTTTTTAAATTTAAAGGGAATTTATCGATACCATGTATTCTTTTGGTGCTCACAGATGTATTTAATGTAGTAAAAATACTTAAACATTTACTGATTAAAACACAACAAACCCGGTTAAGATTTATTGAGTATTGACTTCATAACAAAATTGTAAAGCGACTTTATGGACACCCTGTTTTTTATTGAGTTACTAACACTGTAAGAAATAGAAAACCAATCACAATTTTGTATTCTAATATTTGCTTTGTTATCAACATCACTGCATATGTATATCATCTCTATTTATATAACATGTCATTACTCATTCAGTCTACAATTTCTTAATCAATCAGCTGCCGTTGATTGAGCTCTATAATTAGCATAGCAAAATGTCACGAGGTCTTAATGATCATATGTTGGTTAATCATACTTGCACTTGTCTAGTTTTCTGTTGCGTATATCCGCGCATTAAAACCCATCTGGCGTATTATCTGAACCCCTAAAAACGACCATGAAACGGTGAATTTTATAAAAATTGGCATTTAAGTCGACCCTACATATCAAAACATTGCAACACCTATCACAGCAAATGGTTGCAGAAATGTATTATTGAAATTGATAGCTATTATTGTTGTTTTACTTTTTTAATAACAGTAAGAAGTGTCTCAAAATCTTTCAAATTCGTCCTCACTATTTCTGCCAAAGTCCATAAAGAGATATTTCCAGTCCAGAGTTATGTGCATATAAGTCGATCCTTTAGTTTGGCAACTTTTTTTTGAGTTCAAACTCGACTTATATGTGAGGATATACAGTAAGTATTAAACACACAATAATTGGCAGAAATGAAACTAATCACTGCTTGTTTTTTTCCTACCAATGATGTGCAAAAAGAATTGAATATTTGAATTGATTCAGAATTAGTCTCCTATTCGATAGTAAATTCTTGATTCATTTGATGATATTATAAAATATTATTAGTTGGAAATTTGAGATCTGACGGTATTGTTATGAGATTTAAGTTCAGTTATTCCTGTTGCAGTGTGCTACACTTTGGGGTTCTTTGTTTATATTCCGTCATTGTTACTTTGTTCTTTGTGTTGTGATCACTGATTGTCGTCAAGCGATTCGCCTGTATTAGTTAGAAGAACAATTACAAGTATTAGATGGTGGTCCGATTAAGTTTGGCTATACTTAGTGAAGATAAATAAAAATAACATAATCTCTTTCTACGAAATATCAAGTAATATCATAAAGTATCATCAAGTTATCATAAATATACTTGATATTTCGTGGAAAGAGATTATGTTATTTTTATTTATCTTCATAATACTATCTCAGTCACGGATCCTTGTGGCAACAGCCACATATGGATTCGGAATAGAAAGTAAACAAGGAGAAAGGACCTGCAGTTCAATACACAATACCCTAGTACACCTCATATACTTAGTGACTCAATGTAATTATGTTGCACGTTCTTGTGTTAAGGGTAAGATGTGTTTTTAGTTTCTTATCAAAGCCTTTATTTTGGTTATAATAAATAAACTGTCACAACAGGTATTCAACATTTTTATAGTGTGGCCTGAAAAAATAATATTGTAAACATATATGATATGTACTGGTTCTATTCTCAAAACATTTGGTCTCATTTTTACTGTGAAGTCTGTGCTTGAAGGAAAGAAGATTACTTGTTAGTTGCCAGATTATTGTAATCTGTAATCTTTCCTGTATTAATTAATCATTAATTGACTTTATCTTTTATAATCTTTGATAATGACTCTGATTATATTTAAATAACCTTTTAAACTTGTGAGGTAACTAAAAGGTCAGCCCTGTGTAGTTTATAGTTGACTAATTTGAACACATTTCAAATAAAAAGCAAGGTATCTGGAAATAAGTATTTACCGGTATATAAATTCCTTATAAACTTGACAAACCAGCTGTGTTTCGAAAAAATTATCTTTAGTGCGCTGTTTTCAAGAAGATTTTACCCATTTATCTATGGCCTTACTTGAAAGCAAAATAACTTGGTGAATAGAGGATTATTGTGATCTAGTAAACACTCCTGTATTAATTAATCATTAATCAAGCTTATCTGTCAAATCTTTGATAATGAATTCAATTATATTTATCTAATATTGATCTTTCGAGGCACCATAAAAGGTCAAAGTTGACCGAACCACTTTCAAAATAAACATACAGGGTGGTCCAGAAAAACCCTGATAATTAAAAAAGTTTTATTTAACACTTAAACCTATGTTTTTGTGCAAAGACAGTTAAATTTGCTTTAAGTACATACTAAGATTCATAAAACGGCAATTTGAAAATCTTATTCCAGAATTCTCAGATTCAAGAATTACATGATAGCCATGGTGAACAAGGAAGTGATACCGATGAAATATCGTGTCCCGGTTCTAGGAGAATCTGTGTTCCTGACCCAAGGACTGAAGTTCAACATTGAACTTATCCTATTCTGGGGACCGTGGTCTCTCTTTGCAAATAATTATAATTTAAAAGTAAGTTTTTTGTAAAAGTAAGAGTTGTTGAAAAAGTTTGAAAGTTGGTGTCGGATTCTGATAGATTTGGAATCGGCTATTTTCAATAATATTGTAAATTCTAGTAAAATATTATAGTGAAACTCAATCTTTTTGCTGATCTTTGACCCTAACTGTTTTCTGTTTTTCAGGAAGAATACAAACGCAGATCAAATCGAGAAGAACTTATAAGTCGTCTTGGTAACCAGATGTGGTGGGCTGGCTTCATTAATCTCTTGCTTTCTCCTGTTATCTTCGTGTGGCAGATTTTATACTCTTTCTTCAGTTACGCTGAAATTTTACGAAGGGAACCTGGAAGCTTTGGCGCCAGACGGTGGTCAATGTATTCAAGATTATATCTGAGGTGATATTTTGTTGTTTATGGTTATTTTGCTTTTCTGTATTACCTGGAAGATACGAAATTTAATAAGACAGCCTCATCACTGATTGGCCCTCTGCGTTTTTCTTCTACTAAATCAGGAATAGTCAACCAGTTTCAGCCGTAGACATTTTTGTCATAGTCAAATGATAAAATATATAATTGTTATAAAAAAAAATTCAAAGCCATATTGCAACCAGTTTTGGTCAGATATCGAAATAGCTGATCAGTTAATTGTTCTCGATGCATGGGCATTGGATGGGTAGGGAGCTATTTTGGTAGTTGGGTACAGAGTCTGACTCTTGTCAATTCTAATTTTAAAAAACTGTGATCTTTGTGGTTTAGCATTGTCTGTGTGTTGGGCCAGGGGTGTGCAAAATTTTTTGTTGGTGGGCAATAAAACCAAATTAAACATCTGGCTGGGCCACACTAGAATGCGGAATGTGGCCATCACTCAGTATTGAGGGCATCAGGCAAAACGGCGACAGATTTACCGCGACTACAAGAGCAAAAAAAACATTATGTATTTTTACCCTTGTGAGCACCTTTTTGCGCATAAACAGTCACATTAAGATTTTATGCTTGATACGGGAAAATCTGATTGTTGACAAGAGCGACACCGAATGGCTTTGTAAATCGGGTTGTGGCCCATCTGTCACCTGTTGCACACCCTGATATAAGCAAACAAAGTAATATCGGTACCTCGCCACAAACAAACACTGATACATGAATGACCAATTTATTACGATTTTGTTAAGTGGTGGACATTCTCGAAAGAACCAGCATTATTCCTATTTCACTTTATTTCATATTTTTCATTTTCAGGCATTTCAATGAGTTATCTCATGAATTCCAAGCCAGATTGAACAGAGGATACAGTCCTTCAACAAAATATATGGATTCCTTCAATTCACCTGTATTGACAATTGTTGCAAAGTGAGTAGAGGATTAATGAAAATTTTGTCATTTTTCAAATTGATTTGTATATTACTTTTTACTTGCATATAATTTATTCGGTGCTCCTGTAGTGTGTGTACTAGGTTAGGGTTAGGCCATAATTTTATCCCATTTTTCCTTATTTTAGTTCCATTACGAGTTCGAGACTGTCTGTGTTGGCCAAGTGATTACACCTACTGCCCATAGGTTTCAGTCCCTTTATACAACTTGATGTAGGCGAACAAAATTAGTTACCTTCATTTTGGTACACATACTTCTGGAGCGCCATTTATTCTAACTATTACTTATTATTTAACCTTTACAAACTTATTTATGCCTTTTTGTCCAAATATGGCTCTTTACAATCATCCGTTGTTATCTAACGATACATTCGGTGCTACTATTTTCAGAAGGACACTAGTTTTGCAAGCTCGGCATTGCCTACTCATTTTATTACATCTTAGGTGAGGGGGTGGCGAGTCGCTCATTTGTCCTGCAAAACAGTGTAATTTCTTCTTCCTATACTACTATTGCTTCCTGTCTATCAAGATAAACTAAGTAAATTTAACATAATAACAGGATTGTTTGTTATTTTTAGTGGATTGTGCAGTGTGGCGCAAGACAAATATATAGTATATCCAATTTTGATTTTTCCTGAACTATCATTTTTACAAAATATTTCAAATATATTAAAATACCAATCTAGGTTAATGAATGCTAATTATTCTTAAGCGCCCATGTAATTCCTTTCTGCAGTCTCTCACAAAAAAAATCTCTCGAAAGCTTGATTTAATTAGGATCTTGTACTTCCGTTGCCGAATATCCCACTTTATTATACATTTATGCCAGTGGTATCTTTATTACATTAATCCTCAAAACGGTACTCTCGTAGTATGTGTACCAGTTAGGGTTGGTTTTGGTACGAGTTCAGGGACTGTCTGTTTTAGCCAAATGAATATACCCCCTGCCCATAGATTTCAGTCTCTATACACAATTTGATGTAAAGTAGGCAAACAAAATTGGTTATCTCCATATTGGTACACATACTTCTGGAGCGCTCTTTATAGCTTTCGAACAATGAGCACTGGAATATTTGCGGCTTCATTATATACAACCCTCATTTCAAGAACATGGCTATATAGGATAGGATAAGAGTTACATATTTATCCCGGGAGAGAGGAAAGCCAATAAGACGGCTTAATCATATGGCGAACATATCGATATACCGGATGTCGCAAATTTATTTTATAAGTTCTCACTCATGTTTGGCATGAATCATGAATTTGTGTGCGACTTTATTTAAATATACACTTCTGTTATATTTCAGAAACACTGCTTTCTTAGTTGGATCTGTACTTGCCGTTCTTCTAGTCTTGACTGTCTGGGACGAAGATGTTCTCAGGGTTGGTAGAGAATATTATTTTGACTTAATTTCATTTCAACCAAGACTTAAAGAGAAAATTTACTTGATCGAAACCAGGAATGACCAAACCAATTATACTTGTTCAATTGTATAAAACAAATATTTGGGGGCAAAGTTGATCCTTGTTAGGATATTATTAACGATACCGTGATCTATGTGATTCAGTTGGTTTGATTTTTTTTTTTTACAGTTTTCAGGAATTAAAAGGGCTTTTTTGATCACACTGAGTTTTTAGTTTTTTAAATTTTTGGAATATTTTTCTAAATAGAATAATTCTAATTTAATCCCAAAAATAAGTATGGATTTGAATTATTTTTTCTTCTATATTAAAAAAATAAATTCCTAAATCTCTAAAAATTTCTGCACTTTACTTTCAATATTTTTTTTACGGAATTTTTGTATTCATTCCAGGTGGAACATGTTCTGACAACAATAACTCTTTGCACCATTATCGTTACAATCTGCCGATCTTTTATCCCTAAAGAGGTAAAACATTTGTTTGGAGTTTGCTAAGAAACTTTGTTGTCACTCTTTTTTGGCAAAATCTCCCATCTTATATTTCGTACATTTTAAACCTTACCTAAGGTTTTGTTTGCTTTCCTGATTTCATATTCAGTTTTTGTTTATTTGTTTTTATCAATCATTTATCGTGATTATGGAGTCGAAATATTCTTATTTTATCTAACTTATCTTATCATAAGTGTATATTGAGCGATTGAAAAGTTTTAACCCCACATGCCAACATACTAATTCGATACCTATCTTACTAACGTTTATCCGATATTTTTCAGAACGCAGTTTCATGCCCAGAACAGCAGGTTTTGTTTGCTTTCCTGATTTCATATTCAGTTTTTGTTTATTTGTTTTTATCAATCATTTATCGTGATTATGGAGTCGAAATATTCTTATTTTATCTAACTTATCTTATCATAAGTGTATATTGAGCGATTGAAAAGTTTTAACCCCACATGCCAACATACTAATTCGATACCTATCTTACTAACGTTTATCCGATATTTTTCAGAACGCAGTTTCATGCCCAGAACAGCTGATGAAGAAAGTTTTATCTCAAATACATTACGTGCCAAGCTCATGGCATGGTAGAGCTCATACTAATGAAGTCAGAAATCAGTTTGCACAACTGTTCCAATACAGAGCGGTAGGTTATATAATGTCTTGCAACTGTTCAGTTATGATTGTATTCAATTAGTAAGCGTTTGATAAACAGTGTCTCAACTATATGAAGTTGAACAGTGAAAAATCGTCAAAAACCACCAAAAACCTTGCAACATATTACATGAGTTGTTACATATTATTGGGTCTCCTCTCTAGGAGACAACTATTACCACTCGTTTAATATGTCTGTCTGTATGTCTAACTGTGGCGTCTAAACAGCTGGATCAATTTAGTTGAAATTTCTCTCATGGGTTATCACCCTAGTAATACACGTTTACCGACTAGTCGACTACTCATGCAAAAATGCCAATGCAGTGCTCAAAATAAGCTGGCTAATTCTGTAACCCAGTCACCATAGTATGCGGTGGTTATGGGTCTGCAACGTTTTCTGGATCATGGCCTTAATTTTCTTACCGAATGTATACCCTTCATTCTGTAACTCAGTCACCACTGTATACTGCTGTTATGAGTCTGTAATTTTGCATCGTGGTAACAATGTTTGTTGGAATATGAGACTCAAGTTCGAGCGGAGATAATTGTGGTGATTTGTGTCTTAAAATCTAGCAACACATTAAATAGTCATGACATTTGCGGTGCTGGCGTATACTACTCATCATTTAAAAGCATGGTGTTTTGATTTGAAAGTCATTCTTTGGTTCGTGCTGCTTTAAGACGCTTGGTTGATGTTTGAGCTAATAAAAGAGTAGTACTGTATGATCTCGTTTATTTCTGTGTTTGGTTTGTCACAATAACAAGCGCCTACTCCTTTTTGATGTATCCTATAGCAATTATTCTGTTTTGCCCATATATGCTTGTCTTTTTAATAAATCCTATTCCATTATTTCTCAGGTCTACATACTTGAAGAAGTTCTATCTCCTTTGATAACTCCATTCTTACTGATGTTTCCCATGCGGAATAGAGCACCACGGATGATTGATTTCTTCCGTAATTTCACGGTTGACATAGCAGGAGTCGGCGATGTCTGCTCCTTTGCTCAGATGGATGTAAGAAGGCATGGAGATCCAAAGGTAATTTCTTTGTGATATTTTGTCAGACTTCTTAGGCTATGCCTATTACTCCTTTATTCCGGACAATTATTCCTTTATAACAGTGGTCGGCAAACTGTGGACCGTCGAGCATTTTCTAGTGCAGTGTTTTTCAACCTTTTTCGAGCCAAGGCACACTTTTTTCAGTGAGAAAATCCCGCGGCACACCACCAGCTGAAAATATGGGGAAAAGACCTAATATTCACAATATAAGTGTTATATTGTTAATATAAGATTTTTAACATTGAAGAAAGATGTTGAATAGAACATCCTGAATAGTAATCAAATAAAAACAAAGACAAAAAAAAAATCGCCACTTGATGCTGCCACGGTCTGATATAGAACAGTACTACATGATTACTCTGCCGGGCGCTACACCGCATAGACACACAACTTGAAGAATTTCCCACGGCACCCTTGACAATATTTAACGGCACACCGGTGTGCCGCGGCACCCCGGTTGAAAAACACTGTTCCAGTGGACCACCAATAAATTTTAATTATGACACTGATACACAAGAAAGTTCTATAAATCCAATATTACATTTTTTTGCCAAATGGTTGTTGTTTATATATCAAACGATCATACATAACGTTCATTTCAACTAAACAAATGAGAATATCGGTCAGAGAGCGAAGACTTATCGATCGAAAGTGTGGGCATCCCCAAAAACAGCGCTCTCACTCCATAGTGACACCTTGTGTCCCATCACTAATTAATAACTCGCTAAATCAATAGGCTTCTGGTCCGAGATATGATGAATGAACATGCAAAATCTGGAGCAGATTCAATCTCGCTTTCATGAGATATCGCGTGCATCTAACAGACAGACAAACAGACAAATACCCATCAACATACTCACCGATTAACATCGATAAGTAATTAGATGTTCCTTAAAAAGTTCATTGCGCGGTTAAATTTAAAATTTCCAACGAAATTGTTGGGCCTTGAAATCTTTTTCATTTTACTATTTGGGCCTCACTTGAAAACTTTGATGGCCATTGCTTTATGATCTTTTGAATTCTTTTTCCAGTGGCAAGTAACTGATGAACCAGAGGCTCCAACTCAGCCAGCTTTTATAGCAGAGGGTGGAAAGATAGAATTGTCTCTCATGCATTTTGCTGTCACTAATCCAAAATGGAGACCACCACAACAAGAGAATAAATTTCTCAATGATTTAAAGGTATTGTATGATTTCTAAAACAATCTTTTCATTTTTGATGGGGATCTCTGATCAATCAAGTTTATTTTTTTCCAACCAGTAAAAATAAATAAATAACAAAGGCATAAATTACGAGAAAGTAATAAAGTACACAGTTTTACTGGGGAAAGGAAGGGGAACCAAAGCTGTTTAATATTTCCTAACCAGATAAGTCTTCGGGCTCTCCTGAATAAGCCTTTATAAAAAAAAAATATTTCAAAAAGGGAAAATTCTAAAACAAATATTTCTGCCTTTTTCAGATTGGAAGACATCAAAAATTAATAAAATAATTATATTCATAATCAGGGGCAATAGCCAGGAATTTTTAAATGGGGGGAATTCTGAAATTTCTGATTGCAGAGTTCGATCGCAACAGCGAGTAGGTCTAGCAGGAGGCCGAAAAACGTGGGAATATCTTCGGTCTAAAAAGGGTTTCAAGCTATAAAAAATTGCTTTGTATGATACAAAAAAAATTGGGAGGGGAGGGGCGAGCCGCAGACCTTCTGAGTACGCCCCTGTTCACAGCTTTAGTCAAATTGTTACACCTCGGGGTGGGCATATTTGCAACCAATGTTCCACTGAACTTTGAGTGGTCGCTTATTCAGATCTTTGCTGCAAATGTTGTATACAAGCACATTTAGTCTTAAGAATTCTTTCTATGTTGCTGTTTAATATTTCTATCTTTTTTACCCTCAGACACAAGCTCATAGAGATGCTCTATTACTCAGTAGGAATGATGCTGTGCAGAATCCATTGCTAACTTCGCTACAATCACTGGGATCAATTGGTCTGCCGGTGAGTGTGTTTGTTTAAATTATAATAGTTAGGGAAGACTGCTTAATCATATGGTGAACCAAAGCCTCTCGTTTGGTTACCGCCTTTGTCTGATATGGGATTAGTTAACTAGTTATTGGTTTTGGAAGCTTGGCCTTGATGGTGAAGGAAGTCATAACTGACCAGCGGTCATGAGTACTAGCCTATGGTGACGAGGAGTCCAGTAATCACGCACATTATTAACCCTGCATGGAATTCGAACCTGGAACCCACACAGGGTAATTAGGTGTCCAGTGGCGAGCGTATTCCTAATGTGTATCACTTTGCGTCACACCGTCGAGTCGGTAATTGTTCCTGTTAACTTCTTTTTTAGTGTAGAGATGGCCGAAGGTCAAAACCATAAGATCCAACATAAATACAATCTGAAATAATATTTTCAAATACTTACATGCAGCTTATAAAGTTTGAGAACCACTGTTTTAATCAATCCTACTCATATTATTGTATTCGATTCCAGCAAGCCAGTTTTCTCCATCACCCGGGCATAAGTATGATGAGCACCTTGTCACCACAACAACCTACTGTAGCAATGCAACAACAACATTCTACAATACAAGAATGTAAGTACACAATGCTTCCTAGTTTTAACTCATTTTGTTTTTCTCATTTTGATTAATATGAAGCTCCGCGAGCTCTGTTTACTCATTAAAATACTGACTTGGCTAATTAGGTAACTGTCCAAAGAAACGATAGCGCATTAATGAAGTTTGACAATGGTAGCGGTAATTCAAATATGACATCTACAAGTTCCAATAGACAATGCCATAGTTTAATAATAGCGTTGTTGCTAAATTTCAATACTTCATTAATTAAGTTTGTCAAGAGTGTAAGCATACCATGAATTTTTAGAAATTCATGGTATGCTTACACTCCCAGGTTGAGACTTCGTTATTGTGCACAAACCTATTGCTCTGTGATTATTTCTCGGAATGTTTATAAAGATATTCACCAAAAACAGCTTTATTTCATTCATATTATTTCTCTAGCTGTCCCTCCAGAAAGCTTGACATATGAGGAGTCCATGATGACATCATCGTTTCCCCGGCAACAACAAACGACAACAGAAAGTCGAAAACAACCAAGAAAACCTCGTCTGGTAGGAGGGTCACAACATGAAGGGAGCATGGAAGAGAGTGGATTAGGATTAATAACAAGTGTTATAAATGGCCAGCAAGGTGGGTGTGTATTAGGAGAAAAGAGGGCCCAACCCTAGCCCTTTACAAATTGAAGGGCACAGTTTTTACTGACCTTTTGATACTGACCTGTGATATTGAAAAAAAAAAAAATAGATGGCATGGTGGGTGATCTGACACTGACTAATAGCAGAAGTGCTGCATTAAAAACTTAAATAGCTCTGATCGTAAAGAGATGTCATCTGGTTATGTACAATTCCAGAAAAAAAAATGGTAGAATTTTTGTTACTCTTGCAGTTTGTGTAATAGATTCGGGTTAGGCCATAATTTTATTCCGTTTTTTCTTACTTTAGTTCTAATACGAGTTCGTGGTTTATGTTAGCCAAGTGAATATACCCCCTGCCCATAGGCTTCAGTCCCTATATACAACTTGATGTAAAGTAGGCGAACATAATTAGTGAACTCAATATTGGTACATACACTTTTGCAGTGCCGAATTTTCTGTATTCTAATTTTTATTCTCTTCTTATTGGAACCAAATTCATTTTGAGTGGGGGTGACTCTGTATGAAGTGAGAGACATGAAAAACGTAAAATAAAAAAATGGTATATCAATTGCAATAATTTTCATGTTTTTTTTTTTTTTGGGGGGGGGGATTTTAAAACTTATTTAATTTATTTTGAATCTGTACAATTTTCCATCCCAGGCCTTCCTGTCAACACCACTGATATGCAGCAATCAACACGCCCTTCGCAGCATGCAGTATTTGGCAGTATGATTGGTGGAGATATTGGAGGCGGGTCAGTTTTCAGCCAATCAAGAGGATTTGAACTAACAGAACAATCAATGGTCGAATTAGCTCCGGTTGAAATGGGAATAAGTGCTTTATATATGCATGAGGTGGGACTTTTATTTTTATGTTTTTATTTCTTTTCATTTTTTTTATTATTTATATTATATATACATGTATTTTATATTTATCTTTTAGGTATATATTTGAATAACGTAATCCTAACTTGCCCATTTTCCTCAGTCAGCCAGGCTCCGAATAGGTTCGAGTTTGATTGAAAAGATGCTAAATAACTCTTTAAATGATAAAGTTTGTCGACCAGTGTGCTAAGCCCTAGAAAAACGCTCGCCACCGCACCTTTGATTACCCTGTGTGGGTTCACAGGTTGGAATCTCTTTGATATTAATATGTTCGAGAGGGTTGCTGGACTCCTCGCTGCCGTAGGGTGCTGTTACGGCTTTCTCAACTATTAAGTCCATGCATCAGAAACTAATCTCAAACCAGTCCCTGTCGGACACCAGGTAGGTGTTAGAGATGCATCGACCTTATGGTGGATGAAGTTGTGAACCAGTGACAGCAATCCACTCACGTTTAATTATTCTTCATGAGACCTGTGAACTCACTCAGGTTAATCGATAAAGAAGTTCGGAAATAATTGATGTGCGCTGTTACATAGATACTCCCGAAGAGTGTGTACCATGTTAGGTTTAGACCAATAATTTTATTCCGATTTTCCTTATTTTGGTTTTATTACGAGTTCGAGGACTGTCTGTGTTAGCCAAGTGAATATCATCCCCCTGCCAATAGTTCCTTTACACAACTTGATGTAAAATAGGCAGACAAAATTTGTTTCCTCCATATTTGCACACATACTTCTGGAGCGCCCTTACATCAGTGTAGTCAAAAATGCCAAGCTCTGCTCACGACTGGTTAAATAGCTTCCAAAATATATACCTACGCCTTTCCATTTTATCCTGTTCCTACATTGTACGAATCGTTGTGGCCTCACCGAAGCCTCTTGCGGTTAAAGAGGACAATTGAATGACCATTGAATTATTCCATGACGCCAATATTGTCCTTGTCCAATACGGCTCCAAGTTAATGATATGTTTAAAGTTGTGGTCGAAATGTTCGTTGTTCTTTTCGACTTTTTCATACTTTTTTTATTTCAGCTCTACCATAATAAAATGGTCCAAGCAGACAGAACGGCAAACTGGGAATCTGTGGCTGACAATTTGCGATCTGGGAGTTACCATAGCGATAACAGCAATGCAGGGCCATCTAGTGGACAATACAACACTCCTAGTGGACAATATGGTGCTTCTAGTGTCGACCCAAGTCGGCCATTATTGCAAATAAATCAAGAAAATGCTCGGCCTCGAACTGGGAGTCAAAATTATAACACTTTGAACGCTTTTGGGGGTAACCAGACCCAACAAACTCATTTTGGGGGGTACCAGGACCCTCAAAAAAGTGACTCCACGCATAATCACCACCAGCAACCTTTTATGGCAATGGGTCATGGTAATACTGTACCTGTTAGAACTTCTTATTCTGACACTGCAGTGACCCATGGGTCACAAGGTCAAAGGACAACGGGAAGTGTACTTCAGGAAGTCGGTGCAACTGAAAATATTGACCTGGACTCTGATAGTGACGAAGCTCCACAAGAATTTCATTTACCAGTTGAACAGGTGAGAGGTGTTGTGATTTAGAGGGAGGGGGATTTCCCTTTTTAATTTATATTAAGCATCTCTCAGCGCAGTAGTTCCCAAAATTTTTATGGTATATATTTCTCCCACTGTTTATTTTGTAACCATTATTCCTTCCTCAGTATTGATAAAAGCTCTGTTAAGTTATTTGATCAATTTTAAAATGATTCTTAGCTAGTGTTAACACACAACTTGGACTTTTGTACAGTTCAAATCAGGCGTGTGCAACAGGCAGCCCGATGGCCATAACTCGGCCCTCCAAGCCATTTAGAGCAGGGGTTGGCAACCTTTTGTCGCTCGCGGGCCGAAATTAAAGGTTGCGACTGCGAGTCATTGGCAGTCCGCACATATTTTTAAAAAATTAAAAATTGAATGGATGATCGATGAATCACCTTTTTTCACACAGATCAAGAGTTAAATGTTAAGCAGCGCACGAAGACTGACCATTTAAATATTTTTTGCGCCATTAAACCATTTGCACTTAGCATCGACTTTTCTGCGTTTTGTTGCCATATGTCTAAATTATAATTAAATTATAGGCTCATTAAACGAGTAATTGTGAATTATATACTTGTTACGTTATAATATAATTTAGTCTACACATAAATTCTTTTGCGTAAAGAATATAATCGACAAAACAGCTATAATTTGTTACTATAATTCAGTGAAATGTCGCGGGCCGAATTATATTGCTCCGCGGGCCATAGGTTGCCGACCCCTGCCATAGGGTATCAAATCCTAACCTGACGGTTTATATGTTTAAAAAGGTGATCACACTAATAAAAATACATAATGTTTTTTGCTCTTGTTGCTGTGTTAAATCTTTCGTTATTCTGCCCTGTGCCTTTATTACTGTAATGTTAGGTGATAGCTGCATTGTGCATTTTTATGTGGTGCAGCTGGATGTCTGAAGTTGGTTATATGGCCCATCGAGAAAAAATGTTTCTAACCCCTGGTTCCAATAGTTTATTATATGTGTATAGATAGTTTTTTGGTTGATATTAAATTAGGGTCACCATATTTGAAAAAGCAAATTTCCGGACAGTGCATGAGTATTTTCGTGACCTTGTAGTAAAAAATATGCGCACGGTACGAAATAACAATGTTCTGTATTAGCAGTGTGCACAGTACGATTGCAGATGCAGTAAAATTCCGGATTCCGGACATTTGAGCATTTTTTAAATTCTTCCCGGACGCAAAATTTAACCCTAAATTCAGGACAGGTCCGAAATTTTTCGGACGGTATGGCAACCCTATACTAAATGCTATGAGCAAATGCAATGTAAACTATTCTCCCCTTAAAACAATGTAATTCCTGCTGCTCTCTGCAATCAGCACTCACATATTACATGAAAAATATAATTCTAGAACAGTCACCCAGGGTTGTGTAACCTTTGACCTGCAGCTGCAGGCCACAAAGAAAAATTGTGCGGCCCAGGGAGGAGTGCCAGTTTTAAATGGGATGCGGCCCGCAAAACACTTTTTTAATTCAGTTCATTCTGGCACGTGCGTGCCTATACTTGAGTCAAAGTCATTATCTATGCACATGGCGTTATAATCAATAACCAAAATTTTACTGCCTGAATCTTCTAGAAAGCTTATATTGAATGAAGATGAGGCCCGAAGTTTCACCCGATTATTGTATCTGGCACTCCTGTTGCACATCCCTGCACCAAACTATTGCGACACTTACTGAAGTTCAATTCTCTTCTTGTACAGGATTCTCCTCGGCTAGGAGATTTGCCATCACTTGGTGCTCCACCTAATTATGAAGATGACAGAAATATGGGAAACAGTGGGGGTTATCAACCCCCTCAGGCCTGAACTAAGTTTTTAGTGTTCAGCGATAAATTCTGAGTGTTCCTGATAGAGGGCTAAAACTGAGTAATTAGCTATTAATTCAAAGCAGTGGTTCCCAAACTCTATTGACCGCGGGCCAAAATTAGAATCCGCAGGATGTTTGCGGGCCGAAATAAAAAGGTTTTTATGTCGTATTGCTTCAGAACTGGAATATTTCGTTCGACAAAGAGTTTGATTCTTCTCAATACAGAAATACAAGTCTTCTTCGAACCTTTCTTATGGCTTTTATCTTTTTTATGGCTGAAAACCGAATTACTGCCTATGTGATCCTAACACCGGTACGTATAATTGAGATACTTATATAATCGAAATGCTATGATAAACACGAGCTTAAACTGTGATAATGACATAACAATTGGAGGTTTTTAGATTGCAAAAAGGAAGAAACAAAATCTGTTTCACAGTTCCACTTAGACTCGGCGGGCCATTTTAAATCGTTACACGGGCCGGATTTGGGAATCCCTGATTCAAAGTACCGGTACGTAAACTCTCAGTGTTTTGATCACTTTTGGGTTTTCACAACTGCAACTCTCCTGCAAGGCCTTAATATTGAATATACAGTATTCTGTATTGGGTCATATTTAATATGTTTAAAGCACTTCTTAAGTGTGGGCTTGAGTGTCCCACTTATTTTTTTCCTCTAATAATCAGTTCTATTTTGGGCTATTTCTATTTCATATTTGTCATAGGAAAATTCTGTTTGGGTAAGAGTTCAAGGTCATACGAGGTGCGGCTAAAATGGAACGGGACTGACGTCACAGATTGCGCAACACGATTAACCATCGGTAATCAACACTTTTGCAGTGTGGCGTAATATGTGTTCTTTGTATATATTGTAATATATTTTTGCTTTTCAGGATCCATAAGTGAATGTGATAAATTTCTTGTTGAAAAAAAATGCTGTGCGAGGTGTGATTGAGTGACGTCAGTCCCGTTTCTTTTTAGCCTTACCTCATATATCTCTGATTCAATAACAGATTCCACTGACAATTAAAACCTCATCCTGTTGAAATGTTCCTACCGCAGTTGCTAGTATTATATATCTGTATGTGCGCTATAGTTCCATATGATCGCAAATTTAAACCAGCCTTACCTTTTCAAACTGTCTGCTACAAAGCTTTTAAAGTTTCCTTTCCACATTTGAAGGAAGTTCCAATTTTTGTTCATATCTTCATATCTTTAATTGTGCTTTAGTTTTACGTGTGTGTGACATACAGTTGAAATCTTTATCAGCCAAAATGTTTCTTGCAGCTAATGACATTTCGTATGGATTCATACAAGCAAAAGCATTTCAAACCTCTCTTGAGTTTTTTTGCTTTTGAAAGGAGTTTCTATTTTGTTCATGTCTCCTCTCTTAAATTGTTAAGTTATATAGGGTGTCCATAAATTCTCATTACATTTTTTTTCACATTTTTTCACATCACAAAGGGAATTTACCCATACGATATATTGTTTCGTCTCAAAACTGTCTCAAAAGTTTTTTCTCTATTTTTATTGTGTTCATGCCCTTTTTTAATATCATTTGTTCAAATTTTATTATGATGTACTTTTTATTTTATATTTGTTTTGTTTCATCTAAAGATGACCCCTGTAATAATTGCGCTTTAAGTAAGTGTTAAGATGCAGATCATAGAGAGCAAGCAGTCCCTTTTATTTGATTAACTATGTCCATTAGGCATAGTATCTTCTAAGTTTCGCAAGCAAATTGTTCCCCCGGAGTGAGTAGGCTGACCGGCACACAAAGATTTTGAACCAATGACTTTCTTCCAATCAGGATATTGGTTGCAGTTAGTATATAGCAATTTTAAACCTTGTCTAATCCATCTATCCTTGACATGGGCAAACTATGACCCCTGACCTTGGGGTAATTCAATCTGGCCCGCCTGATGTTGCCACAACCGAACTAAAACTGAATTTCGATGTTTCAGTAGAAAAATAGTTCAAAAAATTTGGGGCAATTCTATGTGAAGAAACTTGGATCTGGCAACTTGCAAAAATTGCTTTCAAATTGATAGTGCTCATTGCTTCTACTTTAAGAGAATTCTATGTAAAGAAACTTGGATCTGGCACCCCTCAAAAATTGCTTTTATAATTGTTCAATGTTGTAATGCATGACACTGTGAGTTGTAGTATTAATATTGTAATATGGTTATCCCAACAGAATTTTGTTTAGCAGAATAAACAGGTTTGTTAAGCCTGGGATCAATTCTGTCAGACTATTTTAATTGTTCGAAAATTCCTGGAATCTATCTCCTGGAAAACTGAATTTATTTATAGGAAGATTGAAATTCATTTTTCTAATTCTTTAATACATATTTGATACTTACATTGGAAATGCTGGAATCTAAACTGCACGACCCTGGAATTGGGGGGGAAATGCATATTTTTGCTACTTTGTATTCGAATCAGGGGAAATCTTGTTTTCGCTCCTTGTAATCGAGGAATATTTTATATTTTCTCAATCTCCTGTATTTATGGAAATATACTTTCTGCCGTTTCCTTGTCTCTCAATCCAGAGAAAATTTTACAATCTATAAAACGAAGTCATTCAAACTATTATATTATTATAAACAGATAATTATTTATTCTTGATTGCTCTATCTAAATTTTCTCTTATTTTAGTTGCGGTACTATCCTGCTATTGTGCGACCATTAATTTTTTGATCTGTCTAGTCCTCCATGGATTATTCCACGCAAACAAAATCTCAACCCTAATCTCTGGAGATTTTTACATGTTTCTTTGCGCGATGTCTTTTTCTGAGTAGGTTTCAAACATTGCTCTTATCTATGTGCTGGTATTACTGTAACATTGTTCTTGCTTGACCTGTTCCTATTTGCTATTTTATAAACAGAATTCAAGTTGAAGCATCTCTATAATGGAGAGAAGTTTGTTATTGACATTCAGGGCTGGGAAGGCATGATTGTCGAGAGAGAGAGAGACAATTTTATTTGCGAGAGAATTGCAGGAATCCTCGCCGCCGTGGGTTGGTCTGTTACAGCTTCTGCCGCCACCAATTCCATGCATCTACGGCATAGGTTCTCAAAGTGCTCCGTACGGAGCCCCAGGGCTCCCCGAGAGAAACCCAGGGGCTCCGCGGGCTATTCGATTACTTTTCAAAATACTGACTAATTTTGTAACTGTTCAAAGAAGCAATAACAGCTTTGATAAAATCTGACAACAATATAGCCTCGAAATATGGCACGGAGGCGGAATTTAAAAATGGCATTATTTATAAGCAGGAGCGCAGCCAGGATTCTTAAGAGGGAGGTGGTTCAAAATTAGAATCGAAAATTGCCGCGCAACATTCGCGATTAAAAAACGGATAACGGGATTTCTGTTGCGTAAAATATTCAATCCATGACCGATGCCTTAAAGTGTCTCGTCGTTATAATGTAATTGTGTTCATCTTTACTCACCTTTGATTCGAAATTACTATTAGGATTACTAAAATGAAAGAATACTATTCTAAAATTACATAAAATATGTGATAAACTGCCAACTATAAATAAATTGGAGTCGTATTTTTGCGATCTTGGGGTTTGTCAAACTTGATTTGTTCTTTCGCACTTGAGATTATATTTAAGCAAGATATCGCCGTTTAAAAAATCACAATGTCTGGGCAAAATACGAACAATTGAAATCTATTTTATTGCATTCCGCTCCATCGGTAGTTTTAGAATGAAAATGGTACATCGCGGATCGCGCGCACAATTGATTACGTGCGGTTCCGTCGGCAGTTTCAAAATGGGAAGAAAAAAAATACATCGCACGCACAATTGACTGTGTTTTGATTTTGCAGTTACTACGATGAAAATCTAACATAACAGCAAATTTTGTGATTTAAAATGTCTATAAAAGCGTTTTCAATCTACGGTGAGTCTGCTGAAACCAAACGTGTGATCTTCCATTTTAAGTTTTAGTTTTAATATTTTAGAATGCCGCTTTTCAATCAAGAAATTTGAGTTGCGGATCTACCTCTTCATTAATTATTATTTTTAGCACTTCGTCGCCGATGACTATAAAATGGTAACATATTTTTCACATTGAACTCATAATTCCTCACGAGAACAAAAAAGTAATTAACGTCGTCATTGTGTAACAATACATGTATATGCCGAGGGAAATTTTTGATTTAGGGAGAATAAACAACGGCGTAAAGATGTAGGTTCAAAAACACGCCGCCATGCTGAGGAAAAAAATCGGCGATTGTAACAAAATGCAATTGCGCACATTATTAGCGGCATTTTGGGTCTTCCAAAAATGTCAAAAGGGAGAAGATTCGACCCCTAATTTATTAGTATGTTTGTCAAGTGTCAAATTTACAGCTTTAGTATATATAATTTATGTTTGAAATTTAGATTTATTTATAACTTGTATTAACCCTATCAAAAAAGGTTCAGCATTTAAATTGAGTAAAGTACTTTTAACTTGCTCAGGAATAATAATCAGAAAGTAACAATTTTAACATTTATTTTGGGGCTCCGTGAATAATAGTCAACAATTTCAAGGGCTCCGCGACACCAAAAGTTTGAGAACCCCTGATCTACGGTATGCAGGGTATAGGGATGGGCAATGTAGAATAGTTTACTATTCTAGAATAGTTAAATCGAATCCAGAATACCGAATCCTATTCTATTTTCTTACTTATTCAAATATTGGGAATTTGGTGCTCCAGAAGTATGCCCACCAAGATGTCGCACAGTCTGAATCCTAACCGGTACACACATACTATGTTCAGGTTGTGCGCCATAAATCTATTATTTATTTGGAAATATCCTTAACATTGGATTTGATTTGATACTGAACAGGCATTTCACTGGACAATGAAATCTAAGAATGTTACAATATTTTTGCCTTCAATTGTTCCAAATGTAGGTAATCTCTAAATACTAATATGCTAAATTAAGACACGCTTTAAACACTTTAATAGTAAGCGGTGTAATACAAAAATAAATATGACACGGCAGAAATGGCCCTACTCAAACTCAATACGTAACTATTTTCGCCAGATGTGGCATCTTTTTTTTTATCGGCGAATAAAATTACTACAGACACTCGATCAAACGTGCGTCTATCTTGAACGATAGAAACGGACCGAAAAATATGTAATCATTTGAGAGTGAAATTTAAAAGCGACAGAACGTGGTGTTTTGCGATATAACTTTGTATTTCGGAAACTGGTGTAATAAAGTTATTCGTGGGTAATATTTGATTTAAATTAATCGCAAGTAACGTCATAACATTTCACGCCTGGCTTTTGGTTTACATGCATCATTTTCTGGGGAAAACTCGCCGGTCGCGGAAATTCATTTACAGTTACGTAAAATGAAGCAAGGCACGCCTGTAAACAATTACAGATTGTTGCAACCAGATTATCGGAATATCGACAGTAAGTCGGCACAAATAATTATTAATATTAAACCATAGCTAGATAGCAAAACAGGAAAACGCAAAAATGGTGCAATAACGAGTCTTCCCCGTAAGGTGTACTTCACGACTTCTTGTCCAGAATACGCCGATTGTGGTTACAGTGTTTGGTGTTTACGGATTTTACGGGTTCTTTGCGATTAGGCAAGTTTATTTAAACGAGAATATCGGTCAGAGACCGAAGACTTATCGATCGAAAGTTAGAGGATCCCAAAACAGCGCTCTTACTCCATAGTGACACCTTGTGTCTCATCACTAATTAATTAATAATTCGCTAATTATACGACATAATTTGCCCAAAATCAATAGGCTTCTGGTACGAGATAAGATGAATGCACATGCAAAATCTGGAGCAGATTCAATCTCGCTTTCGTGAGATATCGCGTGCATCTAACAGACATACGTACAGACAAATACCTATCAACATACTTACCATTAAAATCGATAAGTAACAAAAATGGTGCAATAACGAGTCTTCGCCGTGAGGCGTACTTCGCCGACTGCTTGTCTAGAATACGCCGATTAAGATTGCAGTGTTTGAAGTTTACCGATTTTACGGGTTCTTTACGAGCAGACGCAAGTCTAACTAGAGCTGCGTGCAGCTTTAACAGGCTTCCCGCGTAAAAAAAACTGAAGACGCGTTTTGCTCACTGGAGCGTGAAAGCGTGGTCAGTCATGCATAAAATTTGCAATTTATGATGGGGGACTCATTATCTGCATGTGATGTAAATTTCAAGTCTCTAAGTAGTGTCGTTCTCGAGAAGAAGATGAAAATGTAAAATCCTATATTGCTCACTGGAGCGTATCGCCGAGGTCACTCATGCGTATCCTTGACATATCGTATCCGGAACATGTCCATCAATCATTGTTATGAATTTCAACCCAATAGCGTGTATCAATTTTGAGAAATCGCAAAAAAACTGAAAACGCGTTTTGCTCACTGGAGCGTGGAAGCGTGATCAGTCATGCATAAAATTTGCAATTTACGATGGTGGACTTATTATCTGCATGTGATGTAGATTTCAAGTCTCTAAATAGTGTCGTTCTCGAGGAGAAGATGAAAATGTAAAATCCTGTATTGCTCACTGGAGCGTATCGCCGAGGTCACTCATGCGTATCCTTGACATATCGTATCCGGAACATGTCCATTAATCATTGTTATGAATTTCAACCCAATAGCATGTATCAATTTTGAGAAATCGCAAAAAAACCGAAGACGCGTTTTGCTCACTGGAGCGTGAAAGCGTGGTCAGTCATGCATAAAATTTGCATTTTATTGCTAGCTGAGAACTTCTGCACATTTGAGGTGAATTTCAAGTCTGTAGGACCAATTTGAAAAAAAAATAATAAAAATAAATAATAATAAATAAATAATAATAAATAAATAATAATAATAATAATAAAACACAGGAATACAGTAGGTTCCCTGCTGACAAGCAGCGGGAAGCCTAAACGAGAGAGATTTCCACGCGAGAAAAAAACGCTCGTCTTAAATTGATAATTAGAAATCCGAAATGCAAAAATTGACGCATGGCGCCGGAGAGGCGGAAACCGAATCCTGTTATCGGACCTCGTTGGATTTGAATACTTTTGGATTCGAATCCTCCGGATTCGGTATTCTATATTGCCCATCCCTAGCAGGGTAACCGTCAAGAGTGGTTCACTGTATGAATAAAACCTCTTTCCTCTTCTCCCGGGATGAATATTCAAATCATGTCCTGATTACAAACGAAAATAATTTCAATAACGCAGCAAAACTCCTTAAAGGTCAAAATGACCATCGAGATGTTTAATTTATACCCAAATTTTGCTTGTTAAACCAAGAAAACCAGCTAATGCCGAAGCGAACATGCTTTTCGCAACGCTGCTGATAGTCTTGCCGATTCGATCCCGATGGGCTATAATTATTAATTAACGGGCAAATCTTCTTCACTGTCTTCAGTAACGTATTTATGCAAAATGGCGATCCTGGCAATTTTAAAAATTCGGCTCTAGCTGTTGTCGAATTGAAATCCTTGTACGTTATCCAAGTAAATATACGAGTTCAATTAATTTCATGTTAACGAGTAAAACTTTTCGCCCTTTTGCGGCCTAATTCAAGCGACGCATATGGCTCGAGCTATGACTGCCACACCCGAGATGCGCCACTTACTGTCGTACAGTGACCTCCACTCCTTGCGCAATAACAACCAATTAATTAGTATAAAAATTATATTTATTGAAATTAATTAGAAATTGAAAATAAAATACAAAGGTGCAATGAACTATATAATGAAGCAGAAAGGACACTTCAAACTGGGAATAATTTTAATGCGATGAGAAAAGAAGGCGTAGGAAGCCACTTTGTACGTGTAGTGTCACGATAAAAATATTTTTTTCAGCCAGCATTGCGGCATAACTATCCATATTTACATTTCGTACTTTTATTTATAATAGCTCCGATTCGTGAATAAATTTCCATTTACCACCAAGAGCATATTTTGTCATTAAAATTCATGATTCATTAATTATTAAAATACTTAAACAAGCTTTTTAAAAATTAAATTTTCAACTTGATTTGACAATTCTTAAAATAGAAAATATAATAGACTCTACTCTGTAAATACATGTATGTTATATAGAAACTTTACATAAAAAAAGTTAAAAATACTGAAAGCAGTTCTTATTATTAGCTTAAAGGCAGATTAATTCGAAGACTGCGTAAGCATAACAATGTGTAATATCAGATAAATTTTTCAAAAAAAATGTTTGTAAGCTATTTTTTACATGGTTCGTGGTCGGTTGACCGAAACCCGGATCAAAAATCAACTCAGAAAATATTGAATAGAAAAAGTGAACTACATATTAATGAATTTACACTAAATAAAAAATAATTAAAAATAAATTGCAATTCAGAGTTATTCTAGTCAGTGTAGTGAGTTGTTTACAGTGTGTGTTGCAAGTATATGAAGATAAGAAATTTGGGTAAATCATATAAGCAAATACCGCCTGCTTTAGGAATTTAACTAAATCTTTGTCTGCACAATATTGCAGGCGGATTTCCATGCATTGGCAAAGATCCATACTGGACGCCTACCGCTTGTTTCAACGAGATTGGTTAATTAACCTGCATGAATTGTACCTATACATGTATGTATGTGCACACTTGGAAGTGAATTCAAGATATCGGTTTAGTGTTGAGGTGGAGAAAACACTAAACTAAAAGCTTGTTTCCTAATATGACAAAATAGATATAAATAAGAAAGTAATAAATGTGGATAGAGTAATGTTTTAGATCCTATTTTGAACCTTATTTTCAGGGCGGTCAATACCTTAGGATAGTGCAGTGGTTCTTAAACGATTAGGCGTGAAGCAAATTAAAAAAAAACCTTTGTTAGATTTGATCTTTCCCGCCTTATTTTAGATATCTACATTTCTTTATTTTGAATATTTACGTTCCATCCAAGTATTTTCAAGGTGTATTTCAATAAAACATACTTTTGCTTTACTATCTGTTATATGTAGCTTATTGTTAACTAGTTATTTTTGAGGTGGGCCGCGAGACATGACAAATTCTAAAAAGGAGGCGTGGCTAAAAAAGTTTGAGAACCACTGGGAAAGTGTATTTCCAAATTGGCGGATGAGGAATATGAATAAGATTGCTCAATCATATGACGTACAATGGCCGGTTACCAGTCCGTGTCGGGTAAGAAAATGTTTGAAAAGTTCTAGTTATTTGTTTCACTTCTGCGTAAACAAATGGAAGCATACATTTCATAACCAAATATTAGTCGATAATGTTTCCTTGATTCGAATACATACAAACTAATATATAGGAAATGGAACTAAGGTTAAAATCGGTGGTGCGGGCATAAGATTTTCTGCAGCGTGAGCTGGAATTTTCGACTCGAATACAAGTTTTGGCGATAGCAGAGTTGTACGATTACGGAATTCATTGGTTGTATACGTAACCTTACAAAGACTTCCAGTTATGATCGTGCGGAAATGTCGGTATAAGCTTGTTTAATATATATTCTTGCATATTATTAATATTTTTAGCGTGTAATACTTTTCGCATCGAATCACTTCACTCTTGGGCTCGCTCTGTGAACAGGCCTTCTTGGTGTTCCAAAATACGCGCTGTATGTTGGTCTCATCTGTGGAGTAACCGGTAGCTTGTTTGATTTTGCAGAATTTCTGAAAAAAATGTTAAATCAACCGTGAATTTAATTCTGATTCTGACAGTTTCTCTATAACTAGTAATCAGTTTATTTATTCACTGTACTGGAAAAAATACACACAGAACCTAAAGAATGTGGAAAAAGAACTAAATGGCATTTTATAGTGAGGGGAGAAACGCGATAAAACCAATACCGTTTATAGAGCAATGGCACTAGGGGTAAATAAGCTTATCGGAAGTTTATATAAAGGCAAACTATTCGAGTTGGAAAAGTCCAAGTGAGTCGGGTCATATAACCAGAAGTCAATCGCGTATCAAAATAAAATGGCGCCAATGGAAAAGTTTAAAAATGCGACCCCTTGATAGTTGACTGACAGTTTTTAACGACCGCTGTTGAATTAAGATACCTGCACGTTATTATTTACGTAAAAATACGAGTTTCAATTATTTCCAATTTGGAATTATTTTATTGAAGCATTTTATGATGAAAACTTTTCGTTCTTTTTGCGAAAATGGCGCTCACGACACGAGCCATGTCGGCGCTCCAGAAGTATGTGTACCAATAGGGAGGTAACTAATTTTGTTCGCCTACTTTACATCAAGTTGTGTAAAGGGACCGAAACTTATGGGCAGAGGGTATATTAACTTGGCTAACACAGACAGTCCCCGAACTTGTAATAATACTGAAATAAGGAAAATCGGAATAAAGTTATGGCCTGATTCTAACCTGGCACACACACTACGTGAGTATGTGCCATGATTGCACATATGCCATACCCTGGATACGTCACTGCCAGAAATCGCTCGTTTCATCAAAAGGAGGAAATTCTCTCAACCCAAACGATGCTAACTTATAACAGTGGCTTTCTCCTTACCTGCCTCTTTCCTCTTCCTTAGGAAGATTCAACTTCGGATAATCTGGAGTTATAATTTCATGTCTCTGGTTCCTTGATACAGAAGAATGACTTCTGGAAATATAAAAGACAATATTGAAAATTTAAAATAATGTCTAGACTAGTGGTTCCTAAACTAGGGGCAAGTACTCCCAAAGGGAGTAATGCAGTAGGGGTTAATGCAGATGTTCACTGTTTTAACAATATCTTTCGTAATCCTCGGGCTTTTGACTTAAATGCTGGCTGGCGTAAATTTAGTATCTCGAAGTCTGATTAAACATGCAATAGGTGGTGCTTCCGTAGAATTCGTATCAAGATGGCGCACAAGTGTACCAGATTAGGGTTAGCAGGTTGTGCGCCATCCTGGTACGGGTGTATACTACGGGAGCGCCCAATAGCTGTTAGTATTATCACCATTTTTGGTAACGAAAAAGTGATAACGATATGACTAAGGTATTTTTATGAGAGAGATGGGGCTTTTAGTGATTCGATAAGGGGTAACGATATTAAAAAGTTTGAAAACCACTGGTCTGGACCCACGTTTCCCAACCGGGTAGAAATAGCATATCCTGGGGTCACGAGATTATACAAAATTATTATTTCAAACAATTTGGGTCGCTTGCAAAAATGAACTCTAACCTCTGAACTCTAACCAACACAATTCTTAAATCAAGCTGTACAATTTATTACGGACGGACTTATGGTTAGAATTTCATTCGAGTGTATTCCGAGTCTATTTAATAAATGGCCTAGCGTAGAATGGCACATCTCTCCATATTCACGATCCTGCAACCAATACGCCAATAGGATAGGCCTATTTACTTTATTATAATATACAAAGGTTACCTTCGTTTTGGCTGATGTTTCCTGTACAATTCTGGTCTCGACGGATTAATTGGCGCCAGGACGCTGAAAAGAAATATTTAGAGATTTTAAAGGATATTTTTTCTTAATTAAATAATGAAAAAAAACTTTAAGATTCTGCATAAAATATATACTTCGATTTAAAAACAGTTGCGTTTTTGACCAAGAGCGAGGTAGCGGATGAATCTTTGTTTTAAGATGGAATATGTACTAACACAAAATCAAGTGTTAAGTTATTCTAATATTTCGGTGTTTCTGGTATAATTCTGGCTTTGATGAAGTAATCGGTACCAAGAAACTGGAAAGAACAAAATATTTGAAAATTCTGATGAGGTGTTTTTCATAACTTCACTCTGAACAAGGCTATGCACAATAAGCCAATGACACATGAGAAGCAACTATTTTTGATGGCAAAACCGGAACCTTTCCGTTTCGACAATGCCTACACAGTTTATGGCGCTCCGGTATTCATACCAAGATGACGCACAACCTGAACAACCCTAACCTGGTACACATGCTATGTTCAGGTTGTGCGCCATCTTGGTACGAATACTTCATGAGCACCCAGTTTATTACACCACGGCTGAGGTGGAGAGCATGGTAAACAGGCAGGCTCTCTCATGTGTACAAACGCTATAAAACATACAGAAACCCACCAGCGGTCTCCCAAAGAAGATATCTAAGATTAAAAACGGTCTCGCTTTGAAACCAGAGCGAGCAAGGGCAATTCATAAAAAGCAAGAAACTTATTATTATGTATCGAGTTATTTTATCATTTTCGAGTGCCTAAACCCCATGGTACGTTACACGAGGACATCCAGTCAAATCATTAAGTTGTCTCATTGGAGTTAAGTTGATGCCGAGGTTGAGCTCCCGAAGTATGTGCACCAAGATGGCGTACAACCTGAACATGGTATGTATACCAGGTTAGGGTTCAAATTGTACGCCATCTTGGTGCACATACTTCGGGAGCGCCGCCGAGGCTGTGTGTTTCCATTGAGATGATTGAGTCTTTGATTAATGGTGATTCGAGCTAATGACCGGTGCCACCATACAACATGTTATTTAAATTCAAATTTCTCTGGCTTAACAATTCAAAGATGTTCTCTCTCTTTCTCTTTTTCTTTTACCCCTCAGAATAATTGTGTACGTCATAATAATAGTACTCACTGATCCATTCTCCATGAAACCTCTGGGTCGACCATTCCGTTTGCTGTTAATCTTGTGCTGTGGCCTTGACGAACAGGTACTGGCTGTTTGAAGGAATATAAGATTTATACTAAAAATCACCAACTTATAGAGGCCTCCTTTTTGGATACTCCCGAAGTATGTGAACCAAGATGGCGGACACCGGAATGTAGTATGTGTACAAGGTTAGGCCATAATTTTATTCCAATTTTCCGTATTTTAGTTCTATTATTATGGCCTAACCCTAACTTGGTACACATACTACGTTCCGGTGTCCGCCATCTCGGTTTACATACTACGGGTGTACCCCTCGATTGAGCAAATTAATCACGTGCGCACGGCACCAAGGGGGCATCACAGAAATTGCCTTAGAAAAATTTTCACTGACGCCTCCATGTCTAATCATTCGAGTCGGCCAGACGACTCAGACCCCAATATTCCCCCGGTTGAAATTGATTTTTGCTCATTTTTCGTTCTCAAATATTATTTTAACCTCGCTTTAAACGTTTGAAGCATAAGACCTATTTAAGAAAAAATATTATGTGAATTAATTATGAATTGGCCCTCGATCGACCATGAAGCAGATGCTATGTTTAGAGAGGCTTGCATTTTTTCGTACTGGCCTTGCCCACAGAAATAATGCTCCATCGCCAGAAAGTATCAGCCGCAGTAAGTAATTTTGAGGAGTTTATGGGGTAGTGTTTAAAATGAATCGACTTACTTGACATGTATTTTCGGTGACCGTACATTCGAAACCACGTACATTCGAACCCATACATTTGCACTCGCATATCCGCGGGTTCAATCCACACGAGGGTGCTAAAACCCATGGGTTAGTGTTAGTATGGATTCGAATATCCGTAAAAAAAAATTCCATAGGTGCAATTGTCGTGGGTTCAAATGTACGTGGGTTCAAATGTAATGGAACTAAATTTTCATGCGCTGCCGATTACCTGCTCTGTAGTTAAAATACCCGCCATGAAATACAGGTAGGATCAGATTATCAGCTATATATTTTTTTACAATAGGATAAGATTTACATATTTATCCCGGGGAGAGGAAAGAAAATAAGGCGGCAAACCAGGCCCTTGTCCGGGTTACCAGTCCATGTCGTCACGTATGAGATTAATTAGCCAGTTATCTATTTCATATGCATGCCTACTTGACGGTATAGAGAAAGCCGTAACCGATCCGCCGTTACGTGACCATCCTACGCCGGCGAGGACTCCAGCAATTCTCTGATATATAACTTTTATCCACAGGATTCGAACCTGCTAACCCATGCAGGGTATCCGAGGTGCGGTGGAGAGCGTATTCCTAAGGCTTAGCACGAAGCGCCCAACCGCCGAGTCGTGATAAAATGGCGATAATCAGCGCTTTCTTCGAGTGTTTTTGGACAGTTTTGATTGTAACATCGCTCCTTAAATACAAGGTAAGTTCACTTACCATTTTTAATAGATATTCAACCGTATCTGTATTGTAGTAGGGTGATAAGCTGTTCCAAGTGTAAGGTTTGTATGGCTTGCTATAAAAATAAAACGTAAAGAGTGAATAAAATGACAATTTTCAATCGCATTTAGTCGGGAAAATTAAACGGTAACTCCCCCGCCTTCCCAAGAGGATTTATGAACTGCTTGTCATTGAATGATCACATGGTTATTAGTAGGGCTGGGCATTTTCGAATACCTTGTTATTTCAGAATCGAATCGAATAATTTTTTCGAATCGAATCGAATCTCGAATACTTGGGAAATATATAATTGTAAGCGACTTTTTTATAGTAATTGGTCCTCTCAACAAATGAATTACTGAAGACATAGAAAACATCACACAGATAGATTACTGAGCGTTCACACAGAATAACAAACACGTTTTATCAATAACTCACTACAGAGAATAGTCATATGTTAGAATTGCGTTGAAAAAATATGACTCCAATTGAAAAAAGACTTGACAAGTTCTAAAAAGGGGGCGCAGCTTAAAAAAGAACTACTTTGAGAACGAACCACTTGACTATAAACTGAACGGTAGGTAATGAATAATATAAAATGTGAATTCCTTTCACAACTTAACAATAATACTCACACTTCAGGTCTTTTTGCCATGTTTACTCGCTTCATACTGTCAAGGTCTTTTTGTATTCTGTCTAATTCTTTTTGCAAATAAACCAAGTTTGCACTCTGCGCCATCATGTACGTTGGCCGTGTCGGTGCCGAGCTTGTTTTCTTTCTACGACGTAGGATATGTAGTTCTGAGTCGCCTGTAAAAGCAAATATAATGCCTTAGGATTAACAACAGTGCAGCAGTGACGTACGCGAGATTTTATTGAGAGGCTCATGCAAAAATTTAAAACTTGTGACGTCATAACATGTCATAATTTGTATTTTGCATAAAAAAGAAAACCTATTGTGATGTCATATTAATTTGTAAAAACCTTTGTTAACAACAAAATTGTAATTATTAGCAAGTATATTTGGAAACGATTTAGGAAGTTTAAGCTGTAATAAAACGTCATGGTACCAGAAGACTTGAAGTCGTATTGCGTCGCGAGCTGTCACCATTGCCTTGGTGAGCAAGTGAGTGGCAACTAAAATAGGTTGATTTCTCTCATAAAGGGAATGGAAATAGCCAACTAATTTGCCGGTAGCACCCTCATTTGCAGGCTTGTGAAAATGCTCTAAAACAGGGGTGTGCAACCTTCAATACAAGAGGGCCAGATACAAATAACTGGGTGAAAACGCGGGCCGCACCTTTGATTAGCATAGGCTTCGCACGAGCTAAGGTATATCTCTGCAACGCAAAAGAATTAAAATTACTCCCACGTACTAGATTAAAGTAAAAACCCGTTTTGCGGGCCGCGCACCATTTAAAATTATTACTTCTCCGCGGGCACTTCTCCCTATTGGTTACACACTGGGCGGCGTTGTGATAATGTGTAACACGTTACTCGTTATGTATTAATGCAGGGTTTCTCAAAATGGGGTCGGTGATGACTGCACAGTGGGCCAGCGACGATATTAAGAGCCTGATCAATCTTTAATGACCGATTTAAAGCCATTGCCTATTTTTGTTGGAACGTTGCAGACGAAATTGCTGTCAGAAAGGGCAATTAGAAAAACCTGCATGTTTGAGGCAGCGTTTTCATCTTTTACCAATTCGATGACAAAATACAGGTCGAGACTTGCCATTGAGTCGGACTTACGAGTTAGCTTATCACAAATTGCTACGACAATTGATAAATTGTGCAGTCGAAAGCAATCTCATCTAACACATTAATATCGTCCGTGTTATTGTGATGTAAATGAAACATTACCATTCCTCGTTGGTTGGGCACAGGCATTGATACAGCATAGAATGGGGATCCGTCAAAAATTAGATTCTAAAACAGGGGGTCCGCGGCCTAAAAAGTTTTGGGAAACCCTGTAATAATTAATGTAGGGGTCGGGAATCTATGGCTCGCGAGCCATATATGGCTCTTTTGGTGACGGCATATGGCTCTCAGAAAAAACTATTATTCTAAGACTAAGCTTACTATTGTTATGCGATTTCAAACTCTTTTATAGCCTAATTTGGCAGAAAATTTCCAATGCGTTTGAGAACGCGCGCCCAGCGTATGCCTAAGTTATGTAAGAGAATTACCAGACAGGCATTGTGACAAAACAAGGGGATTCTGGAACATATTTTGTGACATCACAGGCTGCATGTGAGCAACCGTTGAAGGCCCGCAGCGACAACATGCAGCATCAGAAGTCAAATTAGAAAGTATATTGGTATTGACTTTTGAGTAAGCATTTCAGGCCTGATTAAGAGAATAAATCTTATATGGCTCGCACGAAAATGCAATTGCAAATAAGTATATTTTATGGCTCCCTTGACCAAAAAGGTTCCCGACCCCTGAATTAATGTATAACACAGATCATTTCATTCTCCTCCCAGAGCAATGGTTCTCAAACGGCGGGACGCGTTCCACAATTTTTTGAGGGGGCGTGAAACTAATCAAAAATAAAAATATTGGATTTGATCTTACCCGACTTATTTTGGATATTTACATTTCGTTATTGTTTAGAGCAGGGTCGGCCAACCTTTTTGGCCGACGGGTCACATTTTGTTCACTAATAATTGCGCGGGCCACTTAACATAGTAATTATGTTCTAGTTTTGCTACACTGACTAAAAGTTAATAAAAAAAACTCGCACCAAACTTTCTCAATAATAAGAACAAAAAAAACGAAGATACAGTGAAGTCAACAAAGCTTTTCTACACGTAGCTATTTTAGTGTGAAGTTTGGCACTGTTTTCGCTAATAAGTTTGTCAATATTTGCTGAAATGGACGATGTAGCAATGCGAAGCGAATTTTCCATATGACTGTCAGAAATAGTGATCTCACAGGGGATTTGACATGGTTTATATGTGAAAAAACTTGCTTGTACAAGTAAGTGCTGCCAAATATTGAAGTCATTAAAACTGCCAATCTGTCCAAGTGTATAAGCGACTATTTATGTATCGATATCTTCCAGTTGGTTTCGAATCCAAATGGCACTCATGGCTCGTTTGAAAGGGCTAGCAGAGCGAATTCCAGAAAAATGAACAAATTGTTCGTATCAAAACTTTATATTAACTACATCACTCGAAAAATAGAAGTTTTACTCAATTTTTTTTCCATTTAATTTTGAAAATACAGCGCGGGCCACTCAAAATTCCTCGGCGGGCCACGGGTTGGACGACCCTGGTTTAGAGATTGCAGAGAGCTGTTTTATTATCCGTTATATTATTTCCGCTTTATCTATACATTATTTATAAATTATTGTTAGCTAGTTATTTTTGAGGCGTGGCGCGAGACTTGATAAATTTCAAAGAAGGGGCGCAGCTTTAAAAGTTTGGAAACCACTTTTCTAGTGATCATTTTACCTGTGGGTGTTCTTGGAGGAGGCGAAATTCCATCAGATTTTTGTGGGGATTGAGATCGTCGAGATGGATGAGCTGCTTTTGGTCTTGGCGTTCCAGATCGATTAGAACTTTTTGAACTACTGGAATCGCTTGAAGAAGACGAGGAAGAACGTTCTGAAAATAAGAAAAAATGTTAAGCATATATATTTTAAAGAATTATACGTTTCTTCCAGGGTTTCTTCCGCGCAATAACTCGTAGATTTGATAAAACAGAATTTTTCAAAAGAGATTTTGATTCACCAAAAAAGCGCTATAGGTTCCAATGCTTAAGGGGAGCTACTACTTGTGAAAGGATGGGATATACATATTTATATTTCGCTTAACCATATGGCAAACCCCGGCCACTTGGGTATGGAATTAGTTAGCCAGTTTTTTGTTTTGTTTCAGATGCATGGACTAGAAGCTTTTGACTGTTTTCCAATGCTCTAAACCAGGGGTCGGCAACCTTTTGTCGTTCGCGGGCCAAAATTAAGGGTTGCAAGTCATTGGCTGGCCGCACCGCGGGCCGTAGGTTGCCGACCTCTGCTCTAACCGTTAAGAAAACCACCGCATTGCGACACGAGAATATTATATAATACTAGTCGTGTGTGTGACGTGTACTAACACATATAATCGCTAATCTCAACTCTTTAAATCAAGCACAGCTTTTAGCTCCCAGGTCTCTGATGGAGTTCTTCTACCTTGCGTTTCGAATTTTGATTTAAAAGAATAAACCTGGATTGCTCTTGGTGCGTCACACTGATCGCATGTTACTCTTCCCTCGTTACTTTTCTATTTTGGGATGAGGGTCTAAGACCTGATTTTATATGAAGAAAATGTTTGGTATTTTGGAATAAAATCAACCTACCATCTCGCTTCTTATGCTTGTGCCGATGTCTGCGTGAGGTCTCCATCGTTTTCTGATTGGTTTCTTGAGATTTGAATTTCGGAGAAGTCAATCGTTGATTGGGTGATTTAGTTCTGGGCGTGGTCTTTTTGCTAGCTGATTTGTCCGAATTCGAACTAGAAGAACTTCGACTTCGGGAACGACTTTTTGATCGCTTTTTGTGCCCAGAAGATTTCTTTGATCCCCGGTCCGAACTCGAATCCGTTCCGCTTCGACTTTTGTTCGATTTTCGAGATTTCGGTCTTCTTGGTGATTTATTCTTTTCGTCGCTCGAACTTTTATTCGAATCAGTTCGTTTTTTATGTGGTTCGGTAGATTTATCTTTCTTTTCAACTTTATTTGACTTTTCTTTATCAGTGTCCGAACTTGAACTTGATTCAGATCGGTTTTTGTGCGTTTTGGACACTTTCGGACCCTTTTCTGATTTTTTGACCACTATCGTAATAGTAGACTTCTTTTTAGACTTATCTTTATCTGAATCGGAGCTGGAACTTGAGTCTCGCTTTTTGCTTAGTTCAATCTTCGGTTTTCTCGGTTCCCTTGACGCTCTCTTGTTAACTTCGGTCACTTTTCTGCGTTCGGAATTAGGACTCAAGTCACGTTTCGTTTTTACCGATTTTTGTACTTTTGAAGTCTTTTTAGGGACGGAAATAGCTTTTTTATTCTTTTTATCGTTCTCAGAATCTGAACTGCTGCTACTAGAGCTTGAATCTCTTTTCTTTTTGGTTACGACAGTAACTTTGGGTAATTTCGGACCGGTTGGAGCTTTCTTAGGAGGCGGTGATATCTTTTTGACGACCTTTTTACCCGAATCGGAGCTAGAATCACGCTTAATTTTGGGGATTTTGGGTTGTTTTGGAGCTCTTGGCTTTTGCGGACTCCTTTTTATTACAGTAACTTCCGCTTTTTTGACCTTTGACCGTTTCTTGTTATCCGAATCCGAACTCGAACTACTAGAGCTCGAATCTCTTTTTATCTTCGGTTTTTCTAAAGGCTTCGGACGCCTTGTTAGTGATTTTGCTGGCGTTGTTTTTGTAACTTCTGCCTTTTTAACTACAATTGAAGTCGATTTTTTGGGTTTTGAATCTTTTTTCGATTTCTTTTTGCTATCCGAATCCGAACTCGAACTACTAGAGCTTGAATCTCTTTTTTTCTTCGGTTTTTCCAATGGCTTCGGACGTCTTGTTGGTGATTTCGTTGCAGCTGGTTTTGTGACTATGGGCTTTTTCACTACAACTGAAGTCGATTTTTTGGATTTTAAATCTTTATTCGGCTTCTTTTTGCTATCCGAATCTGAACTCGAACTACTGGAACTAGAATCTCTTTTTTTCTTCGATTTTTCCAATGGCTTCGGACGTCTTGTTGGTGATTTCGTTGCAGCTGGTTTCGTGACTGCGGGCTTTTTCAGTACAATTGAAGTCGATTTTTTGGGTTTTGAATCTTTGATCGGTTTCTTTTTGTTATCCGAATCCGAACTCGGACTACTAGAGCTCGAATCTCTTTTTTTCTTGGGCTTTTCCGGCGCTTTCGGACGTCTTGTTGGAGATTTGTTCGTTACGGGTTTTGAAACTGCGGGTTTTTTGGGCGCAACTGGAGGCGCTTTTTTAGACTTCGATTCTGGTATTTTGAAAGCCTTAATTGGCTTCTTTTTGCTGTCCGAATCCGAACTCGAGCTACTAGAACTCGAATCTCTTTTCTTTTTTGGTTTTCCACTCTCTTTCGGGCGTCTTGTTGGTGATTTTGCTTGAACTGTTGGTTTTTCAGCTGGTGGCGCCTTTTTAGGCTTTGTTTCTGGTATTTTAAAAGCTATAATTGGTTTCTTTTTGTTGTCCGAATCCGAACTCGAACTTGACGAACTCCGACTTCTTGTTTTTGTCTTTTTTATAACTATTTTAGATTTTGTTGGTTTCGGACTTGCAGGTTTCTTCACAGGCTTCGATGTTTTTGAATCCGAATCCGAACTTGATGAACTCGAATCTTTTTTGAGGCCAGCAAATCGTGGAAGCGTGGGTGTTCTTATAGTTGGTATTTTTATGGGAATTGGTTTTGTCTTTTTTGAATCCGAATCTGACGAACTAGAACTCGAATCTTGCTTCGGTTTTTCCTTTTTAGGAGGCTTTGGAGAACCAGGCTTCTTCACTGGTTTTGCCTTTTTCGAATCCGAATCCGAACTTGACGAACTCGAACTTTTTTTGAGATTCGGAAACTTCGGAAGAGTTGGCGCTTTGAATGAAGGAACTTTAATTCCGAGTTTTGGCTTCTTGGAATCCGAATCTGACGAACTCGAATCTCGCTTCGCTTTTTCCTTCTTAGGAGGCTTAGGAGAACCAGGCTTCTTCACTGGGTTCGCCTTTTTCGAATCCGAATCGGAGCTAGATGAGCTCGAAGAACTTTTTTTGAAATTCGGAAACTTCGGAAGTGTGGGAGCTTTGAACGAAGGAACGTTTATTCCAAGTTTGGGTTTTTTCGAATCGGAACCTGACGAACTCGAATCTCGCTTCTGTTTTTCTTTTTTAGGAGACTTCGGGGATTTCGGAGAACCAGGCTTCTTCACTGGTTTTGTCTTTTTCGAATCTGAATCAGAGCTGGACGAACTCGAACTTTTTTTGAGATTCGGAAACTTCGGAAGTGATGGAACTTTGATTGAAGGAGCCTTGAAATCAAATTTTTTCGAATTCGAATCTGATGAACTCGAATCTCGCTTTGGTTTTTCTTTTTTAGGAGATTTCGGGGATTTTGGAGAACCAGGCTTCTTCACTGGTTTTGTTATTTTCGAATCTGAATCAGAGCTGGACGAACTCGAACTTTTTTTGAGATTCGGAAACTTCGGAAGTGATGGAACTTTTATGGAAGGAGCCTTGAAGTCGAATTTCTTCGAATCCGAACTCGAATCTCGCTTTGGCTTTTCCTTTTTGGGAGATTTCGGAGAATCAGGCTTCTTCACTGGCTTTGCCTTTTTCGAATCCGAATCCGAACTAGACGAACTCGAACTTTTTTTGAGATTCGGAAGTGATGGAACTTTGATTGAAGGAGCCTTGAAATCAAATTTTTTCGAATTCGAATCTGATGAACTCGAATCTCGCTTTGGTTTTTCTTTTTTAGGAGATTTCGGAGTTTTTGGAGAATCAGGCTTTTTCAGTGGTTTAGTTTTTTTTGAATCCGAATCAGAGCTGGACGAACTTGAACTTTTTTTGTGATTTGGAAATTTCGGAAGTGATGGAACTTTTATGGAAGGAGCCTCGATATTGAAGTCAAATTTTTTCGAATCCGAACTTGATGAACTTGAATCTTTCTTCGGTTTATCCTTTTTGGGAGACTTCGGAGAATCAGGTTTCTTCACTGGTTTTGACTTCTTCGAATCCGAATCCGAACTAGAAGAACTCGAATCTCGCTTCGGTTTTGTAAGTTTCGGTACTTCAACTTTAGGTGGTTTCGGAGAAGGTGGTTTTACAACAGGCTTCGCTTTTTTCGAATCCGAACTTGACGAACTAGAACTTTTATTTTCGTGTTTCCTCGGAGATTTCGGCGAATTGGGCTTGCTTGTAGCCTTCTTGCTTCCCGAACTAGAAGACGAACTTGATTTTATTTCAATTTCGATTTCTCCGACACGTTTTTTCAACCCCGATGCTTTTTTTTTTGCTCGATTGAAGACCGAATTTTCGTCTTCCGAATCCGAACTCGAGCTGATATCAAGATTTTTTAGACGAGCTTCCTCCCTTCTTTTTCGTCTTAGAATTTTCTTTTTGTTCGAATCCGAGTCACTTTTATCCGATTTTCTGTCAGACGAACTCGCTCTTCTGGGTTTCGAACCTTTTGAATCCGACGAACTTTTAGAACTGTGATCACTTTTTTTCTTCTGTGTTGCTATGACAACACCTGGTTTCGAGATTGTTACGTCACTTTTCGATTTTTCTTTATCGCTGTCACTGGAACTGCTGCTGCTACTCTGTTTATCAGTTTTGACCTGTGTCGAAACTATGGGCTTTTGTATTGTTACGTCACTTGTTTTATTGTTGACCTCAGTGTGGACAACCGTTTTAGTCTTTATGACCTCACTGTGAATTATTGTTCCGGTTTTTATGGCGTCACTTTTGTTGACTTCTTTGTCGCTTTCACTGGAACTGCTACTGCTGCTACTTTTTGTAACTTTTGTTGACGTATCGGTTTTAATGACGTCAATATGAGAGACTTCAACGTCTTTTGTGACGTCAATCTTTACTTCGCCGTGGAGTTCAATTGACGGTGTTACCTAAAAATGACAAAAAAGCTTGGTGGGAAAAAATCACTCAAAGCTCCTAAAAGACTTTTGACACACCCGGAACTAAACTAAAACTTACCCGACACAGAACAAAATTTTTTGGGTACTCCCATAGTAAGCGAACCAAGATGGCGGACACCGGAACGTAGTATGTGTACCAGGTTAGGGTTAGGCCATAGTTTCATTCTAATTTCTGTGTTTTAGTTCTATAACAAGTTCGGGGACTAGCCAAGTGACTCCCGTAGTATTTGTATCTAAAATTATGGCCTAACCCTAACCCAGTGCACATACTACGTTCCCGTGTCACGTGTCTTGGTTCACATACTACATACCGATTTTTGGTGTAATCAACTTTCATAACCCAAAATATAATAAATCAAGTAAGCAGTGCTTAACCTGGAGAATTCAAGCTCTTATCATCTGATAGCATACTCATAGCACCAGTAACCCCAAGAAGGCCACAGAGCGGTCGGAGGGGGCACAATGCTAGGCGCACAAGTGGTTTTACATTTCCCAATTCAAGAAAACTACTAGTTTTAGTTTCAGTGCTTCATAAGGTTGTTCCATAGCGTGTTTTCACTTTGCTGAGCGTATGAATTGTTTGAATATAATTGGATTTTGAATCTACCCATCAAAACAACACTATAACTACACTGAAATAATGAACAGAAAGCCATGAGTGCTGAATACCATCCGGAGGGGGACACGGGCCATAAAAGATTGGTAATCACTGATGTAGAGCATATTTCAATGCAAAAAAGTCAAAATATCGCATTGAAAACAAAAATAACACTTCAAGAACGAACCTCTACAATTTCTGGTTTTGCCACTGCTTGATCTGTAGTTTTCTGTTTTTCGTTGTCCGATTCCGAAGACGAACTCGAAGACGACGATTTAGTTTCTGTATTGTGAAATAACAAAAGGAAATGTTAAATGAATTGTTCGTCACAGAGAAAAGATTTTTCAATGAAAAGTGCGAGCCAATCAATAAAAAATAGTATTAGTCCCGATGGTAAAGTCACAAGTGATCATTGGCGCGCTGAAAAGTTTATACGTTTAGTACAAGTGACCCCCTCTCCTCCATACACACAAAAACACCCACAAAAACATAACTCATACGTTTTTTAAAATAAAGAAAATTTATATACCAATTAATCTTCTGTTTGTGTGTGGCTCTACCCAAAAGCTTTGGTAATCTAACGCTTTGAACGAAATATGTTTTCTGTAGATATGTTCCAAATAATCTCCTTGGCGTTGGAGACAATCTCGCATGCAAATAGATTCAGTTTTGCAATGGACGTAATGAAAGTGATATAGTGATTACCGACCCTAAGCCGCACATAATAGCAACAGTTCGGCACTCCCGAAGTATGTGAACCAAGATGGCGGGCACCGGATCGTAGTATGTGTACCAGGCTAGGGTTAGGCTATAATTTTATTTCAATTTTTCTCACTTTAGTTCTATTACGACTTCGGGGACTAGCCAAGTGACTCCCGTAGTATTTGTACCTGAAATTAAGGCCTAACCCTAACCTGGTACACACACTACGATCCGGTGCCCGCCATCTTGGTTCACATACTTCGGGAGTGCCAACAATTCTTTGACAAATCGAAAGCGTTTTTCCACGATTTGCGTGTAACAACATATATATATTGGCCATTCGAAATCGCCGAACATTCTTCTATACGTACACGCTAGTGGTAATTTGCAACCTCAAATCACGCAAAACCATATATTATATTAGCCTGCCGTTTGTTTACTGTCTTCAGTCACACATAATAGTAATTTTTATAACCGTTCGCACGCAAACCTATACGCCCTACCCTACCCTAGCATCGTGCGTAAGGGGGCATGAAAAGATTCGTGGTAACCTCTCATATTTGTTCAATTTTTATGATCAAATGGCGGTAAATTAATAGTATTTCATGGTAGCGACTTCTTATGTTTAGCAAGATTCGAATTCGGGCAGATTTGATCTTTTTAGATGGATTGATATTTCCCACCGCGCGCATAAAATTATCTGTACAAAGCTGCGATGCCTCGCGACTATTGGTTCGATAACTATCAGTGAAATATAATGTCTTTTATTTATTTATGGTCACAAGCACACAACAGTTATTCCGTAAACCACCTTGCACGCGAGCCATGTTACCTCACGATCAACATACTAAAACTATAGGGTCATAAAGCGGGATATGTGGCAACCCTCATATTTGATCGGGCTAGTTTTAGAGTCGACGAGTTGACAATGTTCAAAAGGCGATAAATTTAAAGATATTTTATGGTAACGACCGGATTTCTGCGAGACTGAATACATATTCTTCTAAGCTTTTGCGCTGTTTGCTTCGTTTGTGTACAATGCACGGATGCTGTAGCAAGAATGAAGACGAGAATATCGGTCAGAGACCGAAGACTTATCGATCGAAAGTTAGGAGATCCCCCAAACAGCGCTCTTACTCCATAGTGACACCTTGTGTCCCATCACTAATTAATTAATAACTCGCTAATTTTACCACACAATTCGCCCAAAATCAATAGGCTTCTGGTCCGAGATATGATGAATGCACATTCAAAATATGCAGCAGATTCAATCTCGCTTTCGTGAGATATGGCGTGCATCTAACAGACAGACGGACAGACAAATATCTATCAACATACTTACCGATTAAAATCGATAAGTAATGACTAATTTATCATGTCTGTTTATAGGTCAGACAAAACGTTAATCAAATACATTTATGTTAGTGTGTAACAGAACTACTGAATTACTTAGAACAGTCAGTCATTTCATTCTTGCGTAGGCATCATGAACCTCCTGAAGTATGCGCACCGAGACGCCGCACAACCTGAACTTAGGTTGTGTACCAGGTCAGGGTTCAGGTTGTGGGACATCTTGGTGCGCATACTTCAGGAGTACCGGCATATTTTCATTATATATGCAAACGGACCCACAAGAGCATAGACATACAGCTGCGATGGGAATATTACGACCCGCGGGCCGGATCCAGCTCTTCGTAGTGTTTCATCCTGCCCACTTGTGTCTGCTAAAATTACAACTATAGTTTTTATGGATATGAATTTTGGTTAGAAATATCGAGGAAACTAACGTCATAATGCTTCTTGTTATGAAAACGTTAGCCTAGCTGTTGTAACTAAACTATTTTCATTCATAGTTTTCATATTGAGTTTTGATCCTCCGGCCCAGTAACCAAGTCTATCAACTGACCCACTCAGAAGTAAGTGCCCATCCGTGGCAGAGGCCCTTGTTCTTACTTTATGCGCTGTTACCCGCCACGTAATTTGAAATGGAAGGTTTGTGTTATAATATACGAATGCACGGAAAATTAACCAAATTTTTTAAAAGCCTGTGACATATCAATGCTTTGTTTTTTGAAACCCAGGTATAGACATGATATATTTGAAATAGGTGAGGTCGTTCAACAAATAGGTATCAGATTTTTAATGCTGTTGAAAAACAAGATTATTTCTACTAGTATTTTAAAGTTATTTCTTATGGCGTATCCCTCTAACATTTTACAAAATTACGGAAGACTACTGGAATAGATACCGATACTATACCATATATCAATTATTCAACAAGTCATGATGATATAATTCTTATTTTATAACGTTTGTTTAATTTCATCTTTTTTTCAACTCAGCAAACAAGGTGTCACTGACACGATGACTTACTTCATAGTCTTTCGCGGCCCTGCGTCAATTGCGGAAATAATGTATGTTTTTTTATATTTCCATTATTGTTTGTTTAATTTTTTGTGCACAATATTTCAAGCACGACGAAATAAAGATCTGAATCTGAATCAGGGATGGCCAACCTGTCTTCCACTGATACCCTAGTCATAACAATCTAACGGTTTGTATCACAAATACTTGTTTTACAGCAAAATGCTCTTGCGGCGAATTTTCATGCGGCGAATTTTCCGGACACGTATTAAATTCACTCAACATCAAGTGCGATCGACCACTCAATTTGCGTCAACTAAACTGGCAACTGTAAAAGACAATTGCTCCGTTATAGCAGAACTTTGATATCTATATTCGAAACGTTGGCTAACTGTAACGATTGCCACTTACCAATTGTGCTTGTTTTACTAACTAAATATACAGTTTACAAATTTGGCACATTTATAGCTTCGCTATTGAGCCAATGTTTTGCGCCAATATTCACCATATACCAATTTTATAATCGGCCATAGAAGATCATATCATATTGTATTGAATGTTGTTGTGCGCGATCAATGTTTACATAGCAATTATGATATAACAATACAATGATAGCTGTAGCTGTGTGGCGTTGTCAATGGATTCAGTACACTATTCAAAAACATGAAAAATTTACGTAGAATTTGTAGGTATTTGTTACAAAACGCTAAGTCTACCCTGAAAAGATATTATCGTCTATCGGTTGCCAATGGCAACAACGAGGTGTTACACCTGTTCGAAATATCGCTACGGGCGAGCCCAGTAGGTAAAACTAATAGTATAATGGCTAAACTTGAAGGTTTCGTGGCATTTCGTCATTCAATATATTTGAAGTTGTGTGATGCAAGTCTTTAAAACCACCCATTATTACGATTCTTGCCTTGCCTCGCTATAAACAAAACTCATTAGGTTTTACTAAAAAAATCAGGTAAAATTAAAATCCGGTAGTTAAATCTCATACGTTCGATAGCATCTTATCACTATTTTAGGCACTTTTTGCTTTAAGCAAGGCCACCATTACAATTTGATTATGTGGAAGCGTGATGCAATGGCTCTTTAAATAAACAACGTATTATAGCAATTTTGACAACACGCTGACCTACTAATACGAGCGAGGGCTTGGTTGTTCCAATCGACTATAATCCACTATATATTCGCCAACGTCATACTCGCTTGACTGTGTAACTTGACGTGTTATAATTTAAAAATTTCAAAGATAATTTATCGATATCATATATTGTTTTGGCCTTCACAGATTTAAATGAAGTAAAAATACTTAAACAATTACCGATTAAACAGCAACAAACCTGGTTAAGATATATTAAAAACTGACGTCATAACAAAATTGCAAAGGAACAATTTACTTTCGCATGTTCAATTTAATTCGTTAGTTAGGTTGCAATATTATTTGTATTCATTTTATAAATACCGTTTTTCCGACTCTGTGCGACTGGCAAATATACCATTGATAATACAGTACAAATAAAAGTACATAAAACAAAAAATCTCACACTATTGCTGTCATTGTACACATTTTGTTAACCAAAAAAATCTTTGGTGCTCCTAAAGTATGCATTCCAAGATAGCGGATACCGGGACGTAGTATGTGTACCAGGTCAGGGTTGGGTCATAATTTTACGTACAAATACTACGGGAGTGGCTCGGCTAGTCACCAGACTCGTAATAGAGCTAAAATATGGAAAATTGGAATAAAACTATGGCCTTAGCTCATGACCTGGTACACATACTACGTTCCGTTGTCCGCCATCTTGGTACGCATACTTCAGGAGCACCAAAGATTTTTCTAGCTTAAACTCGGAATTGACCACCGCACAAATATTTTCATGATCATGTCAAGTTGAACAGCTTTTGTTAACCAGTATTTACAAGCGCGTAACAAATCACCATATTTTATAAAGTCGATTCAGTCCGTTTCACCACTTCTTTCATTTTTCAAAACTTCGAATAAATTATTTTGACTTTGCGTCGTCACTTAAATTTTTCTAAATTAAAATCCACTCCCACGTAAAATCGCGGTAGCACTTTTACTCTCAAAACCATTTTTCTATTCTCATCAACCTATAATAAATTAAAGATCCGCCTTCGCTATAACACGCTCCACCCTATCTTCAATACGACCAATACACATAAAGCTATTGGCAACGGCACTAGACAAAGAAACTCACCAAATAGCGCGTATGATGAGGTTTAATAAATTTGCACTTGACTATCTCGAGTGCATATTTAATATATGTTTTATGAAAAGAATCACTAGACTGTAAATTATTAAATATTTGACGTTGCTATTAGCAACTGACATTATAAGTAGTTTCTTAAGCGATCCACTTGTGAACATACAGTTTGAAAAACCATTGAAATGTATGCCGTTTCAGGGTCATCATGTTAAACGTAGGGTTTCCATATAAAAAATGGCGCTCCAGAAGTGTGTGTACCAATATGGAGGTAGCTAATTTTGTTCGTCTACTTTACATCAAGTTGTGTAAAGGGACAGAAAGCTATGGGCAGGGGCTATATTCACTTGGCTAACACAGACAGTCCCCGAACTCGTAATCAAAACAAAATAAGGAACATCGGAATAAAATTATTGCCTAACCCTATCCCGGTACACATACTACAACCTAAAAAATTTGGTGGAAAATAAAAAATCAAACGTTTATAGCGGCATTACAGTTTAAATACATTGAACACGATCCCTAGCTATTCAACGTTTCACATAAGTTTCATTATTCTAGAACAGTGGTGCCTAAACGGGTCCCCTGTCCCCCAAGAGGGCCCCAGATCAGTTGGAAGGGAGTCACAATGCTAGGCGCAAACTCATTTTACTTTCACTGAAAAACTGCCTGTTCTTCCTATGTTTATTATTTGATGAGGTTATTTCACCAGTTGTTTTCCTTTTGTTGAGCATGAAATGGTTGAAAATAGTGGTATTTTAAATATATCAATCAAAATAACACTCTAAATATCACTGGAATGATAAACAGGGGGTTATGAGTGCTAAAAGCCTGCGCAAGGGGGTCAAGAGATGGGTTAGGGACCACTGTTCTAGAATGTTTTAATAAACTTCGCCCACTCACTTAAAAGTAAATGAGACTCATTTCCGAGAAAAGCTACAAGCGATCTGGAACTATATGGGTGCTGAAATGATATACTGAAACTATGGAGGTGCCTTATTCGTCAGAATGAGAGTTCAACATTCGAATGCAATTGTTTTAATCGAACTCGATTTGTGTTTGTTAGTGAAATGGGTGCTCCCGAAGTATGGGAACCAAGATGGCGGACATCGGAACGTAACATGGGTAAAAAGTTAGGATTAGGCGATAATTTTTTTTCAATTTTCCTTATTTTAGTCCTATTATCAGTTCGAAGACTAGCCAAGAGCCACCCGTAGTATTTATACCTAAAATTATGGCCTAACCCTAACCCAGTACACATATTACATTCCGATGTCCTCCATCTTGGTTCGCATACTTCGGGAGCCCCGTGAAATGTCTATTTCCAGTTGGTTTTATTGTTGATATTATGACAATAATTAGGTACTAAAAGTTCACAAACCTTTCTTGATGGGTTCCACGGATGGTGATTGTACTGGTAGGATTATATGCGCGTCTCTTGATTCCTCTGTTTTAATCTCCTGTGATGTCACAGATACGGTCGCTACTTCCTTTGTGACGTCTGTATTCTTTTGAATTGTGACGTTAGCTGTTTTCCCGCCGCTGTCACTATCGCTAGATGACGAACTGCTGGAATCGCTGGACGATTTTTTTCCCGCGTCTTCCTTCGCGCCTTGTATTAAAGCGGAAAATTTATCCGCGATGGTGACGTCACTATCCTTTTTCGTTTCAGTTGTGACGTCACTGTGTGTCTCTTTTTTGGCGTCACTGACCTTCTCGGCTGTGTCGTCTGCGGTGTCGCCTGTTTCTAAATCAGCAGAACTAGCCTGCTTGATAACGACTGTTGGAATGTCAGTTGGAGGGGTGACCGCCGGTGTAACCTCTACTCTCGAAGGAGAACGACTTTCCTCTTCGCTACTGCTACTCGAGCTACTACTACTGCTCGACGACTCTGTTTGCGAATTTGCCCTTTTTTCATCGCTTTTCGCCCCCTCGACGATGTTTTCTTTAGAAGCGTTGTTGGTGCTTGAGTCTAAGTTTGCTTGCTCTGTATTGTTAGTTGTGTTTACGGTAGCTACTTCAGATGTATTGTCCGTCTTATCCCCGATTCTCTCGGTCGTTTCATCGCGCTTTGTGGTGTTTATTAAAATTTCTTCTTGTCTCTGCTTTCTTCGCTCTTCGTCGCTTTCTGTAAGGGTAAATATAAATTATGAGTACTGAGAAAAACGCGAAATAATCAAATTTTTGTATTTTTATCGTTACAACTAATAATACTCTGCTTAGTTTGTTTTGTACTGTCGAGAAAATCGTAACTCAACTCAACGTAAATATAATTTATTAGTACTGCTAAGAAAAACGTAAATTCAACATAAGGATGCATTTTCATTGTTACAACTAATGCTATTTTGCTTAGATTGTTTGGTACTGTTAAGAAAAACGTAAAATCACTAAAATTTTCATTGTTACAACCAAACGATACACTGTTTAGTTTGTTTTGTAAAATAAATCAAATACATGCGTACGGTATTACACTGTTATAACCCCACCATTAATTTTATGGGATCTTTTGTACAAAGTCCCCTTCACTAGTGCAAAAAATGAGATATTAAAAAAAAAAAACGCCACGCTTTCAAAATATCAAATTAGTGATTATTCAGATGGGGTTAGCGTTCGGGTTAGGAAGGATTTAAAAATTTGAATTTACAGCGAATCTGCATTCCTAACCCCAAACCTAATACTAACTAACGAAGACAGATCAGAGTGTGACAGGGCAGTGGTGGGGCAATAACCGGTTAGAACAATTCGGCCTTTTGCGTAAGTTGTATCAGCGAATACACAATGTTTTCTCGTTTCTAAAACTTCTTTTGAATATAAATATATATAATCCATAACAAAACTAATTGTATCTTTCCCCGAGCATCGACTTTCTTTCGTTTTTCACTAATATTGGCAAATCGGTAGTGAATTAACGGTGACGCGAAATTGACGGCGGCTTCGAAGAATTCCGACAGCGGACAGTAGGATGCGCAATAAACGCTTTGATATATACCCGCAGGTGAATGGCGTTTAAATTAAATATATATCCTGGGTCAGCAAGAAGTATATCGAGTGGGTTCCGTGTCGAAATTAATGACCAAACAAAAGCGGTGGAGTAGTGTTTAACTTCTATTAGAATCGGATTCGTATGTACAAACTCTCGGACCGGCCCGAAGCGGAAGTTTCCAATTCCCCGGTTCTCATTTTCTTATTTTTGACGGAGGTGATTAAGTAAGTAGGTTATCTAGGAGGTAGCAGCCATGGGTAGTATCATGGGCGGCGTTTAGATTAGGGCGCAAAAAAGGGCGAAAAGTTTTCATCGTGAAATGTTTCAATAGAATAATTTCAAATTGGAAATAATTTAAAATCGAATTTTCACTGAAATAAGATGTACAATCTAAATTTAACAACAGTTGTCAAAAATTGTCATTCAACGATCAAGAGGGCGCATTTTCAACCTGTGCCACGGGCGTTATTTTATGAAGATACACCGCCGAATTAAGCTGAATTCTCGGACAAAAACAGCAATAAATTCACTGAGCGTTCTTATCTGACAAGGCTGGACATGCGAAAGATATCTGTAATTTCACAATTTTGTTTTTCCGGATTGGGAGCAGGAGTAAGAGTCAAAATTCATTTCAACTTGGAGGTTGGGGCTGAATTTTTTAGTAAATCCGGAATCGAAGCCGGAATTACTTATAATATTATCTGGAAAATTACGAAGCACATTTGAGAAAGTCATCGATTTAACAATATTTTTCAGGCTAACAGTCACTATATAGAGTGGAATTCATGTAAAAATTGATTAATTTTTTCTGCGATGCAGCCTCTCAACCTCATAAAAAAACATCATTTTCACACAAAAAAATAAATTTACCAGATTCCGATGAAGACGAACTAGAACTAGGAGATTCCGAGCAAGACTCGTCATAAGCTTTGGCTCTCATAATGCTAAGTTCAGCTTACTTTCATTAAATATAATTTATCGTAAGTTTAATAAATATCATAGTCATTTTAGCGTTCCAGAAGTATGTGTACCAATATGGAGGTAACTAATTTTGTTCGCCTACCTCACATCAAGTTGTGTAAATGGACTGAAACCTATGAACAGGGGGTATATTCACTTGGCTAACACAGACAGTCCTCGTTGTAATAGAACTAAAACAAGGAAAATCGGAATAAAATTATGGCCTAACCCTAACCTGGTACACATACTAAGGGAGTATCGCCATTTTAGCTTAAATACGGCATTTTAGCTTTATTCTATTATATATAATATACCATACACAGTAATAAACTTCCTGATTTCTTTCACGAATATGAAAAAAAAAATTAATAAAAACTTGATTTATGTTTGAAATAAAGTATGATTGCGGATTCATTCAAATGGCAATTCGGGCCATATATATATCCATATTCCTAACACGCTTTCTATATGGTAACCCAACAGTCTTTTACGGAGGAGACCTTTTCAAATGTCGATTGGGACAAGATAGACACGCCTATTCCTAACCTGTTGTCTATCAGTCCTAAAATTCTCTACCAAGGAGGCCATTCTAATGGCAGTTGTGGCCATATCCACATCCCAATTTCTAATCTGCTGTTTATACCGCAAGCTAAAAATTCTATTCAAGGAAGATTGCTATTCAAATAGCGAATTCAAAATGCGAATGAGGCCATATATTCCCCCTCCCTCTCCCTAATATTCTGTCTATATGTCAGTACAAAAACTCTCTACAGAGGAGGCTCATTGAATGGCGATTGGGGCCATATACCTATTCCTGACCCGCTGTCTATACGGCTGCCTGAAAACTCACTACGGAGGAGGCGATTTAACTGGCTGTAATTTGATCTCTTTCATTCAATCAAAGTATGTTCGCCGACATATTTACATTAGATCGTATTGTCTAGTCCCAGATCTGTCTTGGGTTATGTAAGGAGAATTGACTTCCGTGCTTGCTTTCCAAAACCGGCTAATCAGCGACAGGCTAACGATGAGGTAAAACGCTAAATTAGGGGCAATTTTCAAGGCGCTTTCATTATTTCTATAACGCCGATCAGTCCGCATAACACATACTGGGAAAAATACAGCCTCCCACAATGGCAAAATATAAGAAGAACTTCGTAGTATCCTTCTATTAACACGACCACTAATTTTCTGGTATTTCTTTTATATTGTTTATATTAGGTTTGTATTTATTACTGGTGGCCAGTTTTGCTTTGGATCAAATGCCGAAGGAACGAACATTCACTCTCTCACACGAACGACCCAGATTAATCGAAATCTGTGAAACTCTTCTTGTATGCTTTGATATTTTACACCAGGGGTGTGCAAACTGCGGCCAGCGGGCTAAATGCGGCCCACAAGGAAAAATTGTGCGGCCAATTTTGAATGTTGTGCCCGTGAAACGAGTTTTTAAGATTACGGTAGTTATTCTGGTATGTGCGGGCAATTCCAATCCTTTTGCGTAGCAAAGCGCAAATCCTGTTGCAAAATACACGATTTATATCATGAAAACATGTTTCTCAGTGGAGCCGTTTAAAGTCGGTGTGATAATAAATTTGAATAGCAGTTTTATTCATAATTTCATGCATTCCAACTCAGTATTTTCTGCAAGGACCCCTCATAATGTCGTGATATCACTAGCAAAAATAGACAATTTGTGCTTGCAATTACTAGTAATTCTATCTTAAATAAAAGCGCGGCCCGGGGATTCACCCAGTCACTTGTATTTGGCGCTCCAATAAAAAAAGGTTGCACACCCCTGTCTCACACCAATACAACCTTTACATAAACAAGTTCTCCGCCAATATTATAGACGTCATAATAAAGTCAAACTTTGTTGTATGATGTCACATTGATCTAACCATTAACAAAATATAATATATATAGTTCAATATAGCTACGAAGGTCGAATCTAGCGACACTATTCAAATTCCCAGCTTCTGTCCAATCAAATTTGAGTAAAAAACTCGCCCGATTCTGAAGACGACGACGAAGTGATATCATCCGAGTATGCTGACATCTCAGACTCATCATAAGTCCTCGTTCTCATGGTGGTTAAGTAGATATAGAACTAACTTTATTCTGTTGAATAGGTATAATATTTGGTACTTCCGAAGTATGTGAACCAGGATGGCGGACACCGGAACGTAGTATGTGTACCAGATTAGGGATAGGCCATAATTGTATTCCAATTTTCCTATGTTATTTCTATTACGAGTTCGGGGACTAGCCAAGTGACTCTCGTAAGATTTCTACCCAAAATTATGGCCTAACCCCAGCCTGGTACCAGGTACATAAACTACGTGCGGGTGTCCGCCATCTTGGTTCACATAATATAGGAGCACCCTTCAATGTGCTTATGTCAGAAAAGTCAAATCCCACTTTCATAACCTTACCTGCTTTCAAGATTTATATCTGACAACCCGATCAACACTATGTATTGTTGTTATCATAAGCCTTTGTTCAAAATTCATTCATGATATGGTATAGCATTAAGTGGGCAATCATAGACTTTTCTATTCAAAAACCGCAGTACTGAGACGGCGTTATTGTCCTTTAACATCTTTCATCAGTGTATCGTCTACTAACTTTCAATTTGATATCCTAAGGCTAAGCTAACGTGCCGAACGAATGGCCAATTTTAAGACTTTATGGACACACTATATATAACCGGCATTCCCTAACCTTGGCTTTGCCAACGCAACGCTGATCACCCTGTACGGGTTTGTGGTCGCTGGCGGGTATGCAATTCACAGCAGTGAAGTATGTTTGTTTGTAACTGACCAAACTCTACGCCCAAGAATAAGAAGATACCTCAAGGCCGGACCGGATAAAGCGTTTTACACACCCGAAGCACCTAAGACTTTGGTGCCTTTTATAGTAATAATGAAAAAGGACATTGTTTTTTTTGGAATAGTTCTCATACCGATAAACATTTATACACACCCATAAACATGATTTGTTTAAAATAACATTTGAGAACGCAAAATAGGCAAAAACTCATTTCAACCGTGCCAATATTGAGGTCGAAGTCAACTGACCAACTCGAATTATTTCTTTAAACACTGGTTCATCTTTAAAAAATCGTCTATGGAAATTTCTGAGGTGCCCCCTTTCCTTTGGTGCCCTAAGCACGTGCTTTTGTGTTCTTAATGGCTTAATCCGGCCCAGCGCCGAGGGTAAATTTATACCGAGTTAAGAATGGCTGGACGATCGCCGTTTCCAAAAAAATCCAAAGCTAGATTATTAACGAACAATGCTCACCGGATTCTGAAGAAGACGATGAGGATGAACTGCTGTCACCCGGGGATTCAGACATCGACTCATCATAAGTTCTTGTTCTCATGATGATTGAGTGAAAATATATTTAACTTTATTCTGTCGAATATCAAAAAAAAATAAACATTAGTCTTAACTAAAAAACGGGCCTAAACGATTAATTTCATGATGATAAACTGCATTATGACATCTCATTTATAGTATAGGACTATAGGGTGCCCATAAAGTCTTAAAATTGCAAAAGGAATTTATCGATACCATATGTTGTTTTGGGTCTTACAGATGTATTAAATGAAGTAAAAATACCTAAACAATTACTGATTAAATTACAACAAACCTGGTTAAGGTATATTGAGAACTGACTTCATAACAAAATTTAAACTGTAAAGGGACTTTATGGACACCCTTTAATATAGAAAAATTGAAGAATATTAGTAATACTACAGCGAATGCAAAGTAAAATTCTTTTCTGGTTAGGTAATGTTGCTCTAGTCTAAGAACTCATCTACGAACTACTATTTTACAGGTAAAAGTATGGCAAGCAGCCAATGACTCGCTAAGTCTATATTAAAAATATTCCCGTTAAAATTCTTTTCTTGTAAAAGTACCACATTTTACACAAATTGCGTTAGCAGACTCGCGTTATACATGACACCGAGATTTCGACTCCTCTTCACGAGTTTGAAATATACTCATCTGTTTGGTGTTGAATTCAAAATAATAAACTTAGTGCAAACTAAGAAAATTAATGTAGTCTATGAGTTGGGAAACGCGCATGGAGAGTTCAATAATCCAACCCTTGTCGGGATGCTAAAGCAAGGTTGCGAGACCTTTTAACATAATCGTAACTCGTGCTATGATGGTGAGGCTTATAATATTGGAAATATATTCGTTTCGTGTTATACACTGTCATAATATTTTCAGTTTTTATCGCCAACTAAATCTTGCACACGCTTATAACCGCTGACATATCGAGAATTACGACGTTTTATTTTACTATTATAACGTCAAGTATTATGAAGCTAAAACTTTACATTATGACATCACATTTTTCTGCTGGAAGTTCTTCTCATTACAAAGTCAAATTTTAAAGAAGGATGTCAATTTTTCAGATCATGGCATTCTTTTGAATTATGACGCAAAGATTTTCATTATGACATCAAACTTCTAACTATGGCGTTATATTTTATAAGTGTTTCTACTTCCTCGCCTTGCCCAATCCAACGTCTAAAGTCAAATCTTACTTTCAATACCCCACCTTCTTTTAAGATTTATATCTGACAACCAGATCAACACTATTGTATTGTTGTTTTTATGAGCTATTCATACATTCAATGTAAGGTATAATGTAATGGTCGACGAGCATGGACTATTCTTTTCGAGATACGTCTGTATTGAGAATTGGCTTTTACTCCGTTATTATCATTTATTCGGCTTTTAAAAAGGTCGATGTACTAAATTTACAGCGAATGTGTCAAACGAAAAACCGATATCGCGACAGGGGCTGAGCTTAAAGCGCTATCGAAAATATCGGCATTTTTCTATTACAATTCATTCCAAAGTCCAGAGGCTCGCAGTCTGAACTACAGAATCGGGTGGTTCTTGCTTTGCCACCTCCTGTACGTAGAGAGATCAGCAACGGGGAGTTCCATAATTGTGAGTACGATAGTGGTTTCCGTATTCTGTTTATACTACACATACGACAGTTGTTGTAGTTTTAAAATCAATATACAATTGAAGAATTTCACGCTAATAGTTTTTTGCGTGCCTTCGACATCTCTTAACACACATATAATGATACCATAGCCCCCTATTCACCACAACGCCCAACTACAATTTTTAATCCTGCTTCTACCGGTATGTTAATGAGCCTAGTTTATCGCTAACTTTCTTCTAACATGCTAAGGCTTAGACTTGCACATAGAGATCACTAAGCGTTTCTTAGCAACTATTGTGCCGTCATAGACTGTTGAAACAAGCATAAATCAATCTTTTGTTGGGTATTTGAACAGTGAGGCGTCGACTGTTTGATCGCCATGTTTTTATTCTCCGTTAAATGGAGGTTTTATGATTTTAATTCGTTTGTTTATTCTAATAGGATGGTTAGGTTTAATGCTAGTAAAATAAAACGTAATTTCAGATGAATTGTCGGGTGTTTTGTTGAATAGCAACCCGTTAGTAAGCGATTCCAATACCTTTTTGTGAGTCGCTTTTCGCACTTTCAATTTTTTTCTGTTCGCCATGGCCACCACTATATATTACACCCGGGGTGATGTGCTAATAATCGAACAATACAAGATATCGAATACTCTAGCAGAAATATTTATTCATTTAAAATCCGTGCAACCTACCAACAATAAGACCGTTAATAATTGAGCTACTACTTTTTGTATATTCTAATAGGTTGGTTAGAATTGATACGAAAATATAAAACGCAATCTTAGATGAATTATCGGGTATTTTGTTGAATTAGACCCGTTAATAAGCGATTACACAATAGGTTTTTGAGGCACTTTTCGCAATTCGCTCTGATAAATCAGACAATATAAGTCATCTAAGACTCGGTTCCCAAATCGAGTAACCGTGGCCCTCAAGGAAGCCACAGAGCGGATGTAGGGGGCCACAATGCTAGGTGCAAAACTGACTTTACATTTCCTTTTTCGTTACTAGTTTAGTTTCGTTAAGGGTATTTCACTGTTTTTTCGCTTTGTTGAACATGAGTTGTTTGAACATAATGGGATTTGGAATCTACCGATCATAATAACACTCTAAAAACCATTGGAATGATAAACAAGGGAGACATGAGTGCTAAAAGCCCTCGGACGGGGGCCACGAGACATAAAAGGTGAGAAATCCCTGCTCTAGCAGAAATATTTCATCATGTGAAATTCTTGCAACTTACCAACAATAAGCCCATCTATGAATTGTCGACTTCTCGCTATAAAATTGAAATCACACTTTGGTAAAATCGGTAAAGTCCATCTTCGCAAAATTGAGATTCATGGTTTCCATTCGTTTGTGTATTCTAATAGGATGGTTAGATTTAATACTATTAAAAGAAAACGTAAGATTAGACGAATTTAGGGGATTTATTAAATGTGACAGTTTCCCCAGCCTTTTCCCCTAGCAAATAAGATAGTTTCAGCTCATTTTAGGAGGGAGTGTTTCCAAGATAAAGGGTTGATGGATATTTGCTATAAGCAATAAACTTATCTGTAACTTCGTTATGGTAATGGTATTAAAAAAAAACGTAATAGTAGGTGAGTTATCGCGTATTACGTTGAATATGATGGACCGCTAGCAAGCGACGGAAAAAACGAAATCTTCCGTGTTCGGCATCACCCTGGGTGGGGTAATAAAGATAATATAGAGTACTGTATATAGAAAATATGGCCAAGTGTGCTGGGACTACTATACCACACGTTACCATACTAGTCGATATATATAGCAGGGTGACAAGCCTGATATAGGATATTAGTACGTAACAAATGAAAGTTTCCCGCTGCCAAGGTTTAGAAATGAACTTGCCGAATGTCGTATGACTTGACTGACGAACGGACCTACAGCAACTGCCGTATGCAAAAGTTATTGTCTCATTCCAACAGTATGGTGGGATAAATTTTATTCGCAACGGTTGCAGTTCGTGGTCGACCTTATTACCGAACAGCCGATCGCGAGTTATTTTGAAGATTTTAGTCGATCGCAGGGTGACCATCCCTGATATATAGGGTAACCACTCGCCAAAACCTTACTCTAACACAGGCCTGGGCAAGTTGCGGCCCGCGGGCCACATCCGGCCCGCAGCAACGTTTAATCCGGCCCGTGAGCGAGTTTCTAGATTTAGACACTTTCTTTTTCATTTACATATAAAATATACTCTGATTGCGAAAAAAAGAATTTTTAGGACAATGAAAAAGTCGATAATAACATTCGACTGAATTTCCTTTAAATAGCCGATTGTTTTTGTCACCTCGCAACTGTCCTAATGGTCTTTGTGCTTGATCTAAATAAATATAATAACTCTGCCATATATTTTAGACATTCAATTCATGTAAAACCGCTTTAACTTTCACTGTAAAAGACATATTCCTAAACCGAGACAAAAAATCGCAGTCAGGAATGTTCGTTATGTTGAACAACTAATACACAACTGTCTCACTGGTTTTTGTGCGCACTCGAAATAAATATAGTTAAATACCATATATTTTAGTCTTTCAATAGATAGGGATACTCATTCACCCAACACTTACTGAGCCAAAACCTATCATTAAACCAAGACAATCACAAAAATCGCAATTACGATGATCTTTCATCCTCAAAAACCAATTCGAAAAATTTTATTTTATCAAGAACAAAGTCCATACAGAACGATTGACTGGTTGACTAATCCTAAACAATTGACTCTTATGTTCTCCAACTAATTCGCAACTGTCCTTGTATAAACAGTCTCACGCTCACCCGAGCTAAATAAGAAAATCCTTTTTACACGCATCATATATATATATATATATATATTCCATATGCCATGAAAAAAAAATGTCGTTGAATTCAAGGCAAAAAATTGCAGTCACAATGGTCGCTTATGTCCGCCAACAAATACCAGAAATTCAGTTTTATTACAATCAATATTTATTATATGTTTACTTCTGTTCCACGGTTAGTTATTAACCAGTTGCAAGACATTCGTGTCGGTATTTACCGGTGATTGTACAGAATAGTTCGTCACCGTGTCCGGAAATTCGCCGCGGGAAATCACGTCGGATAGGAAAATTCGTCGAATGAAAAATCGTCGCAAGAGCATTTCGCTGTAAAACAAATATTTGTGATAAAAACAGTTGAAGGGTTAGAGTATTCTCTTAAATAAAGAATGTTTTTTTTAAATAAAAAGGTACCTCAAAAGTATTTTTTTATCATAAATACTTGTTTTACAGGAAAATGGTCTTGCGGCAATTTTTCCTATGCGACAAGATTTTCCACGCCAACATTACTTGCAGCGAATTCAGAACCGTTCGTCCCAGTAGCTGCTATCCCCTCTACAACGTGCTGTCCGGGTCAGTTTCTGATAATTTATGCTCCTTATACCTGACTCTAAAAATAATTCGGGGGATAAACAAATTATAGATGTTGTCATACATGGTAAAAAATAAATTAAAGTTTAAGTAAAAGTTAAACGTTTGTATTTTATTTATCAAATCTTTAAATCATCAAACGAAGCAACAAACTCACACGTATACGATCAAATCTATTTATCTGCTGCCTCCTAAAAAGTGCTGCCCGGGGCGAGTTTCTGATAATGATGCCTTATATCTAATTTCAAAAATATTTTGGGAAATGAACAAATTACATGACAATGAATGAATTAATAGTCAAGTGAGAGTAAAATGATTGTATTATTATTATTTGAATCATCAAGCCTAAGCAACAAACGCACCCATGCAACGTGCTGCACAGGTTGAGTTTTTGATAATTAAGCACTTATATTTAATTTCAAAAATAATTCGGGAAATAAATAAACTATAAACATTGTTAAAAATGGGAAAAAATTAATTAAAGATCAAGTAAGAGTGAAATGTAATTAAATCATCAAACTAAGCAACAAACGCACCCATGCAACGTGCTGCACAGGGCGAGTTTTTGATAGTTAAGCACTTATATTTAATTTCAAAAATAATTCGGAAAATAAATAAACTATAGACATTGTTATAAACGGAACAAAATTAATTAAAGATCAAGTAAGAGTGAAATGTAATTAAATCATCAAACTAAGCAACAAACTCACCCCTATAATGTGCTACCTGGAGCGTCCACCCACAAAACCCTAGGGGCGCACCTGTGTACAAGGGAGGGATTGCGTTAACGCATGGTGGGGGGCATCGTTTGTGATGTATATGAATAATTGTTCAGTGCGGCAATTTCACATGTATACTTTAAACAAGGCTGCAGACAAGCGTCATCTATATACAATGAGGTACTATATGTATATATATATTTCGATTTACACATAAATCCAGTTAAATTTACTATTATTTTTATTTACCTTGATCTTGTACGACATCTAGCGCCCGCTGGTTAGTGAGTGTGTTAGCGATTTTTATTTGGTTAATCGATCATTTGTTTTAGAAGGGCGGTTACAACACGATACTATTGAAAAAAAGTTGTGTAAAAATGGTTTGGTATGGCATTTATAATTGTAACAAAATATAAAATCAAAAATTTATTCCGGGTTTGAAATACATTTAGCGCATTTCCATTTTGTTCAAATTTTCGAGAACTATTTTTCACATATAGATTGGCTGAGAGTTTCAGCAACATATAAATAGAATAATGCATAGTTAAAGTCATTTCAGCCACAACGATGAATTAATTAACTTTCGGTTTTCTTGAGAAATTTCCCCACAGCAAAGTCACTCTCTTTCACCCACAAAAGACGGGGACTCATCTCTGAGAAAGGTTAAGCGCACTCACAAAGAGGGAAAAGAAACTCATCTTTGAGCAAAGCAACTAACGAGCTGACATTTCTGCCTCGAACTTCTGAGCGAGCCCGCTTTGAGCAAATTCATTAAAACATAAACGCTAAGCTATACACATATACTCCTACATTGGATAAGCTAATTATATCAACCTGTCCCCCTGCACACGCATAGACAAACACATTAAAGTTGACGTTCAAATATTGAATGAAGTTGTCTCAAGTGGGCACTTTGATATATTTAGTAAATAATTCGATAACTTAATCAATGATTACGATCTAATTGGTGAGCGGACATTTTGAAATTTCGCGAATGTGGGTAAGAATGTCTTTCGAAAAATGCGCCGTCAATTTAAGTAATTTATTAAGGGAATTTGGCACCATTCAAAATCACGCGATGTTGCACGGGTAAGCTTTTGACAATTACGATATTTAAAAAATATCACCGTTCCTGAGACCTCAGTCAATCTGTTCAAATTCGTCGATTTTCCAATTGTATCCACTTTAAGCCGTCATGTCAGTGTTTACCGAATCATAATGCACCAAATTTCTAATATATGGGTTCAGTATGCCATTTTAGCCGCCGCCCGTAACTAACGAGTCAAGTCCCCTTTACTTCTGAATAAGAAGCCCTGCACCCATGAACCTGTGAGAAGTTTATAGGTAAATTTCACAGCAATTTTCTTGAGCGTATAGATTTGAACGTAATTTCAAGGCTCGCATAATGTACCGCTATAATTCTATATGGATCCGGTACATCTTGGTGAACTTAGTGATTGTTCGTAACTCCACTCGAAGGCAAGTATGAGTTAGTGCACATAACGTATCGTCATAATTCTACATAGTTTCAACATCTTTATTAGACGAACTTCCTGCAGCGACAAACTTCTTTGCTGCCCGGGGCGAGTTCCTGATAATGATGGCCCAATTTTCAAAAATAATTCGGAAGATAAACAAATTATACATGTTGTTAAACAAGGCAAAAGATAAACGAAAGATATGAACGACACCAGAAAGATACGGGGCACCATTTGTGAAGGGATCGGAATTATTCTGTAATGCGGTAATTTCACATTTAACACGCTTAATAAGGCTGCAGAGCACAACCACCATCTATACGCAACGAGTTACTATACTATATATTTTGATTTACACATGAATTCGTGTAAAATTTACTGTTTATTGTTAATTTCCTTGTTTTGGTACGACATCTAGCGTTCACTGATTATCAAGTGTGTTAGCGTTTGTATTTAGTGAATCGGCCATGTGTTTTGTGGGGAAAATTAAAGATTTATACTGGGGTTGAAATATTTTTAGCTCATTCAGATTTTATTCAAATTTTCGAAAAATATTTTTCCCGCCAATCCACGAGCATTGATTGGTTGTAAGCTGTAGCACACAATAGGCATAATGCATAGTTAAAGCCATTTTGCGATCAATTTAGGAATAAGTTAGGTTACGCGTAATTTATCAGCGAGTTTTTATTTCCTTCCGTTTTCCAGTGAATATTCAACATTTCCACGCCAGCTCTCTGCCACAACAACGAATTAACGCTCGGTTTTCTCACAGCG